ATTACTTTATTTTAAACTCACTTCCGCAGGGTTGAAAAGATCAAAACAACCCCCTTCTTCTCCTGCAATCAAAGGGGGGTCAGAAATCTTAGATGTTGAATTTTAGTTCTCTCAGAATTTAGTTTTCAGGCTTTAGTATAATTTGTCTTTGCTTTCTTCACGTAACAAAAGAACGGAAGGCGACTTCCTGTTTAGACCTTTCCGTTCCGAGTCCCAATTAAATTCAATTTCAAGTTCAAGTCCAATGTTATTTATTTATTCACCAATCTTAAAAGTAGTTCAGCTCTTCCAGGATCGGGTACTCACGGATAGATGTTTTAGATGCCAAATTGTCCAGGAACAAGGCAGCGCTCTCCGAAGCGGCAGTGCGGCTTTGCTGCACGGAGGCAGCAGACGACTCACAGCACCACGCACCTCCCACTCCGGAGCCCGTTACCGGGCTCCTGTACAAGGGAGAGAGCGCTCTCGGTGCCCGCCGAGTCCCACGCCCACAGGCTTCTTCCGCCTGTGGTTTTTAAGGGTCCCCGCTGCGCCGTAGCGGCAGGACCCAAGCCTCCGTGCAGCGGGTTCCCTTCAGTTCGAAGGGAATTCCGCCATTTTCCGGAAGTCCCTGAAGCACCACTTTAGCTAATAGGGCCTCCTGCTGCCGCTGCACGATTTCTGTTCTCATCCTGAATCAAAGTTCTTAACCCGAGGTACTATTTCTGGGTTAGCGGAGTCTGTAACCTGAAGCGTATGTAACCTGAGGTACCACTGTATAGTGAAGTTGCAGCAGATTGTGTTAAGAGGTCCTGAGCCCACCTACAACAAACACAGTTCCCAAGGATCCTAGGGTTGGGCAGTGGGTAAGGAATGGGCAAGACAAGGCTTGAAACCGACGGTTCAATTAAAGGAAGTTCTCTGAACTACACCTGGAAGCAGGTCCCATAATTGCTGGATGGGAATGAAGTGCGTTGGGGGGTAGAACTTGGAACGATTTATCATTCATCTTTCAAGTTCGTTCTCTTACATTTGTCAGACACTTTTTGGGCCTTTAGAGTTTAAAGATTGTAATTGTTGGCCCCCCCCCCCCAAAAAAAATTACTCTCCGCTGTGCCGATGATCATTTGGACGAACATGAATGGACTGTTCCTCTTTGAGAGGAAGGACCATAGCCCAGTGGCAGATCGTCTGCTTTGCATGCAGAAGGTCCCAAATTCAACCCCTATAATATCCGGAGAGAATCTTGCCCAAAACCCTAGAGAGCTGTAGTAGGACAGTATTGTGCTAAAGATGAATGAACAATCTATTTCAATATAAGGCAGCTTCATGACTGTGAACTGAAATGAACTGGCGCATTTTGTAAAGGGATGAACACGAAATGCAATTAGTTCCTTTTTCCGACAGCCTGAACTAGTTTTTGAAATGAACTTCCCAAGACTCAGATGAAAAACTGTATGCTGCATACTTGGTGCTTTTGTTCTAGAAAAAAATGTGCCAGTACTCATCATGAAGTTGCCACAGTTATTCTCACACGTGTAACCAGCGCTTTTCTTCTAAAAAGAAGAATAGTGACGGTACTGCACTGTGCATACTTATTATACATAATTCGTGCAGATCCCATACGCTTTCCTGGTGTAGAATTTTACTTTTACATGTGTGTGTGTGTGTGTGTGTGTGTGTGTGTGTGCACACACACATATTTCTGGTGGATTTAAATCCAGGACAAGATTGCTCAAATACTTTCCACCTTTAATGAATGGCTGGATCCTAGGGTACAGTCTGAATGGACACAGAGCAGTAAAATGCTGAAACTCTGGATAAGTGACTGGATGGGAAGACTGGATGAGACCCACCCCCCCTTTCTCTCACTCCTGACTTCCATGGAAGAAAGGTGGGGAATATAAATAGAATCATTAAAATAAAAGCCTATTAATAGATGACAGGTTTCTGGAATGGCTAAATTGAATTTTATGTTTCCACGAAAAAGCAGACAAATGATGGAGAGTCGCGAAAAGCAGGCACTTCCTGTTATTGCCCTCTGGAAATGAGATTCACTAATTACTGCACTTGCTGTATAAGGATCATGAACACTCATGCATCAAGTTTTACATGCAGTAAATAAGTAGAAGACTCCTTAGCTGGCAGTAAAAGAGTGTGAAGGCAGAAGATGCTGGTGGGCTTGAAACAAATGGGGCAATATTATTTTAAAGGCTCAAATTTATTTTTCTTTGCCACTTGCACTTCTAAGTGCATAGGTAACGGATTTTTGAAGGACTGGTTCAAGTTGTTGGCCATTAAAGAGCTACGCAAACTAGGGGACTGCTAAAATGTGAAAAATAGCAATTTTGTGCCCAGTAAATTTACACACACACAGACACACACACACACACTTCAAAATGATGAAAACCTGGTTTTTTTCAAAATACTGCAATAAGGACGTGAGATTTGGTTCACTTTGTTTATTTATTTATTTTAATAATCCTCTCGCATTCCATAATACAAACAATAGGAAGGTTAACATTGGTACTTCTGGTCCTCTTTACAAACTGCTTGTATATAATCAAATTAAAAGACAACATTTTAGGCAAGTTGGAAACGGCAGCCTTTAAAGGCAGCACTATGCATTGCCAAACTAACTGGGATGATGCTCCTCTCTTTGACTATGTTAATGTGTAGGTTGTACAGAAATGGGAGGGCAATAAGACAAATAGCAAGACACAGAACCTTATAAAAATGCACATTAAATCCTTATAGCTGCAATGCAGCATTCAATAAATAACGATACCAATTAACACAATGCAAACTTGATAGAAGATTGCAGCTGTGTACACATTACCGTATTTACGCTGGCTCCAGTGCATTCCCACTGCTGGCATTGAAAGCCGAGTGCACATGATGTTAACCGCAATCTATGTGTATCTTGTAGTTTCTTGATAAATGCTCCTATTTTATGTGCTTTCCTCAAACCAGATGCCATCCGATTTCAAAACGCAAGCTGCGGTTCAGATGCGTTTTGCGCAGCTCAGCCAGCCATTGTGGAAGTGCAGGTGGCAGCTTCCTTGAATGGGAGTCCGAGGGTTGCAGGCACAGGGAAATGAATCGGGCAATGTGTGTTGGGTGAAGACACCCCCGCCCCCTCTCTGGCATGTACAGAAAGTGCTGATGTGCCATAGCAAGGAAAAACAACCTTACTGCATTTGAAGCCTCTAATGTGTGCATAGCCTGGAAACCAGCTGGAATGGAGACTTATTGGTATTCTGTAGTAACTGGTACGGTTATTTATTGTTTGCATGCACCTATGAGAATATATGATTTTACATGGGACGCGGGCGGCGCTGTGGTCTAAACCAGGCATAGGCAAACTCGGCCCTCCAGATGTTTTGAGACTACAATTCCCATCATCCCTGACCACTGGTCCTGTTAGCTAGGGATGGTGGGAATTGTAGTCCCAAAACATCTGGAGGGCCGAGTTTGCCTATGCCTGGTCGAAACCACTGAGCCTCTTGGGCTTGCTGATCAGAAGGTCGGTGGTTCGAATCCCAGTGATTGTTGTTGTTTTACTTTATATGGTTTTACAAAGTTCTGGATCTTTTCGCCATTTGCATTATTGTAGGGGGCGGGGCTCTGATGGTGTACAGGTTTGTATCTTTAGAAATGTATGGCACAACTGCAACACAATCAAGGTCCCAAACAGGTCCTGCTAAAACATAGCTGCCCAAACTTTGCATTGGAATGTTGAGGCTCAAATATTCTTATGCATCAGAATGACACTGAGTAAGGAAAGATGACGAGTTTTTTTTAAAAAAAGAAAAGCCCCACTGAAATGAATGGGAGCTGAGAGAAAGGATCCCTTCTACCGATTTACTGGGCCTGGAAGATCCTAGCTGAATCCAGTCCTCTGCTATCTACTGCTGTTTAACTTATGGGAATCTCACCATTAAAAAAAAGAAACTAACCGAGAAAAGGAGGTAGCTAAACGGACATAATTTTCATCTGCTATTAAATTAGAAGGTCACCATAAGCACAATGTTAAAAATCAGGATTTATAAACAGTCAAGTTGGGCTAAGTTTAACTCACTTCATAGTAGTCTGTCTTGCCCAGATGTTAAGGCTTTCTAACACAATTACAGCTATTTGTTTTGCCTCTGTCACCACGGACGGTTGCTACATCATTATGCAAACATGACAAATTCATTTTATTAGTCAAACATTTGAGTTCCACTCAAGTGCACTAAATAAAATCAAGGCTGCACTGGAAGTCAAATAACCCCAGATACCACTGAATTGTAGTTTCAATAGTAATCTTAATTAAATTAAAAAGGAAGACCAGTAATTAGAATCTTTTTTTCTCCCTGAAGCTTATTGGGTTTCTATGCTGCCCACATGATTTTTTAAATTAAAAATGTATTCCAGGTGGTCTAGAATTGTAACTATCCACCCCCACCCCAGCATCTGAAGTATGTTGGACAAGAAACCACACATTTCCAGCATCTCAAACACATCGGTTGTGAATGTATCAAAATGCATTTCAAAAGTAACACAAAATAGATTTTAGAAGGTCGTAAGTAAGAAGCCAGCCAAAATCCAGCTAAGGGGCCTGAGATCTGGAAAATAGCCAATCAGCTGAATTCTGTGTATACTTGGAACCAATAAACAAGAACTGAAGCCAAATGACCCATTTTAAAAACGGCAGCAGCTGCCCCGCATGTATAAATGCTTCCCTTATATCTCATGTCACACTAGATGGACAGATTTACCCCCAAATTCCTGAGTGTCGTTGTGTTCCTCTGAAATGCACTGCATTCAAGAATTCTAAAAATCCATGTTCCAGCCCCACAAGAGAGCTCACTTTGGGTCGTCGTCCCCCCCCCTTATATACTGTTAGTTAAATTTTCACCCTTAACACTTTTTTTCTGAACCTCTGTTTCAAGAACAACTCACGACTTTTGACGTAGATAACACATTTTAGATTTTTTTGTTCATACTGGCCAAAGGATAGCTTCTTAAACAAGAGGTGCTTATTTCTGATAGGACTCCCTCACTTTGGCCTGCAGGGCATCACACGTCTTCTTAGCATCCCCAAGCAGCATAGCAGTGTTGGGCTTGTAAAAGATTGGATTGTCCACAGCTGCATAGCCAACACCTAGAGACCTCTTCATAACAATGACCTGAAACGAGGAAATTGTATTAGATATAGCACAGGTATAAATACTCAGCAACAACACAAAAGAAGGTGGTTGTTTATATAGAGCAACCCCATGGGAAATAAATTATTTCAATACACATTAACTGTTCTGTTGTCTGGTTGGGGCTAAAGGTTTCCCCCACCCGTTTCAGAAAAGTCGACCATACTCTGTTAAGGCATAACTGCAACACTTTTTGTTTATTCAATACGGGTGTGGCAAACCTTTGGCAAATTTAGCTCCATAAGACGCACCTGACCATAAGACGCACCTAGTTTTTAGAGGAGAAAAGGGGGAAAGCCCCGTTTTTGGGGGGATCAGCTCACAGTTGTGCAGCTTCTTTTGCAAAGGGGAAAAGCTCCTTTTTTTGAGGATCAGCTCAAAGTTGTTGAGCTTACTTTGCAAAGGGGAAAAAATCCTGTTTTTATGGGGTTCAACTCACAGTTCTGTAGCTTCTTTAGGAAAGGAAAGGGAGCCGTTTTTACAGTTTCCAGACAGATTATCTAATCAACCAGTCACATGTCACTGGGGAAACAAACAGCCTCCATCTGCAGAACATTCAACAATGAAGGCCTGGGCTAGGGGACGGGGCCAGAAAGGGACCCAGCGATTGACCTCACATTCGCTCCATAAGACGCACTGACATTTCCCCTTACTTTTTAGGAGGAAAAAAGTACGTCTTATGGAGCAAAAAATACGGTAGCTCTGAGAGGAGTTGGGGGACTAGGGTAACAGCAGTCTATATCATCAAGGCACTGACAGCTCCCTGCAGTGGGAGAAAGCAACAATATTCCACTATGTAGTTCCCAATGGGCAGAATAATTTGGAAGACACTCTTCCAGGTGAAAGGTTGCAAGTTTTCCCTACTCTCTCAATGGTGCCTTCTAGCCTGTCCATATTGGAAAATAGTTCAGGAGAAAGTAGGCAGAAAATTTGTGGTAGCTTGGGGCATAATTAGTATTATGTTTCTAAATAAGATGACAGCTTTAAAAAGTTTGAGAAAACATGGAATTTCTGCCACAATGTTTTGGAGCCTACCTGCTTTGCTTTCCAAACTTCTAGAACAGGCATTCCGGCAATGATGGAGTTTGGATCTTCCTGGGCAGCTGAATTAACTGTGTCATTAGCTCCAATAACAAGGACTAGATCAGTTTCTGCATTAAGAATAAGGGGGGGGAGACCACATACAAACACACAAAATTATGAACAGAACTCAATATTCCAACAGTTAGCAGCTTGCATCATAGTAGCATGAAGATGCAGAAACTTCAATTTCCACACGGAGATATAAAACCAGTACAGGTAGACTTCCCCAAACTAATTATTGGAGAGTGTTAAATTGCTTTTCCTGGAAGCTTAAAAAATTAGATTAAAATGATAAGGAGCAGCATGGAAATATTAATTTCCAATGCATGCATTTAGTAAGGGAACTGATAACAATGACTTTTAACAGAGTGAGCCAGATAAGAATCTGGCATAATTTAGATTGCAAATTTTCATATTGTAATCAAAGTGAAGCATTGTGAGCTAGCTTTTTAGAAACCACACACAGATGAAAGCAAAAACGGACTAGGGAGTGGCTCTCTCACCTGGGAAGTCTTCATTGATCTCATCCATTTCTAGGACAATGTCGTATGGCACACCGGCTTCTGCGAGCAGCACATTCAGTTGCCCAGGCATGCGTCCGGCGACGGGATGAATACCAAACCTGAGGGTAGTGGGAGAAAGAGGCAATGAAATCATGTATGTAGTACATAAAAAAGAAAGAAAATAAAATAGGAAGAAGCTTTAGAACATTGAGTTCATATAGCTCAGTATTGTCTTCAGCAGGGTGTCCCAAACTTGGGTCTCCAGCTGTTTTTGGACTACAATTCCCATCATCCTGACCACTGGTCCTGCTAGCTAGGGATGATGGGAGTTGTAGTCCAAAAATAGTTAGAGACCCAGGTTTGGGGAAACCCTGGCCTACACTAAGTACCAGAGACTCTCCAGGTTTCTCAGACAGGGTCTCTCTCCACCATACCTGGAGATGCTGAGGATTGAACCCTGGGTTCTACATGGAAAGCAGATGCTCTACCACTGAACTCTTCCCTAACTCTTCTCTTATTAATTGTCACAGCAAATTATTTGAGTACAACCCCACATGTTAATGACAATAATGATGATGATGATGATAATGATGATAATAATTTATTATTTATACCCCGCCCATCTGGCTGGGTTTCCCCAGCCACTCTGGGTGGCTTCCAACAAAATATTAAAATACAATACTCTATTAAACATTAAAAGCTTCCCTAAACATGTTAAAGATAGAAACCCAAGGCTGAGAGGGTAAATAAAGAACACAGGAACCCTGATGGGTCAAACTAAAAGCCCATCCAGTCCTGGAAGCAGATCAGCATTCTTCCAACCTGGTATTCAGAGGCCTGCTATCTCTGGCACTGGAAAATGCCCATAGCCTTATCCTGTATGTTAGGGATGATTAGGAAAGTGACAGAAAATGTAACTCCAAATAATATAACAGTGCAACCACACTTGGAATAATAGGTAGAGTTCTGGTCACTCAAAAAAGATATTGTAGAACTGGGAAAGATTTGCAAAAACCAACAAAAAAGGGGTTGGCGTGGTTTCCTAATGACAAAGCAATTAAAGCATTCATTTAGTTTAGGGGGGGAGTGAGTAAGGGAGACATAGAAGTATATGAAATTGTGAATGAAATGGGAAAGAGAAATAGGGTGAAGGTTTTTTCCTCCCTACTCTTATATGTAAAATACTAGAACGTGATGTCCTCCAATGAAGCAGAACGGTGAAAGATTTGAGAAAGACAAAAGGAAGTAATTCTTCACACAGTACATAGTTGAAACTATGAAGTTGCAACAAGATGTTGTGGTGGCCAACATGCATTATGTGGACAGATTTAAGGGGATTAGACAATTTTATTGAATTTCATTGAATAAGGCTATAAAGGTAAAGGCAAAGGGACCCCTGACCATTAGGTCCAGGTGTCAGCATGACTACCGTATTTTTCGCTCCATTGGACGCACCGGACCATAGGACGCACCGGATCATAGGAGGGGGAGAACAGGGAAAAAGAATTTTTTTCTTGTTCTCCCCCTCCAAAACAAGGTGCGTTCAAGGTACATTCACCAGAGCTTAGGGGCTGGCGGTGGGGAAGCGCTGCTTCCCTCACCGCCAGCCTCAAAGATCCCTGAAGCCTTTGGAGCGCAGCGCCCGCTGCCCTGCAGAGGTTTGCGCGCAGCCGTCCCTAGCTAGAGCAGCGAGACGGAGCCCTCCGTCTCGCTGTTCTGGCTTGGGAACAGCCTTGCTAGCTTCTGCAGGACAGCGGGGTGAAGGCACCCGCTGCCCTGCAGAAGTTTGCGCGCAGCCGTCCCCAAGCTAGAGCAGCGAGACGGAGCCCTCCGTCTCGCTGTTCTGGCTTGGGAACAGCCTTGCTAGCTTCTGCAGGGCAGCGGGGTGAAGGCACCCCGCTGCCCTGCAGAGGTTTGCGCGCAGCTCTCCCCAAGCTAGAGCAGCGAGACGGAGCCCTCCATCTCGCTGTTCTGGCTTGGGAACAGCTTTGCTAGCTTCTGCAGGGCAGCGGAGTGAAGGCACCCCGCTGCCCTGCAGAGGTTTGCGCGCCTCTGCAGGGCAGCGGGGTGCCTTCACTCCGCTGCCCTGCAGAAGCTAGCAAGGCTGTTCCCAAGCCAGAACAGTGAGACGGAGCGCTCCGCAGTGCTCCGTCTTCCTGTTCTGGCTTTGGGCTTAGCGGCGCAGCCTGCATTCGCTCTATAGGACGCACACACATTTCCCCTTAGTTTTTGGAGGGGGAAATGTGCGTCCTATAGAACGAAAAATACGGTAAGCTGCTTCTGGCGAACCGGAGCAGCGCACGGAAACGCCGTTTACCTTCCTGCCAGAGCGCTACCTATTAATCTACTTGCACTGGCATGCTTTCCAACTGCTAGGTTGGCAGGAGCAGGGACTGAGCAACAGGAGCTCACCCCGTCGCGGGATTCGAACCGCCGACCTTCTTATCGGCAAGTCCTAGGCTCTGTGGTTTAACCCACAGTGCCACCCGCGTCCCCGAATAAGGCTATAAATGTCTACTATTCATGATGGCTCCAGAAGCAGAGGCAGGCAGCGTGTCACTGAATGCCAGTAGCTAGGAGGCACCAGCAGGAAAGGGCTGAACATTACCATCATATTCTGCCCATGGGTTTCCCATACGCCTTTGGCTGGCCACTGTGGGAAACAGGATAAAGCATGAGACTCTTCATCTCAGAGTTGTGGGTTCAAGCCCCATGTTGGGCTAAAGATTCCTGAATTGCAAGGGGTGGGGCTAGCTGACCCTCAAAGTCCCTTCCAACTCTACAATTCTATGCTTTTGTATAAATGAGTGATTGCTTTAATCATGCAGGTTACTACGAACAGTGTCAATGTGAAGCTGTTGCCTGAACGAGTTTAGATTTGAGTTTAAAATTCTAGGTCTTTTAATTTTATTTACATACTTTACAACAGAAGCCACAAGCCAATTCAACACTCCAAATTCCTCATGTATAAAACCAGTTCAAAGCAAGATGGGGATTTTTGCCTTTTTATATATTTTAAAAAAAAAAATCCAAACCATGTCACAAAGCTGGCCCTGGGACGATACCAAAGAACTAAGAGCTGGGAGCCACTGATGGGCTTAAAATTTAGCTGAACTTGAAAAGCCTTTCGCAAACACCTCAAGGATAAAAAGTCCTTGTGTGAAAAACCTCTGTCTACAACAATTCAACATGACATAGAGATTTTCTTTAGAGCCCAGATTCTGGCCCAAATAGTGAAGATTTAGCTGCTTCTGGATCAAGTCTCAAATACACAAGGACTGAACTGCTGAATTTATCAAGTTAATGGGGGTGATTGTTGCCATGAAATTATTAAAGAGATTAAACCTGTGGCAAGAAGAGGTGGGCAAGACCACCTGCTTAATTAACTCCACTTGGGAATTAAAAACATGTTTTTCAAATGCTTTGCTTTGTATTCCTGGAACACCCTGGCCTGTATTTGAGAAACATGCAGGAGCTCTGGAGCAGGAGTGAGGAAAGTATAGAGAAGCTTCTCCCCACCTTATATAATTTGTACCACTGTATAGGAAATTTGTCAACGCAGACACACTAGATTTGTTTTGCTGTGTGTAAAAGAGGGTTCAACATAAAACTCATACAATGGCAATTATGACGCTCAGTGTTTCATTATCATACCTAATCCTTAATATGAACATTTCTCCACCATTTTAGCACACCGGCCAAATATTTTCATCAAGCTTTCTACAGAAATGCAATATAAATGTTGAAAACAAAACAAAGGACACCAATCTTGTGTGAGTACAGTCAAATTAGGCCACAGAAGCATAGGTGTAATCAATATTTTCTTTTTTCTTTAAGGAGAACTCTTCCCATGCCCAGATCACCTAATTATCTGTGACGACCTGCTTCCAATATTTGATTTTGGTTGTTCAGAGAACTGGGTGAGTTGTGTTTAAGCACAAGTTTTGGTGGTGGTCCTGGAAAAGATGGTGGTGATATGGAAGGCCTGGTGTAAGCACATATTATCTGACAGATGGCTATTGAAAGCTCATGTATCTCCCACTGCCCTGCTTCACATTTCTAGAAAGAATCATTCTGAAGAGTTAAGGTGCTGCTGGAGTTAGCACTAACCAAAGCTAGTTTACTTGCCGTGTTATGATTGCTCATCACCCAAGTCACTTGAGTATCTAGGGACTAAACAAGGCGTGTTATATAGGAGATTCATGGACAGGATCTCTTCAAGGGATAAAAATAGAGAAAAATCACAAGCAACTACAGGGAAACACTAAATGAGACATTCCTTTGCCCTATGCTGTTTTGCAACTAAAACCAATACCTGCAGTGCTTCCTTTGCTTGAGCTAAAGAAAAATCAAAGTAGACCTTGTTCTCAGATGTCCTGTGACATGTCTCATTTGGCCCTAAAATTATCAACACAGGAAGTATGTATTCACATGTCTACAGTACTTCCAGGACAGTGTACATTTCATTGAGCTGCTTCTGGATTTGTAACATACTTTTTTCCTTTTATACATGTATGTACATATACTTCCCCTTAACTGAGCATCTCATGGAAATGTTTCTGCAATTTTAAACTAACTTGGAAGCAGCAATCAGTTTCCAGCCCTATTTTTAAAAACCATAGGGGCTAGAAACTTGGGGGATGGAAGGGGTAGGGAAGGCTGATAGAAACAGTAGGCTTTTTCCTAACAAAGCATCTTTGCAAACGACACACAGCCCCAAGGATACTTTAGAGGGAAAATAACTGCAGTCCTTCTAGCAAAGACCAGATGTAGAATCAGATATACAACAGCAAAACAAATAGGACAAAATATTAAGAAGCTTAAAGGTTCAGCCAGTCAGCCACTAAGTAATTCAAGCCATGTGAAACAGTTCTCCTCTTTCAAAAAAAAAAAAATCCCTGCTGAAGCGCAATAATTTTTAGAAGAACTCCAATGTGGATGTCTGTGTTAGAATTCAGGCAAGCGATGCAGTTCCCCTGTGTTTCCAATATAAGTTATATCTAAGCAGTTTTTATTACAATGCATCTTTTGGTTGCATGTTCTTACTCATCTCTCTTCTCCCCCCCTCAAAGTTTGGGAGGGACAATTGTTGTTTGTTGTTGTTGTTTAGTCATTTAGTCATGTCCAACTCTTCGTGACCCCATGGACCAGAGCACGCCAGGCACTCCTGTCTTCCACTGCCTCCCATAGTTTGGTCAAACTCATGTTAGCAGCTTTGAGAACACTATCCAACCATCTCGTCCTCTGTCATCCCCTTCTCCTTGTGCCCTCAATCTTTCCCAACATCAGGGTCTTTTCCAGGGAGTCTTCTCTTCTCATGTGGTGGCCAAAGTATTGGAGCCTAAGCTTCAGGATCTGTCCTTCCAGTGAGCACTCAGGGCTGACTTCCATTTTTGAGTGACCAGAACTCTACCTATTATTCCAAGTGTGGTTGCACCCTAATATTATTTGGAGTTACATTTTCTGTCACTTTCCTAATCATCCCTAACATACATCCTATTTTGTCTTTCTCTCGTCTGGTGTGTTATGAACAGTAACAATTTAAATTTGAGGTCTTGTTGGCAATGTCTTCCTTGATTAAGAACCAGCAGTGGAAACCAATTTGCATTGTTGTATTGTTCCAAGGGGTAGGACCCAAACCAACAGATTCAAATTACAAGAAAGGAGATTCCGACTCAACATTAGGAAGAACTTTCTGACAGTAAGAGCTGTTTGACCGTGGAACAGACTCCCTCAGGAGGTAGTGGACTCTCCTTCATTGGAGGTTTTTAAGCAGAGGTTGGGTGACCATCTGTCAGGGATGCTTTAGCTGTGGTTCCTGCATTGCAGGGGGTTGGACTGGATGACCCTTGAGGTCCCTTCCAACCCTAAAATAAATAAATAAATTATTTATTTATTTATTTATTTATTTATACCCCACCCATCTGGGCAGCTTTCAACAGCTTTCAAATACAATAGTCTATTAAACATTAAAAGCTTCCCTAAAAGCCTTCAGATGTCTTCTAAAAGTCTGGTAGTTGTTTTTATCTTTGACATCTGGTGGGAGGGCGTTCCACAGGGTAGGTGCCACTACCGAGAAGGCCCTCTGTCTGGTTCCCTGTAACTTGGCTTCTCGCAGCGAAGGAACCACCAGAAGGCACTTGGCACTGGACCTCAGCATCCGGGCAGAACGATGGGGGTGGAGATGCTCCTTCAGGTATACTGGACTGAGGCCGTTTAGGGCTGTAAAGGTCAGCACCAACACTTTGAATTGTGCTCGGAAATGTACTGGGAACCAATGTACGTCTTTCAGGACTGGTGGTATGTGGTCTCGGCGGCCGCTCCCAGCCACCAGTCTAGCTGCCGCATTATATTATATTATTCTCAGTGTTTGTGAAAAACAGCATGCGATTGTTATTTAAACAGTTCAGCCATTGTGTACACAGAGTGAACACTCATTGAGCATTACGTGTGAACAGCTGAATGAATATACAACACCCCTGAAACTGCATGTGGAAAACTGTGGGTGTGGAGCTCAACTATTTTTGTACAGATGGCACATGAATCGAATGCAAGGTACAAACACCCCTTATGCCTCACCACAAGCAGAGAAGCCTGGGTTGAACGCATTACAGGTTACAAAACTTGTAATCTCTCATTTCCCTTTACAGGTTCCTGTCTCTGGGGTCTGTCCTCTCTAAACTCTGATTCACATGTATTCCAAGCAAGCACAACACTCCTAAGGATGTTCATATGTTCTCTCATTCATATCATATTTCTGATGAAAACAGAGAGTGTGTTTCTAGGAAAACTGCCAACCAAGTGGATACTGGGAACAGAGAGAGATTGCACGCACCGGGATAATCAGAGGCAGAGTGGCTAGCAGAGCATGTTACACAGCAAATTTATAACTCTTAGCAGTGCTCAGAAATGCTATTGAGCAAGCAGAGATAGGCATCGAGCAGATGTAGCTTACTAGGATCACTTATGTCTCAGAAATTTTGGCAGAAGCTACAAGAATCGCTATTTGCACATAAGATTATTAATTAAATTACAGCAGACAAATTCTGTGACGGGTTGGACGCATGAACTTCCATTGTGTCAGTGCAGTGAAAGCCTATTATTTCCAGCTTTTTACAATAAGGACCTCTGGCTGTATTCCAGTTGGGCAGCCTCGCACACACCAGTGGGGCTTCTCCACCGCTGAGTTGTAAAAATAAATAAATAAATAAATAAATAACACCCCTAAAGAACGTCCTGTGCATCTGCCAAATTCGTAGCCAGCACTGGAGCCCCATCCAATGATAAGCTAAGCAAAGTAAGAGTTTGAACTGTGGTTAAGTTTAAGTACATTTTAGAGAAAGGCTGGAAATGGCCCCAATTTTTGAGGAAGTTGTCCTTGTGAGGATAGAGCCAGAGTCTTTGGCCACATCCATACTAGGCATTAAAAGCACAAACTACCCCAAGAAGGAGGACATCATGTTCTCTGCCAGAGGTACTACCCCCTCCTCTAACAGTCAATACACTTCAGTGCTGCTAACGCAGCAAAAACACAGTTTGGGGAGTGTGAGGAATGCTGGAATGGAACTTGTGAGTAGAGATCTTTAGTGCATCTACTTATGGGCCAAAATGGAAGCAGGGCATGTCCGGAGGCCATTCTGCAACTTTCCAGAAGTTAAGCAAGTCCAGTCTGTGGTCCAGGCACTTCCTGTGCAGGAGGACCACCAGGGCACACTGTGTAGCCTACCATGAATTCTCTGGAGGAAAGGCAGGATTCCCAGTGCAATAATAAATTAAAAAACAAAGCACAGTCCTTATCACAGCTGTTAGACCTAACTGCCAAGCCACCTTGGGTGCTGTGTATAGCAGAAAAGTCAGGGAGAAGTTTCCTATAAATAACTAACTGAACAACAGAGTTTTGCAACTCATTGTATGCAACGTGTAGACACAGGAGGAGGAGAACTGTGAAAGGATTTACAGCTCTTTCCAGATGCTTCTGATATCCCTGGAGTATAACTGCATCGCAATGTCCAAATAGTCATGTGTATTTTAGGGTACAGGGCTTGGCTATGGTGGAGTGGTACAAACAGTTGTTAATTAAGCTGTGTTCTGGAGCTGCGAGACACTAAACCTTTGACTTACAAGGTTTGTGGTGTTTATCTTATGCCTTCAGTGGGGCATATTTACATTCTGCAGTTTAAGTACTCGGGTGGGGGGGGAATACTGTTTGTGATAATACTTGTTCACCTGTTCTCAATGTTACATGAATTCTAAATTTTAGAAGTGGCATTTAGTAGGCTGAATTAGTGAAACATTTCAATGTTTCAAACAAGACATATAACATATTGTGAAGAACATTAAATTGAGTGAAAATAGTTTACACAGACTATTTAAAAGAATCCTAAAGAGTACTGTAAACTAAAAAAAAAAGGAGCCTTCAGGGCCCTAATATATTAATGGTGCAGAGCCAACAAAAGTCAGCATGGTTCCATAGAGACTTGGGTTCAAATCCCAACTCCCATGCATGCAGTGGAACGGATGAATGATGGTGTTGCTCACACCAGAATTCCCAGTCTGCAAAAATGGAAACAGTGACCTGCCTTATAGAACCGGGAATTGCATGAAATATTACACCCTACCAAGGGCTCAATAAGAGCCTGAGATCAGATCCAGAATCTGGTTTTAAAGAACAACATAGGCCCTGGGAATGAACAACTTGGAGCAGATGCAGAGCACACTTTCCTTTGTAAAAATGCCAGAGCTGCCCTGTTGAATCAGGTCAAAAAGCCAATCTAGTTGGGCAACTTGTTTACCCCAGCAGTCAACATACATTAGAAGAGTCCTGCTGAATTGGGTCAAAAGCTCATCTAGTCCAGCCGATGCCTGTGTGAAGCCTGCAAATGGGACATGACCACAACAGTGCTCTCCCTACTTGGGATCCACAGTATAATGCCTTCAACAGTTCACCTCTAAGAACTCACAAATAGACCTATGCAGAATTAGCTGAACTAACAGGAAGGATTTGAAACCGGCGAGACCAAAAATTCACAGAAGACTGGAATAAATTTACGGACTATTTGAAAAGTAATTGTGAAGAACAGACGACGTTTGTAGGGTTGCAAGAAGTTTTGTGAGGAGTATTATTAGAAGTATTGTAAAAATGGACAAGGGGGAGGATGATTTGTTAAGAGATGTAAAGGCAATATAAAGTTAAGAAATGCATAAGAAGTGGTTAAAACGGTGGATCATCAGAGGTGCTGATGGAAGTCTAAAAAGATTGTATAAGTGATAAGTTTTGTGGTATATTTTATAATTTATATGTTAAAATTAATAAAAAATATTATAAAAAAGAACTCACAAATAGACCTGAAAACCCCCTTTTCTGTTGTTGGAGACATGCTATGACCCCCTTTCCCATCCTTGTTCAGTGTGATTCTTGTCCCTAGCCCATGGGTGGCGATGGCAGTAGTGGGTGTTTGTTTGTTGCTGCCTTGACTGATGATGCTGGAAGTCAGTGTGCCTGCTCTCTATTTGTCACATACCATTTGCTTCCCTTTCAGGAAAGCGAGGCTGGAAATGATGCCTCCCCAACTAGAGGGTAATTTTCTGATACTTCAATTCCAATTCCATTTTTCCTTTGTTAAAAACTTCCGTGACTTCAATGGGACTTGGTTGCAAGCAACTGTGCTCTTAAGATCACAACCTTGGTGGATGGTGGCTGCTTTCTGCTTTCATCGTTCAATTAATACCAGCATCTAATGCAACAACCATCTCAAAATAAAAGAACAGTGCAGGCAGAGGTTTGCTACCACCTCACTTTGAACCCAGTGCTTATCGAAAGAGCCTGCTCCTGTTTTTCCCTGCAAGTTATTTAGCCATTAGGCTTCCGGCAAAAATCAAACCAAGGGGGGAAATGTCTTTGGAAACGCTTCCTTGAGAAACACAGCACATCCATCACCAAGATACTTACTGTATTACGCAGTAAGATACAGACAGGGAGAAAACAGCAGGAACTTATGTTACAGGCACATATTTTTTTTTGCCTGGTTTTAGTAATACGTTAAAGATGCAACCCGACTGCAAAGGAAAACCTTATGTCAAATGGTGATGTTAGGAAATGCTGTTTCCCTCCCAAAATCTCTCCTACGCTTCTGAGTCGCAAGTCTCAGTATTAACATTACATGTTACACAATCTCTGAGGGTTTTTTCCCCCTTTTCTGGAACATGTTATGGCTATGAGCAAGGCTCACCAAAATCACAGCGTCTCTGAATCACAGACATCAGGCGTGCCATCAGGATGACAGATGCAATTTTTTCTTGGCGCAGCACAGGTATTATACATTGATGACCATCGCATGACTGTGCTGGCATTTATTTGTCACAGATGTGCAGGCAATGCCACCGCATCTGGGACGCGGCGCTGTCCTGAGGCTCTGTGGGGCCGGCAGGAAGCGCAGGGCAAGCAGCTGCACTCAATGAACGCCATGGGTGCACCAGAACGTGCTGAAAGACCCAACATGCCGCAAACAGTAAATACAGACTTCTTTCATATAAATCCCTTCAGGTAACCGCTGTGGCAAACGCTTGCCAAAATGGGCTCTATCATCTACTCCATTCACATTTATTCTGTATAGAGCTGATGCAGAAAGGAAAGTCTTTAGTGCTTTGAGTTTTTAAGAAGAAAATGGGGTGGGAGTGGGGACTGAAACACTAGCTCACACAGGAGCCAAAGGGAAAGAAAAGGTGGGTGGAAGAGAGAGAGAGAGAGAGAGAGAGAGAGAGAGAGAGAGAGAGAGAATAGCAAGCACTCTGTTTTGTTAAAAGTTGGTGGGCCACACTCCTGGGTTATAAAGAAGTGATTGTGGCTTAGAACACAGTAGCAAGCATGGTCATGCCACACCTGAAATGTCAGAATTATCCCTAAACGATAGCAACATTTACACTTCTCTGGAAGCGGCAAAACCCATTTTGTATTAATTGTTGGAAGATCCAACAGCAGCTCCATATTTCAAAGGAATTCAATGGGCAGCACAAGCAGTTCTGGCATTTTAAGCATCAACCCACGTTCAGCCAAATGAAAAAGTGGTCAACAATAATGCCATCATGCCCCCCACTCCAAATGATTATCTATAGAAGGCAGTGTCCATGCGGTATTAATACACACACCACAAACAAGCAGAGGATTACAAAAACCATCGTGTTGTTCCTGAAATTAAGAACCACAGAATCAGCTTTAATAATAGAAGACCTAATCAAACCAAGATCAAGCCAGCTAAGCCTTAGACTTCAAATACGCCAATTTAAAACTCTTTAGGGCCACATAATCATTTGTGAGAAAACCATCTAGCATAGATGAGAAAGGCCAGCAGAGAAGGAGAAATTTGCATCCTACCCTAGAGAAAGTTCCATAGTTGTGGAGCTACCACCAGAAAGTTCCTCTCACATCCGCCTATATATTTTATCTCACTTGGGAGCAGGCATACAAGGAGCTGCAAGGCTAAATGGTGAAGTTAGATAACTTGGTCCCAAGTTGTTTCTGGTTCTACACAGTGCTTTTCTTCTAGAAAAAAATGTGCCGGTACTCACCATGAAGTTGTTACAGTTAAGTGCCACACTTTTAACCAGTGCTTTGGCATGCCAGTACTATGTACCCCTGAGTACCCCCAGGGAAAATGCACTGGTTCTACAGGTGAATACCAGCACCTCAAATTGGGCTTAGAACCCCAATTTACAACATAGGATGCACATGTTCATATTATAAACAAAGAAACATTGGGTAGAAGAAAATAGCCTTAATCGCTTCAGGATTTAACCTCCTTCCATCGGGCCTGTAAGACAGAGCTATTCCACCTTGCTCTTAATTTGAATTCAGCCTGATCTTTTATTTCCCTTCTCTTCCCTCCCCTTTTACGAAGATTACCCACTCTGAGACCCCACAGCTAATTCTCCCCGGCCGCCTTGCTGGCCCAAGTACGACTAATTCAGCCAGCTAGCCCTGGTGACTATCTAATGCTTATTAGATGGATTTCCCCCAAACTGATTTCTGAATTTTGAATTTTATTGTTATTCATGTTTTTATACTGTATTTTATGCTGCTTTTACAATTAAGTGTTTTAAATTTGTTGTTAGCTGCCCTGAGCCCGGTTTTCTGAACCGGGAAGGGCGGAAATAAATAAATAAATAAATAAAAATTATTATTATTATTAACTGATTTTCCTTAAACTCTTGACTTACTTCAAAAGAGTGGGCTTTAGGATATATTTATTTCATAAAATTTCCATGCCACTTGCTTGTAAACAACAAAACAAAATGTCAAAGCAGATGCTACCACTAAAAAAAAGCTTGTGTGTGTGTGTGTGTGTGTGTGTGTTTATGTATATGTATAGATAAGATACTGAAGGAGAGAGATGTTCCCCTAACACAGTATCTACATTTGGATGGTTACATCTTGGCTTAATAAGCCAAAATATGAACAAGACTCATGGCCCCATGTGCAGCTGCTTTGATGCTACCCTGCATGAATGGGTAACAAGCCAAAGAGTCTTCAGCAAACTATGAACAGCTCCCAAACAGGGTAGAGTATGCAACCATGGTGTAAATTCGGCTTCATGCCTTAACTTGTCAGGAAGCCACTGACCACAGTTCCCTGGTTCCAATATTAACAGGAAACTATGGTTAACTGAATATTGCGTCATTTCCTGGCTTCTGTGAGGAAGAAGTGAAGGAACTGCACGCAGAACGGCAAGGGTTCTTCAGCTGCAAATACAATCGTCTCAATGAGGCTGCTTAATCATCAAAACCTCTTTGTGGTTTTCAAAACAATAAAACCACCTGATCCTCTGTGCACTATTTCCCTTCCCAGCCAAAAAATACTCACCTGACATGCTTGCCTTGTTCCTTCAGCATTTTCACTAAGTCAGCAATTGGATATTGAGCCTTTGCTGCACAAAGACCATAACCTGTGGAGAAGCAGAAAAGCCCAGATGATGTGAAGTGCTTTACCAATGCCTCACATGTTTGCCAGGTTAACTGATGGACAGGGAGAGAAACACACAAACTAAATTAACCATGCTGGTTGTCTTTACTTTCCCATGTATCCAATCTTCAACCAGAGAAACTTCAACCAGAGAAACCATTATGTGATGGTTAGGGTTTTTGTTTTAGTACAGGTGATAATGAAATGATTGGCCCCAATAACAGTGGATACTGCTGCTAACCGGGAAGTACAATTTATGACACCCAGGCTAAAATTTCCATCACTTTTGACACTTTTGAGAAACTACAGTTCCCTGGGTTCTTTGAGGGAAGCCATGTGCTTGAAATGTATGGTGTGGGTATTGCCTGAATGCAGCAAGTAATACAAGGAATGATAGGGAGAGAAGCCAAACACTTAAGATTATTTATTCATGGAAATGCAACTATCTGACCTTTAGAAGGCATCTGAAGGCAGCCCTGTTTAGGGAAGTTTTAAAGGATTGGTGTTTTAGCACGTTTTTAATATTCTGTTGGAAGCAGCCCAAAGTGGGCGGGGTATAAATAATAAATTACAGTGGTACCTCGGGTTAAGTACTTAATTCGTTCCGGAGGTCCGTTCTTAACCTGAAACTGTTCTTAACCTGAAGCACCACTTTAGTTAATGGGGCCTCCTGCTGCCGCTGCTGCACGATTTCTGTTCTCATCCTGAAGCAAAGTTCTTAACCCGAGGTACTATTTCTGGGTTAGCGGAGTCTGTAACCTGAAGCGTATGTAACCCGAGGTACCACTGTATATGTTGTTGTTGTTGTTTCATTTTAATAAGGCACTAGGCACTAGGTGTGGATATGAAGTTAGGTTGGTAACAGTATTGGCTTGGCCATTGTCTTCCACAATTTGTATTACTGTAGCAGAGCAAATGTTCTTAATTTACGGATACTGTTCATCACACAGAATCTGGGTCTCATGGCACAGGCTACAAAAGCAGTAGTCTTGAGCAGCAGCGTCAGTTTTACCAGGAGTGATGATGATATTGTTGGCTTCCTTTATCATGTCAACGGCGCTGTCCACATTCACTTCTGTATGCGTGCCGGTTATTTCCATGGGTTTCCCACCAGCTGTCGAAGTAGTGCCATATCCACCAAGGATCACGTTAGCAAGAGAGCGATTCATGGCCTAGGGGAGGCGAAAACAAAAACCCTGAATGCTTTAAACAAGTTGTCTTTTAAAAATCAAATGCAACAAATATAGTTTTGTGAAGAAAAACTTCAGCATTTTTTAATTTTTTTTTTTAAGTTCTCCCTCTGTGGCTTTCTCCAAGTTTTTATTTCCGATAGTTGTCCAAGCCTCAAGGTGACATCATTATGCAATATCAAACATGAGTCTTTCCCAAAGGCAACAGACGGTAACAAAGTTCAGGTCGTTGGAAGATACAAGGAGACAAATCACATCATGGACTAGGAAAGATGAAAAAGTTGGAGATGAACTGGAAACAATGCTAACCTATTAATTTATAAAAACCAAACAAAACAGGAAGGGGGTGAGAAAGAGCTAACAGTCTTGCAGTACAGTATAAGCCACCAGTACGATTTAATGTCTACAAGAAGTTCCAGATGCATTAGTGATTCATTCATGCAGATTTGCTGCCACGCAGTGGCCATCCAAGTTATACCCTTAATGTTACTTAAAATAAAATAAAAAACCTGCAGGTTGCAAGCAGAGTCATTTTAGTTCTCTCCCTAAGCAAAACAGAATATGTTTGGAGTTTCTGTGAACAGTACATCGATGTGTAACATTTTAAGTAACGAAAAGTTAGCCAAGCAAAAATAAATAAGGAGAAATCACCCTGGCTGCATGCCCAGCAACTAAGGAACGGATTCAAATGCATGGCATACTACATCAGTATAAATACCATGTTCATGAGTCCTGGCTTCACAGCTTTGAGGATATAATGTGCTTTAAGGATTTAAAAGACAGAATCTGTACTCTGCATTGGGCAAACAGCTACAAAAGAAAAAGAGCCATGGGGAGAAACCAGGGTGGGTGGAAAATGACATGAATGAACAAGTTAAAAACACAAAGACTGAAGTTACAACACAAAACTTTTCCACATACACACACACACAAAGAATTATTCAGTCTTCTCAGTGGGTTGACAGGAGAAAGCACATGTCTACGTTTTCCTTACCACACACATGATATAAGACAGGATGGCACCAGAAGAGCCAATAAGTGCGCCCACAATTGTTAGCAAGTTGTTGTTGAGCAGGAATCCTTCAGCACAGAGTGCCCAGCCAGAATAGCTGTTCAGTACAGTAATGACGACGGGCATGTCAGCCCCGCCTATGGCTGCTGTTAAAGTGACGCCCTGTGGAATGGAAATGAAACCAATAAATGAAAAGCAGACTGGCGTATCAATTCTGCTCAAAACAATTCTGAATGATCTCCACAGTCCTTTTCAAGCGTATCTAAATTATTCACGAAGGTCACTGAAACACCATGCCAAGACCAAACCATTGTTTTAATAACTGTTATGCAATTCTACTTATTATTTGCTGACTATCCATTAACTTCACTTTTACTAGTCACGTGTAAACTTTGTGTACTCTTTAAGCCAGGGGTCAGCAAACTTTTTCAGCAGGGGGCTGGTCCACTGGCCCTCAGACCTTGTGGGGGGGCAGGACTATATTGGGGGGGGGGATCTGAATGAATTTCTATGCCCCACAAATAATCCAGAGATGCATTTTAAAGAAAAGGACACATTCTACTCATGTAAAAACACACTGATTCCCAGACCATCTGCAGGCCAGATTTCCGGCCCCTGGGCCTTAGTTTGCCTACCCATGCTTTAAGCCAACAAATGTTGTTCCAAAAAAACAAAAGAATGGGTGGACAGCCCTTTTTTTTGTCAAGGTCTGCATTCCCTCAGAGGTAATCTTCTGGAGGTCACACATCACAGTGGGTGGGGTCAAAGCTCAAAAAGAGTGGGTCCACTCCCTCCCTTCCCTATTTCATTTCTCCCACCTTCACATCAAATTAGGTCAAGGAGCACAGGTGGCTAAACTGTGGAATAAAAAGATACCACACTGATTTCTTTGCATTGCTCTGTCTGGAAACTTTAGGGTTCTCCATAGCCATACAACTAGCTGGCTTATAACCCCTACCTTACTTCAGCTTTGTAGGAGTTTAGCATGCCTAGTAACAAATGTGATTTTTCTGCATCCCAGTTTACAGTTTGGCATTTTCACTAGCACGGCATTCCAAATCACCGCCTTCAAATCCCATGCTTACCATAACAGCAGATAGAGCAGACACTGACCCTAAACAGGTCAGTCCAGTTGTGTAACTAGGATCGATCATGTAGGGAATCATTCCTCCCACACTTGCAGTGAGTAAGCCGGCATTCAATAAGTGCCGGCCTGGTAAGAGGAGGGGGGCAGAATTCAGGATACCTGCAGTAAGCAAATAAGGAAGGAAATCTTTCAATTCCTAGAATTGGCAGCTTTAGAAAATCAGCAGCTTTAGGAGGAGGCAGAAGCCCACAGACCCAATATCAAGTTCCTTTTCTATTTCCATCTGCTCTACACAACTGTTGGCCCAATATCAACCCCATCTTCCATGGGCAGCATCAACAGGAAGCTGGTATAGAAGCTGTTTTCTTCAATAGGGTTCCAGAAGCAATAAAATACTAGGCCTGAAATGGGTGTGGGTAACATTGCTGAACTACAACTCCCATCAGCCCTAGCAAGCATGGCCAATGGCCAGGGATGATGGGAGGTGCAGTTCAGCAACACCTGGAGGCCCAATGGTTCTCCACACCTAGTCCATAACATCTTCCAATTATATACTTCAAACAATGAGCATAAGAATTGCTTTGATTGATCAGACCTATGGTCCATCTAGTATGACATTCTGCTTCCAAGTATGGACACCTATGTGTCATAGAAAGTTCATAGGTGGGACATGAAGTAATAGCCACAGCCCATGGTACATCTCCCAGAAAACAAGATAACATGAGGGTTACCTGCGGTGTAATTGCATGAAGGGGCCAAGAATGTGCCAATTTTTTAGACCCATCCCCCCAAATCTAAGGCTGCTCTCACCCCCTCCATTGCAATGTTGGGGCATAATGTCTGAAGCAGGGTGCATCCCCTAAACACACAAGCTCTCTGCAAAACTTAAAACCCAGATCACCGAGAAAATGTATTGTGTAGGGAGGCTCTGTGTATAAAAGCAGGCTTTCCACTTCAGATGTTATGTCCCAGCAGTTTATTATTCCAGGCTCCCATGAGAAAGGCACCTCAGGCAAAGAATCAGAAGCTGCTCTGTGGGTCAACCAAGAATTGCTGGACTGGCAACAACCAGGCCCTGATTCAGCAGCTGGTAAATCTCTACAGCAGGGTTGGGGAACCTGTGGCCCCCCAGATGTTGCCAGGCGCCAACTCCTATCTGTTCCAGAAAGTACAAACAATGGTCAGAAATGATGCGAGTTATCGTCCAACAACATCTGGAAGGCTGCAGGTTCCCCAGCCCTGCCCTAGATGTCAGGAAGAATGGCTCTATCACAGCCATACATGTTAGCTTTCTATTTGCAAGTGAATCTCTTATATGTGAAAATGTATTCGATCAACTTGAATCTACACCTGCAGTCTGATATGGATCCAGGACACAGGCTTACCACCTGAGCCAAAACCAAACCAAAGAGGAATGGTATGCATACATGCATACCAAAGAGTATGCAATCATGAGTACAAAGATGGATAGAATATGCCAAGGGACAGGAAGGGAAGGGAAAGGAAGAGAAGCAAATTTACCTTGGAGCTTTCCATAAGCGACGAGAGAGCCACTGAAGGTTACACCTCCAATATATGTGCCAAGGTAGGCCACAATCTTGGTGAGGTTTGCAGCTGCATCAGTATCAAAGTGAGGATACTCAATCATGTACTCAGCAATGCAGGTGAGGACAGCAGCCAGGCCAACCAAGCTATGGAAAGCAGCTACTAACTGAGGTAAATCCGAAATCTGGATACGTTTGGCAATTGTCAGACCTGTCAAGACAAAAGTAGTAAACCATCAGATGCTGTGGTGTGTAATGAGGAAGCTGTCCCGCAATGCAGGAACATCTAAGCTAGAGACAGCATGCACTACAATACAAAAGCTTCTTCAGCATTAGCACAAATGTACAGTCTCTGGTTTGCATTTCAAGCCTAAAAATAATAATATAGGAAGTGCTGGACACAACTGCAAGAAGGCCAGCAACAGCCAACATAGTCCCATCCAGATGTTGGGCTGCAAGTCCCATCAGCCTCAGCCAGTGTGGCCAATTGTCAAGGATGATGGGAGCTGTAGTCCAAAAACATCTGGAGGGCATCATACCTGATTTAAGCAAAGTCAGCACCTATTATCCAAGAAACTAAGGAGCTTTTTTCCCCAGTTATTTTCTACTCCTGACTTCAAACACCTCTACAATTTCATGGACTGTGTCCTTTAACTCTGATGATGGCTCTTGCTTGTCTTGACAGAGCATATAAAGCATGTTGTTTGTTTGATCTGCATACCACCCTTCATCCAAATATCACTGCACGGTTCACAACATAAAAATACAAAATGAGAACACAAAATACATAATAAAATGGTAAAAACGAATCAATACCCCCCCTCCCACAAGCACATTTAAAAGACTACACAACGTTTCAAAGGCCTAGTTATAGAGAAATGTTTTCCCCTGGTGTCTAAGAAATACTTAATGAAGGCACCAGGCAAGCCTCCCTAGGGAGTGCATTCCACAAATGGGGAACCACCACAGAAAAGGCCTGTTCCCGTGTTGCTGCCCTCTGGACCTCTTGTGGAAGAGGTACATGAAGAAGGGCCTCAGATGATGACCACAGGGTCCAAGTCAGTTCATATGGGGAAAGAAAGTTCTTGAGGTATTGTGGCCCCGAGCCATTTAAGGCTTTATAGGTCAAACCCAGCACTTTGAACTGGCTCCAAAAACTAACTGACAGCAAGTGCAGTCAGGCCAGGATTAGTGTAATATGCTCAAAATGAGCTGAAGAACTATAAAGAAATATAAGGAACACATCTCAAAGTATTGTGAAGGTTGGGGCCAGCTCAAAGCATGAGAGGGTTATAGTAGGCCCCATATCCTCTGCTGGTGGGCCCTGCTGGACAACCAGAAACAGCCGCTGCCTACTGTGTACAGTGGTACCTCGCGTTAAGAACTTAATTCGTTCTGGATGTCCGTTCTTAACCTGAAACTGTTCTTAACCTGAGGTACTACTTTAGCTAATGGTGCCTCCCGCTGCCGCCGCGCCATTTCTGTTCTCATCCTGAAGCAAAGTTCTAAACCTGAGGTACTATTTCTGGGTTAGCAGAGTCTGTAACCTGAAGCGTCTGTAACCTGAAGCATCTGTAACCCGAGGTACCACTGTAATCACAAAATGTACATCTCTCCTATCTCCCCTTTGCCCATGGCCCCCACTCACCACTGTGGGCTGAAAACAGTTTTCCACCCTGCTTTATCTGCTAAAAAGAAAACAAGTTTCCCCACATCTCTAAAGCATGAAGACACCTGACAGGAAAAAATGGCATCACCTACAGTAGGCTCAACTGCAAAAAAAAAAAAAGACACTGTGCTACGTTCAGAGTTTTTCCTAAAACCAGGTGGTGTTTTAGCTCTGCACTCACCTATGGTGCCACCAAGAGCCATTGCGCCCGACATCTGCGCCAGCAGCTCAGGGGATGGTTTTAGGCCTCCGAGAGTAGCTGCCATGCCCCCAGCAACACCTATCATGCCCAAAGCATTGCCAAGCCGAGCTGTTCCTTGGGTGGAGAGGCCAGCCAGAGCACCGACACAGCACAAGCCTGAACCCAGGTAGATCATCTTAAGAAGTGAAAATAAATAATAATAATAATAATAATAATAATAATAATAATAATAAGAGTTTTCGAAAAAACATATAAAGCACCTGCAATATAAAGACACTGTACCCCCAAAAAAATAGAGGGTGAGAGGGTAATATAGGCCTCATCCACAGACTTCAAATCCAAAGACATACTTGGAAGGAGAGTAAAAGGAGAGTAAACCAGGACTGTTTGTGTATACCAAACAGAACCAGGATGCTGAATGCCAAAGCACATAATTTGCTGCAAAGAATGATATATTGCACTCACTGCAATTATATGGAACAACTGCAGGATTACTAAATACGTTGGCACAACTGGGGCATTCTGGCACGAGCTGCAATGAATTTGGTTGGGGAACGGCATTCTTCACCGTGCCAAGTATAAGAACAGATCTTATCTCCCTTGAAGTCCTCCGGCTCTTGCTTTGGGCTGGGAGCCTCAGAGAAGGCAGAAGACATGCACGTTTTTCCTGCTTGCTTCTGCCTCTCTCTGAAGCCAAGTGACAAATATCCACTTTGCCCTTCCACTGTACAAGCTAAAGGACTCTTAGGAGGACTTGGTGGAGACAGCAAGCCATGGCTGCCTACTAAGCCAAACCAAAATACGTGGGTCCTATTCTTTACTTAGAATGGGGGTTTAAGAACCCTCATCTTCTCTGCATTAGCAATTTGTTTGTATTATCATGTGCCATTCCCAAAGGTTCTGCAGTGTTTTCACCACAGAAGAATTGGGGCAAGCTGCAGCAAAAAAAAAAAATGGGGGGAGGAATGACTCTCTTAGGTAGATAGAATTCAGCCTCACACAGCATGCATTTAAAGCACACACATGCAGAAATAATACAATTCTCAGCACCATTTAAAAACTACAGTTCCTAGATGTTGATTGGGGGGGGAGGGGGGTGTGCGTGCAGTCTGTAATATGCCCCCGAAAACTGCCAATTTACATTTTCTGTATGCAACGAAAGAAAATGGTACCCTGGGTCCCCAAGAGATCTTCTTACCTGTTCAATGTTATATCCGCTATGGAGAGCTGCTGCATATCCTCCTATAAAAGTGCCAGCAGGCAACAGGTACAAGTAATTGTATTCGGGGGGATCAGTGGGGCGCTTGAACATATCCAGCATCCTCTGCGTGACTAGGAAACCACCTTTCCCATAAAGAAAAGAAAAGAATATTTAGATTTCGAAACCAGCATAATGGTATTATTGAATGCTAGGAACATGGGCAATTGTTCTGAAGTTTAAGCCTCCATTTAATAATAAACTCTCAGCCTCTCCTAGGTTGCTGGCATGGACTGGCTGGATGCCGAGGAGTGGGGAGAGGCAACAGCTGGGGAACCCCCCCCCCCAAGGGAAGATGGCTCAGAGCCCAGGGATTGGTGGTGGGATGATGATGAGTGATCAGAGAGGGAAGAAGGGGCAGACGGGGGGGGGGGTGTCGGAAGGTGGAGGCAACAGGGTTGAGTGAGCACGAAGAGTCTGCAGCAGAGGGCAGACCAGACTCAGAGGCAGGAGCGGGCACAGGAGACAGAGGCCGGCTGCTGAAGAATCCAGGGAGTCTCGCCTCTTGCTGTGACCAGCTTCCCTCAACCCCTGTTCACCCAGAACACAGAGAGAAATGTAAAAGGGCAGGGGAGAGATTGGTTGTGCGCAGATGCAATCTGCGACTGCTGGGGAAAAACCCAGAGAGGAGGGGTCAGGCAGCTGTGGGAAGGTGGGGACCTTCAGTCCTCATAACTGCTGCATTGGGGCAAGACATACTGGGAACAGTTGCTGGGATCACAAGGCATGAGCTGTTTTGGTCTCTTGAGTGAAGAGCTAACTTCAACGGCACTGTGTTTTTTATTACTGACCTACGCAGTTCCTGACTGTGGTTCCTGACAGGTTTGTCCTCACGCTATTGTGAATTATTATATGATGCATGCAAGAGGGGGAGGCTGAAATCAGAACCAGAACAAATGTTTAGCTATTACTGACTGGGGCATGGTCCATGTGAGTGGCATGGTATCAACACATGCCAAAACCAGAGGTCCAAGAGGACCTCAGTGCATATATGTTGGAGCAGGAGAAAAATACAGTGCTGCTGATAGCTTGTGGATAAATAGCAGAGCAAGCCAGGCCTGGAATGGAAAGGTGACAGCTCAGTGGTAGAGCATCTGCTTTGCATGCAGAAGGTCCTAGGTTCAATCCCCACCAGGTATGGCTGGGAGAAACTCCTACCTGAAACCTTTGAGATCTGCTGTCAGTCAGTGTAGACAATGCTGAGCTACATGGACCAAGGGTCTGGCTCAGTCTAAGGCAGTTCATGGAAAAGCTCTCCAACACTGGCAAAGTCATCCTCCTCATGACCTCAGCTCACTGAGGAAGTTGCTTTTACCGTACCGAGTTATACCCATTGGTCCATTTAGCTCAGTATTGTTTAAATGGACGGTCAGTGGCTCTCCAGAGTTTCAGACAGGAAGCCTCTCCCAGCCCTACCTGGAGATATCAGTGATTGAACCTAAGACCTGCATGCAAGGCAAACATGTAAGGCAAACATTCTGCCCCTGAGCTATATGGTCCTTGCTCTATAATGGTGACATTAGGACTAGTGATGGATCTTGTTGCCACTGCACAAGCTTAAGGACTCAGGTTTCTCATGAACAAATAACTAGAGGATCACAGCAATCGGTCAGAAACGTATTTCACTGGTTTCTCTCAATTTGGATACACAAGCATACCATACCTCTTGGCCACTGCAATTTGTGACATCACTGTTTTGGTTCAACATTCCTAAAGGCAATAAGCAAGAAAGCCAAAAGATAGTCCATACCTGCAATGTTGATAGAGGACACAAAAGCAGCAAGAACAGCAAGGCTTTGAGGCACATTATCAGGGAGATATTGTCCCCCCATCAGTGCCAATCCACCAACAGCTGTCAACCCTGTGGGGTGGAAAACAGCAGTTAAGTTCCTGTACAACAGGGGAAATTGATGCCAGTTGTTATATATGCCTCCTATTCAAGAATTGACAAACACCAACAGAGATTGTTGTGTTAGTGATCCTGTTTACAATGCTCTTGTTCTGGTTTCTAACATTCCTTCTACTGTGCATTAACTGTTGCCTTATGGAACTGTGAGTTTTTGACTGATAGATTGCACTAAATTTCATTCACACCAGCAGGTTTGGTGTGACACAACAGCGAATATCATTGAACATTTCACCACCACCCAGACGCAAACCCTTTAGTGTTTATGTGTACTTCTTTGCATCCATGGGTCACCCATGAAAATGGTGAGAAAGGACTGTATGCCATAATTTTCCAGGTTAGCGGGGTTGCAAATGGGTCTTTTTCCTGGAAGCAGTTAACATAGAAATGAGAGCTAAATTTTCACTAGATTTCCACAAGTGTATTTCATATTATGTGAAAGATCACACAGAACACAAAAATTATCAGGGAAAATGGAATAAGGTGCTGTCTGAATGCGTCTTAACTAGATAATACAGTACTTTCAAATCTGCATTGGACTACCCTGCCAAATGTACACTTAATGTCACCAGCAATACAGCTAGAAACTACCTACCAAATTATGACAGTGGTAAGTATCTAGATAAGGGCAGGAAACTGGATTTGGCCAGATAGTTATCTCATCAATCACCTGATGCAGAGCACTTTGCAAAAGTGTTCAGCACTTTGAAGGGGACTCTGCAAGACCCTTTTGGCTAAGCCAGGGTTTTATATGGCTGATGTTGCAAACGTTAGCCCATTCTTGGGTGACAAGAGAACTAAAACATAATTAATTCCATTTGATTATATTGCATTTTGTTAATCACTGTGTAAAACCTGGCTCCACTGTGCATAAACCTACCGATTTCCAGGCAGAATGTACATGTGATGAAATAGACTCTAGGACTCTAGTCTGTAATACCTTGTGTCCCAACAATACTTTTAGTTGGCTTTACTTATTTTTTGGTAACCATACCTAAAACCCACATTTTAGGCTTGTGAACACATTATGTGACAGCAACGTTTACCCCACAAAGAGGGAGCTGCAACCCATCCTCTGGCTGTCAGTTGAGGGCACCTATATGACACACATTTCCAGATACAGGTATGTTTGGTGTCATTTACACTTTTAAGTGACAAATCACCCCTCAGAGAAATGTCAGGGTCAAAACCAGAAAAAGCAGTCATTTGTATTACCTGAGATGGCATTCGTCACAGACATGAGTGGCGAGTGGAGTGCAGGAGTCACACCCCACACCGTGTGGTACCCAACAATCCCAGCCAAGCCAAATGTTGTCACCATCTGAGTGAAAGCTGAATTTGGAGCGGCAACACCCAATCCGAGCAAGGTACTGAGTCCTGCAAGACAAGAGAGCATTAAGTCCTGCAAAGAATGAAAACATGTGGTAGATTTCATGCTAAGTTTTAAACACTGACAAAATACAGCCTCCCTTTGTTTCTACAGTTGTGTTCATTTATTAAATTTGTACCCCACACATTCCTCCAAAGGAGTCCAAGGTGGCTAAGACAGCTAGTCCTACAAAGATGGCAAAGTCATTCATTTTTCTCAAAGTAATTTTTCTAGCATTTTCAGGCTGCCTAAATAGCACGTGATCCATGGGAAGTACTAGCAAAGCGAGACCTTGCTTCTGATATTTTCTGGCAATGTACATTTCATCTCTCTCCTTCTCCCGCTTAAAGGCCCAGAATGGATTAAATGGCATGATGGTTCAGAAAACTCTATATGTATGCACATACACACACACACAAAGTTAGTTTTTCTACCTCCACCAATTTTGGCAGTGGCAAAAAAATAAGAGTCCTGGGGTGAGCAGAGCCCATTTACCCGATAGGGATGTAAATCATTCACACACGCCAAGTCACAGAATTGATCATTTGAATGGAGTGGAGACAATAATGCCTCCCCATCTCACCTCACTGTATGGATCAACTGAGGATGGGGGCTGCAGGAATGCAAGCCACAGTTGATATGCATATGCACATACACACACACACACACACACACACACACACACACCTGAGAGGATTCGCCAAGGGTGAATGACCTGAGAGGAAGAGGGAAGATTAGCTATCTGGCTCCCTATAATTTGACAGCAAGATCCATCTTTACTTCTAGACATTATTAGGCCCTGGGACATCTTTGGATGCAGGTTCCACAGAGTGGCCAGAGTACGGCAGCTGCTTTCTCACCTGCTGTGTATGCAGAGGCAGTCGTCATTGTTTTCCTGAAGGGTGTAATGGTGGCTGCTTTTTCTGCTTCCAGCTCTGCCACAGTCTTCTGCTTCACAGGCGCTGCCTGAGGAATGTTCTTGGGAGGTGGTGCTGGAAAAATCACTTTTCCGTCCTGAGAAAAAGCAGTTGTGGTTTTATCCAACGGATCAGAGAATTTGCAATCTCCTGGGCTAAAGTGGACCCCCCCCCACTGCCCAGAGACATGATTTAGCCTGCCAGTTCTTAAATCCAGAGGCAAAAGGAGTAAGAGGTGTCTGTGACTATGGGATTTGCAGCACTCTTCCGGGAAGTGTCAACAAAGGTATGGACCTACGATCCTCTCCTGCCTTGACAAAGTGGTTCTCAAGCAAATCTTATCTGCTGATTGGTGTGTGTGTATATTATACTGGCAAGGAGCTATGCACAAGCATTTTTAACAAACAACAATTAACAAAGGAACAGCCAGATATCATATCTGGATAACATTGTGTGCATCTGAATGCACTGTTTAGTTCCATTCAACATGCTTGGTTCATTTGAAGCCAAAAAAGGCTAAACTGATGGATGTACCCCCAGGATTAAGTAATGCATGTATAGTGCAGTTGAACACAAATAATACTACCCTTCTTGCACATTGATGACAGATTATCCAGGGGAATTTCAAAACATTCAAAACATACAGGTGCTTTAATTCAGGTTGTAGAAAAGAAAAAAGAAAGAACAGGCTGAGGCTTGGACTCCCAATTTAAAAAATAACATAGATTAGCTTACCTTCATTACCACTGTTCCTCTTACAACATGGTCCAGGGTACCATAGTCAAATTCATCCTTTATGTCAAGGAAGAACTTCTCCTTGTCCGGGCTGATGGCCTTCAGGAGCTTGGTGATGTTATTGGAATACAACGTGCTGGCTTGGGTGGCCATTCTGCTGGGAAGGTCCGTATAACCTATGTGTGTAATTCCCTGGAGATACCAAAAATATGGCTTCATGAATAAGCAAGCTGAGACACAACTCCTGAAGTCAAAGTTGGGGGGGGGGAACCATTCCTAGACATCAGCATCTAAGAACATGGTACTAAATGTTGATTTTGCCAAACGAATGGGAAGGGTCACAGCTCAATGGTATACCATTTGCTTTGCATACAATAGGTCCTAGGGGTCATCTCCAGGTACGGCTGGGAATGTCCCATCAGAAACACTGAAGAGCTGCTGCCAGTCAGTGTAGACAAGACTGGCATGTGTGGGTGGGGCCCTGACTTACTCCATTTACAAAGGCTGCTGCTGAAAGCAGCTACTAAGAATATCTGGTGGCTATTAAGAAACCAGTACCTTGTGAATATAGAGTTCTCCTGGCTTTGTAGTTTCAATGTTTCCCCCAGCTTCAGCAGCTAGGTCTACAACAACTGAGCCTTCCTTCATCAATTCAATCATATCTTTCCGAAAGAGGATTGGAGCTTTTTTACCTGGGGGGGAAAGTAGGAAAGCACTGTATCAAGTACACCAAATAAGGAAGAACCAGTGACCACATTTTCCTCTAAAGCAGCAGTTCTCAACCTGTGGGTCCCCAGATGTTGTTGGACTACAACTCCCATCATTCCTGAGCTCTGGCCTTGCTAGCTAGGGGTGATGGGAGTTGTCGTTCAACAACATCTGGGGACCCACAGGTTGAGAAAGGGTGCTCTAAAGGAAGAAATGATTTCTCTTAATTTTCCCCTTGATTTGCATGTAATTCAGTAAACATAGTATTTTAGTTGCATGCATGCATTTCCATACGCAACAATCTGATTCACTTCCAGATTATCCCAGATTCAATGGGAGCAAGATACATCCCTAGATAGGAAGAAGCCCTCTCCTCCACTAAGATGCTACCGAAAACATCATGGGAAGTTGAAGAGTGGCCAACCTCATGGGAGGCTTGGTGCTGAGTATTCCAAATTGTATCCCAAACGAGATAGCAGTAAAGTGTTATGGGCAGAAATGTACTGTACAGTGGTACCTCGGGTTACAGATGCTTCAGGTTACATATGCTTCAGGTTACAGACTCTGCTAACCCAGAAATAGTACCTCAGGTTAAGAACTTTGCTTCAGGACGAGAACAGAAATTGTGCTCTTGCGGCGCGGCGGCGGCAGGAGACTCCATTAGCTAAAGTGGTGCTTCAGGTTAAGAACAGTTTCAGGTTAAGAACAGGAACGAATTAAGTACTTAACCCAAGGTACCATTGTAATGGGAAGAAACCTAGCAGTCTTGCACACAAACTCAGCTCTGAGGTGGTGACTACTTTCAGCCGGAAGGTCAGCAGAAGTTAGTATCAATGGCAGATTTATTCATGTCTTTTGCAGGGCTAACATCTTGGGCTCCAAATGGCACGAAGCAAAAGCAAGAACAATGCCAACTAACCGACAGCTTGCATTTGGACCACAGTGTGCAGAGAGAGAGCGAGAGGGAGAGGTTGAAAGCTTCCCTCGCAGTCATGATCCTGACGAAAATCACTCTCTCCTGCACTGCTAATAGCCTTCAGAAAAGACCACCCAATATTGAATGAACCTTAACACCTTCACCATGAGCTAAATACCAACACAATGAAGGAGCAATTTTGGCAAGATCATGGCTGGGGAGGGAAGGATTCAATCTTCCCTCTCTATGCATTGTGGTCCCAATAAAAATCATTGTGTGCACATGTGCCTATTATCAAAGTTTTTAAAAACATGATGTACTAGCCAGTGACGAATTTCGAGTCATGTGCTGTTTTGACGCCAAGTCAGAACAAATATCTTTGCAAATCTGCTTAAGTAAACACATTCTTTTCATTTCAACAGGAAAAGGGCTGCCTGCTCCACAGGACACCTACCAGGAATGAGAGCTGTCGTGATAATAATGTCAACATCTTGGCACTGTTTTGCAAAGAGTTTCATCTCGGCTTCAATGAACTCTTTAGACATCTCTTTTGCATAGCCTCCTTGCCCTTCCCCAGATTCTTTTAGGTCAACCTCCAAAGGCTCCGCACCTAGTGATTTGAACTGCTCCAATGCTGCAGCTCTGTAAATTTGAAGAGAAAAATAAGCTATTAACAGGAAGGGTGTTGGGGAGAAACAAAAGGACAGCGTTAGCGAAGGCTCCACCCAGGAAGGGCTTTTTACTGGGTCAAATAGGCCCACAGGGGTGGTCTAGATGGACCAAAGCCCAGCTTTTTAAGGGAATTTCCTATGTTTCTCTGGGACCCCACATATGACATGCTGGCCCAAACTCCTTGGCAGAATAAAGGTAAAGGGACCCCTGACCATTAGGTCCAGTCATGACCGACTCTGGGGTTGCGGCGCTCATCTCACTTTATTGGCCGAGGGAGCCGGTGTACAGCTTCCGGGTCATGTGGCCAGCATGACTAAGCCACTTCTGGTGAACCAGAGCAGCGCACGGAAACGCCGTTTACCTTCCCGCCAGAGTGGTACCTATTTATCTACTTGTACTTTGACATGCTTTCGAACTGCTAGGTTGGCAGGAGCAGGGACCAAGCAACGGGAGCTCACCCCGTCGCTGGGATTCGAACCGCTGACCTTCTGATCGGCAAGTCCTAGGCTCTGTCGTTTAACTCACAGCGCCACCCACGTCCCCTCCTTGGCAGAATAGATGGATACAAACGAAATAGTAAGGCCGCTAGCAATAATTTACAATGGGTATGCACATACCTGGTATCAAACCCACGAACCACAGCTCCCATTGATTTAGCTGCTCCTGCAGATGCTAAGCCTGCGACTCCACCACCAATGATCAGAACCTGCGTCCGCAAGATACAGTGCAGTTAAGTCACAAATCAACTGGCATTGGTTCAGTGTCAATGAATACGGAATGAAAATGGTTTCCTGAGCCTGAATATTTTACAAGCAAGTTCAAGCAGAACCCAGCTTCTTCAGTGCCTTACCAAAAAAAAAAAAGCAGTCAGCCAGTCAACGGAATAATATTTCAATCAAAAGGACCCTTTGCAACTTCCCAGCCATCAGGTAGCTATTTTGTAAACAAGAGGAACTACTCCTAGGCACAATTGTGAGTTTTCCCTCTGATGGGATATCTGGTCACCTGTGCACATTCAGGAAGCTGGGAAAGGAGCAAACATGGGAGTATTCCAAATATCCACACTAAATGTGACTGTGCACATATCTCAGTTCTTTGGTCTCATTCTCACAATCCCTATTTCAGGTCTTAAAACCCAGTTCAGACATAGCCATATTCTGAAAGTGTTAAGAAGTCTCATTAGGTTAAGAGTACAAAACTCAGTTTGGCTGTTCTGTTGACAGTCCAAACAGAAAAAGCATTTTATCCATCTGGTTTACTGCACAAGAATGATTTTCTGCTTGTCAAGGACACCAAGCTGACCCCTTCCTTGCCATGGGGCCTCCTAGTCTTTGCTCTCTCACTCTGGGATATTCTTCTTGTCCTCTGCAGAAATGAACACATTGCTCCCATTTCAGTGTGACTTCTCTGACCTTTACACATCCTTGGGACCAAGAGGATTAACCTCTTCTACATCTGGTTAAGACTCCACACTCCCAAACTTTTGTTCTGGCCTTCCCACAATCCCACAATGCCAAGATATAGCTAAACTAGCTCGGCACTAATCTAATCTGTATTATCCCTTGGATCTTTCTGAACAGTGCAACAGTATTTGGGAAAAGAGCAGCCAGGGCTTCTTTCGGGGTAGATTTAGAAAACCAAAAGCTGCACAGTAACCATGCACCATCTGTAAGCAGCTGGAGGAAGACAATAGCTAAATCCAGTGCATCTTCTCCTTGGGAATGTGAGGGAGCAGCAGGGTGATAGCACTAAGCTTAAATCAGGGACCACCACCTTTCCATTAAGTACATAAGCAGCACAGTAAGCAGGATTGCATGCATATCCCACAGTTCCTTGGAACCAGGCATTACTTGCATTCAACATCTGGCAAATCTGAAGGCCTAACTACAGTGATGCTAAATGCATCACCCAATCACGTCAGGCAATTACCATTATTAATTATAATTAATAATTAATAGTAAACTAAAGTGAAGTTTTAGCAGGACCACAGCTCACAAGGAAGGAAAATTCTAGCCTTCTCTCCCCAGCCACAATTTCCACAGAAATCACACACACACACTGCAATTAGTAACAGGGGATAAAGATTCCACTGACATTCTACTGATTCCCTGTCACTAATTGTAGGGCAGGAGGGTGAATCTTCTTCTATGCATGCAGAAGCAGAACAAATTATGCAGACTAATGAAAATATATGCAAGAATACTTAATTTGCATAAATTAAAGAGACCATGGAGCTTTCCCCACTAAAAAAAAATCTGATTTGGTTAGTGCAGAATAAACGCAATCTGGTCAGTAAGCTTCCAAGCGATTACTACATTGCTCCTGGAGAGCCAAATTTAATCCTCTTGCAAAACCAGTATCTGGTACAGTAGTTTGTACAGAAATACTCCAAGAACAAAATAAAGCACATATTACTTGCCCTTTAATATACTCTAATGCATGGGCCCAATATTTTCTCCACCCTTATATTGTTTTATTTATCAAAATTTATATAGTCCTTGATTCTAGTGAAACCTAGAATTAATATCAAAATTATATAAAAAAAAGTTTAATTATTTAAACCATCTAAATGATAATTAAAATGAACAGCAGATAAAAAAGTTATTAAAACACACCAACATGTCAGGTTTGGGGCTTTCCCCCTTTTAAGGGGGAACGTGGCAAATCACACACAGAAACATCTGTGTGTTGAACTATGTGTATATTTTGTACTTTAGGATCTGCACACAACACTTTGTACTGTTCTTGTGACAACAGCACTAGTCTCAGTACAGATCTTTGGACTTTATTTTACAAGCCTGTAACAAAAAGGGGGCCCGTAAAAACAAAAATTAAACCTAGAATTCTAGACATCAGCAAAGTATTGTTCTTTAGGTTGTAGTCTAGATAAAAAGCACAGCATCTCTTTAACCAAAAATGCAATTCATAAGACACATCACGCTGTGTATGAAGACCTTGTATTCCAGCAACAGCAAGCCAATTTTTATATTAAATGTCTACAATTTGAACATCTTAAACTTTGAAGGATGCCAATTCATAAGCCATTCAGCCTCAGCTGCATCCAAACAAATGTCTACTAACAGCAAAAGAAGCTATATTTGGCTCACTGAGAGATGCTAAATAAAGGGGGGGGGGGGAGGTAGTCATCCTGTGAAACAAAATTCCAACCAGTATCTATTGCAGTTGAAATGCAAAGTCACGTCACATTTCTATCACCTGATGATTGTGCCTGCAAATAACAGCACTTGCACTTATTTCATTACCTACCTTTGCTGGAGGGACTTTGCCAGCTGCCGTGATCTGACCCGTAAAAAAACGACCAAAGTGATTGGCTGCCAACACAACTGCCTTATAGCTGTCAGAAATAAAAGAGAACACAAGCATCTGTATCATTTCCCAAGCTTACATTTATTTTATTTATTTAGAAGAGGGTATTGTTGTTTATAATAATAATAATAATAATAATAATAATAATAATAATAATATCTTTATTGTCATTGCCCCCTTCAGGGACAACGAAATTACTTGACTGCTCCATAAAAACACTAATTAATCAATACAGTATAATACAGCAAGGGAGATTAGATGACTTTCAAAGTCTGGGCTTCCCATTCAGGGCCGAGATCGCTCTGGAGAAGAAGCTGTTCTTAAGACGGCTCGTTCGGGTCTTCATCGTCCTGTATCTCCATCCCAACGGCAAGAGCTCGAAGAGACAGTGACCAGGATGCGATGGATCTTTTACTATGTCCAGTGCCTTCCTATGGCACTGGACATAGTAGCATAAGGTGGTACAAATAGCAGAGGTATTTACTGGACAAATTTGCTTGTCCAAAACATAGCCTTCTCATTTCCTCATTCCTAAGGAGATGCACAAGCTGTTGATGGCAACCTCCCTCTGATCTGGCCCGTGCTCTTTGGGCTTTACAAAGTTTGGCTCAAATTTGCAGGAGCTTAAAAACTCCTTTCTATGTGCAAGTATTCACCCCCAGTATTCAGATTCTTCACCTGCAAGTAATTCCTTCCTAATTCCTTTCCCAGCTAATGGATCCACACCCTCAGTAACAGAGAGAACCTAGTGGGCTTCAGATTCCCATACATTCTTTGAACCCAAATAGATACCGATTCTTAAATATTTTCCAAACCACATAGCTTGGCTATCTGCCTTGACTACACCTCCAGGTATATCTCCACATTTGGACATAATTACTTATCCATGGGATAGACAACATGGTGCCCTCACCATATGGCATACCACAACTTCCATCAGCCCCAGCCAGCATGCCAAAGTGTCATGGACAGTAGAAGCTATGGTCCACAACGTGTGGAGAGCACCACACAGGCTGCCCTTGTTCACAAATGAAAACAAACCTTTGTTTAGGATATGAATCCCAACCAAAACCCAACTGTCCATTGATGTAATCACACAGCTGGCTAAAACATTGTGTTTTCATACCCAGCGATGTTGGCCATGGAGCTGAGAGCATCATATCCTTGAGCAATGGTCACGCGAGGGACCTGATCCATAGCCAAGACAGTGGTTCTTCTTTCTGACAGTTTGTTCAAGAGGTCTGGGTTTTGAGCTGGGTAGATAAAACTGATTAGGGTACCAGATGACTTAAAGAGATCTGCCTCGTGCATGCCAAGAGCTGGATTCAACATAGGAGCTCTCACCTGAAATTGAGAATGCACAAAAATTAATAAAGCATCACTTAGCATTTTCATAGTGCTAAAGACTGTTCAATATACTTCTCAGGAATCATCCTAATAATCCTAAACACCTGCATATAAAGAAGGACAGTTTTCATTCCAATGTTGCAGAGGGACTGGTGCTAAAATAGGTAATGTTCAAACCATTTACAGGTACATTGACATTGCTTTTAAGTACAAACAACAGGTGTAGGAGACTGATGTAGCTTGGCAGTGATGTAAGTGTTCTTCAACACTTTGGCCCCTCCAGCTGCAGTCTCAGTCCAGATGAGGGGTCCAACAACTGCTATTTGCATTAGGGAAACAGTAACAGGAAGCTTTCCTTCCCATTCCAGATTGGGACTGTGGCAGAAGGCAAATTGTTAATACCCTCAATTGCACCTGCCAGGGTCCAAATATACACCAGAATTTCATCCCTGGGAGCACGTGGGTTGCCTCATAATACGTTCTGAGTTAATAGCCCTGGCAAGATTTTGAAACAAGGAGTCATGGTTCCAAGCCCAGCATAACAGCTACTGCAGCACTACAGCTCTCAAATACAGTATCTCAGCAATCCTCAAACAGCTCTGTGGTGCAGGCTAATATTTTTATTTTTTAATTATTTTCATTATTATGGTAACAAGGGAAGAATGCATTGAGGGTGAGATATAGTAAGGCCAATTCTGCATTCCTGAGAAACAGTTTCTACCCAAATGCGATTTTGGTTTTAAACGCATTGTATGGAGTCTGTAGGGGGCTAACCAGGTTAGGATAGCTGAGATAGCAGGCTTCTTGGTTTTATGTAGATTTTTCAATTTCATTGTTCTGTATGGGACAATGACAATAAAGATTATCGTGTCATATCAAGTCTGAAGCAAGATTTAAACCAAGGACATCTTAACTGCCGGCTGATGTACTTTCATTACTGCAACATAAGCTGAATAAGCTACTGTGGACAAAAATTATAATTCCGTATGTTTCTAGCCAGACCATGGCTCAGCAGTGAAGCACATGCTTTGGATGCAAAAGGTTCCCCTTTTGAAATCCCCAGAATGGCAAAGAAACAACCCTGCCTGAAATGTTAGAAAGCCACTCCCAAGTCAGTGTAGATAATGTTGACCTATGGTCTGATTTTGTATAGGGCAGCTCCTAATGCATTTCAAAATGTTTAGACTACAGGAGCCAAGACTTAGCACATCATTGCCATTCAAAGAGCAGCTGCAGGAGTGGACTTTGCTCAGTCGATAACGTGCCTTGTGATAAGTGCATTTGGACTGCAAGGACTGAGGTTTCCTTTCTGTTTGAGGATTCGCTCACACATGTTTTAGAAATATCATGGCAGGGAAATCCCATTCCTCACATTACAGTGTTTTTTTAAAAAAGACTGTCCCTGCAGGCTGATTAAAGATCACCGATGCAGCCAGCAGAGGAAACTTAAATTTTTTAAGTATGGCAACTGTGGCTCATGATCACAATATATCAAAGCACATACAAAATAAAAAATATGCAATCAATATTTTGAGAAAGCTCTCACCCACGCACCATCTGTTGAATACATCTGGAGAGTTAGGATAGACGCATGAGCTGTGGTTGCCAAATGGAGGAAGGAATTAACTTATCTTCCTAGCAGCTAGTCGCATGGAAATTCTACAGACAGTGCAAGTGACTTATGCAATGAGCTGCTGTACTTAACAATCCTTATAATATATAGCAGCTACTACACTGAGGCTACTTATTGAGGTCTTCTTGCAGCAACTGCAATGAGCCAATGGAGGACTGTGGACAACACAAATCGCACTCTCATGAATATGTGGCACTGGCTTCCTTTATATGTGAGCAGCCCTGATGCACAGATCACCATGGGCCAGTTCCATAGATCTAGCTCAGCATTTCTGGAATTCCCCCATCACTCGCTCCTGCAAGCAAATACTCGTATCAGTTTACAAATTGCCTTCAAATCTTTCCTAGCACAGGAAGAGCTCCCCAGTGGTAAATGGTCTGCTACACACATTCCTTTACACCACACCAGTGAATCCAAGGATTCTCGCCATTCTCACATGGCAAGGGAACCTGGGCAAGCATGTGAGGCCTTGCTAGATTGCCTGCAGAAACCGTAGGCCCATATCTTACTGAACTCGGCATCAGTAAGCTTCCCGGAAACACCAGGATCCTCCGGAACACAAAAGTTGGAAAGCCACCACTGCACAGGCTAAAATGTACCTCCATGGCCTGCACAACATAAAGTACTGGGAGCCTATACTTGGTGGGGGAACTAAGAAGACTCCATGGGCAAGTGCAAACTCAACACCTCCAGATCGTAGCCTGCATCAGAGCTGCCATTTGGCAGTGAATCTGTGACACTCTGTGCCTTTGCTGCAGTCTGACTCCACCCTATAAGGTTAACTCAGCATTATTTCTCTACTCAGCAGCAACCACATAAATAGGGCATTCATATGACAGGACAGGGCAGGGGTAGGGGACCTCAGGCCAGGGGCCCAAATGCAGCCCCACAGGCCTCTCTATCCAACCCTTGGGACTGTCATAGGAAGCTGCCTATATCGAGCCAGATCATTGGTCCATCTAGCTCAGTACAGTGGTACCCATAGGGCCAGACGCCTGCAAGGCCAGAAGGCCCGCTAGGCGAAAGGGTTTTCCGTTTTAGAGCGCTTCGCAAGCAGACTTCCTATGGGCGCCGCAGGAGCTGACAGCCATAGGGAAATCTCAGGGTTTCAGCGAGGAAGCGCAGGCGCGTCTTCCCCACTGTCCTCGGACCTCCTCCGAAGCCTGGCGGGGGGGCGGGGACACCTCACTCCCGCCCGCCGCCGGGCTTGAGCTCCTCCCGAGGCCGGGCGGGGAGGAACACCTGCGCCGCCGCCCGGCCCGGAGGGCCGTGCTCTGCAGGCCGGGGAGGGAACACCTGCCGCCGCCGCCCGGCGGGCTGTGCTCCCGAAGCCGGGCGGGGAGGCCACCACTGCCGCCGCGCGCCCGGCCCGGGCGGTGCTCAGGCCGGGCGGGGGGAGGGTGCCCCGCCGCCCGGCCCAGGCAGTGCTCGAAGCCGGGTGGTGGGGAGGGAAGGCCTCCCCCGCCGCCCCGGCCGGGCGGTCTCCCGAGCCGGGCGGGGAGGACCTCCCGCCGCCGCCCGGCAGGCAGTGCTCCCGAAGCCCGGGGCGGGGAGGGCACCTGCCGCCGCCGCCCGGCCGGCGGTGCTCCCGAGCGGGCGGGGAGGGCACCTCCCGCCGCCGCCCGGCCGGGCGTGCTCCGGCCGGAGCGGGGGGGAGGAGCTCCGCCGCCGCCCGGCCCGGAGCGGTGCTCCGAGCGGGCGGGGGCTACGAGGCGGGCGGGCGAGTGCTGCTCCCCTGCCTGCCTGTCCCGGAGGCTTTTGAAGGCGGGAGCAAGACTTGCCCCCGCCCGCCTTCAGAGTCAGGACCTCTTCTGAAGGCTGGCGGGGGCAAGTCTTTGTCCCCAGGAGCACCAAATTTGCCCCGGACAGCGGAGAAGTCCTCCATGTCCCGGGTGACCAAATGCCGCCCGCCAGCATTTTAAGATCGCCCGGACAGCGGAGAAGTCCTCCGCTGTCAGGAGTTTAAAGTGCTGGAGGTCAAGGAGCCCCCCGGCTTCAGAGAGGTCAGGACAGACTCCCCGGTCTAGTCAGCGGTTTCCTAGGAGCACGTGTTGATTTTCAGTGCATTCCTGGGAAACGTGCATCATGGGCAAACTCGCAAGGCAGAGAGACTTGGAGCAGATTAATTTCGTCTTGCGAGGCACCACTGTATTATCTACCCTGACTGGGAGCCATTCTCCAAGACTTCAGATAGGGAACCATCCCCAGCCGTACCAGGAGATGACAGAGATTGTACCTGGGACCTTTACCACTGAGCCACAACCCTTCCCCAAGCCACACACCTATTTTCTATGTCCCTTTGCTCAATGTTTTTGCCTGGCTGGACTATGTCCCTGAACTATGATAATGGCAATTGCCTGTCTAGATGGAATGATGTGGGTGGGTGGGGACTTTTTACTTGGCTGTAACGTAGCCTCTGGTACAAAGGCAGGAGTCACATCCATTGCTATGCCCACTTTTGCCTCTAGGCATGCCCACGTGTGCCTATGGCCCCACCCACCTCTGGCTTGTGGGCCCCAGAAGCTGAAAAGGTTTCCCCACACCAGCGATAGGGAAGTATTGAAAAAAAAATCCAGAATTACTTTGACGACTAAATCAGATGCCAAGACTTCCTTCGTCCCTTGGATCTGTGCCCCTGCCTCTCTGTAATGGTCATCAGAGAATTTGGAAGCTTCTCCTGCAGTCGACTCCACAACAACGTTAAACCCTTGTTTAACCAGGGCTTGAACTCCTGCCGGTGACAAGGCCACTCTCTTCTCATTCTGAAATATTTCCTTGGGAACACCCACAGTCAGCTGCTTATATGGGATACCTGTAAATGGAAGAGAAGCAAACAGCAAATCCTTTGGTAATTTGCAAGGCGGGAGGGGGGGGAGAGGGAGAGAAGACAACCTCCAATGAAAATAGTCGTTTGCATGTACAATGCTTCAGGCTGAAAATATGATGGACAACCATCATCCCTTTAGATACCAATCTATAACAACTCACCAGTGCACATATGGCAGGAGTAATTCAATAAAAAACATTAACTATTCATTGTAATGGAAAAGATAAACACATTCAAATGATTAAGCCCAATCACTCAGAAAGCAAATCCCACGGAGCTCCATGAGCCTTACTCCTACATAAGTGTGCAGGATTGTGGCCCAAGTCCAATTTAAATAAAACAGTAAGCACTTGAGTTCTATGAAAAGTGGTTGTGTGAACTTAGTGGTAGAAGTCTCAGAATATCTTCCTCTCTCAGGTGTAAAACTTATTAGCATGCATAATGTTTGGGTTTTTTAAAAAAATTCTACAGTCATTTGCACTTTGGGTACAATGTTTTTTATAGTCTTCTTTAGCTGCAAAGGTGACGACCTTGGGATAGACTTCTTTCATTTTACATGTGAAAAACTCCAGCTAAGAGTCCAGCAACTTGCCAAGTAGCAAGTCTATGGCTGAACTGGTCCTGCAGCCATTTCTCACAAGGTCATGTTCCACATGCCGCTTGGCCAGGCTGCAGTGTTTCTTTTCCTCCAAAACATGTGACAAACATTCCTTCAAATGCTGTAACACCAGAAACACCAATAGCCATAAAACAGAAGTGGAGAAACTGTTGTTCCAGTCTTGGAAAACTAAAAAGGCATTTGCAGCTTTTTAGTTTAGAGAAAAAGTGACATGATAAAAAGGGTAAAGGGACCCCTGACCATTAGGTCCAGTCGTGACCGACTCTGGGGTTGCGCGCTCATCTTGCTCTATAGGCCGAGGGAGCCGGCGTTTGTCTGCAGACAGCTTCCAGGTCATGTGGCCAGCATGACTAAGCCGCTTCTGGCGAACCAGAGCAGCATACGGAAACGCTGTTTACCTTCCCTCCAGAGCGGTACCTATTTATCTACTTGCACTTTGACGTGCTTTCAAACTGCTAGAAATAGAAATTTATAAAATTATGCACGGCATGGAGAAAGTGGATAGAGAAAAGTTTGGCTCCCTCTCTCACAATCCTAGGACATGTGTTGAAAGCTGAATGATGGAGGATTCAAGGCAGACCAAAATAAAATAAAATAAGGGTCCTTGTTGGTGTATAGTTAAAACTATGGCATTCGCTACCACATGAGGAAGTGAAGCTCATCGACATGGATGGCTTTAGAAGAGGCTTACACAGATTCACTGAGGTAAAGGCTATCTGTGGCTCTTATTCCTGATGGCAATAAGCTTCTGAATACCAGTTGCTGGAAACCGCAGGAGAGGAGAGGACTCTTGTGCTCAGCTACTGCTTATGGGCTTCCCACAGGCATCTGGTTGGACGCTTGTGAGAACAGGAAGCTGGACTAGATAGGCCATTGGCCTGACCCAGTAGGGACTTACTTTGTTCTCAGGGCCAGAGGCACCACCTTCTCAAGATGACTGAGGGGACCTCATGTGGCATCCTGATGTCACACACACGCGACGTCATGAGGAGCCAGGGGGGCAGAGCCAAAGGCCCTCTGAATATTGAGGGAGCCTGGGACCCTCAAAAACAACAACACTGGGGTGGTAGTGGAAGTGCCTTGGCCCCTAGGAGCTGGTCTGTATGCTTGCAGCACATATCTGGCGTGGGTGGTGCTATTCCCCCCTCTCTCTGACTCTCCCCCCTCCCCGTCCACCAAACTCATTCTCTCTCCTTTACACTTCTCTACCCCCTCAGCTATCATCCCATGGAAAATAATCCCCACACACAACACACAGGTGGCAATTAGGATTGGGGAAAAGCTCCTGAAGAAGAAGAGTTTGGATTTGACATCCCGCTTTATCACTACCCTAAAGAGTCTCAAAGCGGCTAACAATCTCCTTTCCCTTCCTCCCCCACAACAAACACTCTGTGAGGTGAGTGAGGCTGAGAGACTTCAGAGAAGTGTGACTAGCCCAAGGTCACCCAGCAGCTGCATGTGGAGGAGCGGAGACATGAACCCAGTTCCCCAGATTACAAGTCTACCGATCATAACTACTACACCACACTGTCAGCAGTAATGGAAACTCCCCCACCACCCAAGTCCTAACTGGTGCACCATGGGAGATTTTCATTGGCATCCTAGTGCACAGGGGAGGTAGATGTTTGCTGCTTTACTCCTCAGCTGCCATCCCAATGAAAATCACCCCTCCTAATAAATTGGCTCCCACTGGTATGAGCGCAAGTCTTCTCCAAAACTGAAGTGCCAGCCCAAAGGTCAACCCTTTATTATAATACTAATACTAAAAATAATGTTACTTATTATTTATGAGTTAACAATATACCATAGTTGCTCACCCCTTCTTTAAGGTATCACCCCTTTCCGCCCGTGAAGAAACAAGGTAGCTTTGGGAAGCACTGATAAAATGCCCAGTCATTCCCTCCCATTCACCAGGTCACAGCAAAGGCTTCTACAAAGATGAAGCATGGAATAAGCATCGCTCGGACATAAAAGGCCAGCCACAGGACCCAACATCATCCCTGGTAAGCTACCATCATTTACAGAGGATCACTTCAATTTTGCTTAAATCTCACAATAAGGAAATCTACAGGGAACTACAGAGAGGAAGAGAGCAGCACTGTGTTGGTCGCGTTCATGGACTCCTCAGTGACCTCCACAGAGACAAAAACCCAAGATTAGACACCAAAAGTGCAATCTAAGCACAGCCATTCAGAAGCAAATCCCAATGAGCACAATGGGGCTTACTATCTAGTAAGTGTGCTTAGGACTGCAGCCTCTTTAGACAAGAGGCTATTTTTAAAGACTACTGCTAAGATGGGGAAGAGGAAAAAACAAAACTTGTACCTATTTACCAACTCACTATACCAACAGCTTCCGAAGAAGCTGCTCACCTTTTTTCAGAGCTCTGCAGGAAGACAAGGAGACAGCCTGAAGGGAGTGAGGTGGAATGAAGACAGAAAAAAAGATACAATGAATAGCGTGGAGGAAGCAGACCAAGACGTTTCCATTTACATTGACTCAGTAAAATTGCACACCTACATTGACATCTTCCAGTGAAACTAGAAAGGCAGCAAATCAGCTGCTTTCAGTTGGGCATCCTTCACACCTCACATGATAAGCCCAGCACTGACTATCACTGCAAACCAAGGAAGTACTGCACCAATCACTCACCATCAATCATGCTAGCTGGAAAAGGGCAACCCAATGGCTTCTTTTACTACTACATTTATATCCTACCCTCTAAGGAACTCAGAGCAGCGTGCCAAAAAAACATAAACTCATTTTATCCTATTTAAGGCAGGAACTTGTCTATTGTGGACCCATCCCTCTGCAATACATTTCCTGAGGTCCCTCCTTTAAAAAGGCTTTAAAAACAATCCTAAAGAGACCTGGATCAGCTTTAAACTGTTGCTGGAGAAATGTTTTAAAGTTACAGCTATGGCTGTTGCTGATGATTTTGCTTTGCAATGTAGTTATTTTAACGTTGCATGTGTGAATATATAAATAGTTTCGGTTTTTGTTCTGTAAATCACATTGAAAAGGGTGTTAACCTTTTAAACCAGAGATGGGAACCTTTGACCTTCCAGACGATGCTGGAATACAACACCCATCATCCTTGACTATTGGCCATGCTAGCTAAGGTGGGTGGCAGTTGCGGCTCAGCAACATTGGGTGGACCAAAGGTCCCTCAGCCCTGCTTTAAAAGACCATGAGGCGCCGACTGGCTCTGTTACACTCAGCTAAGTCCATAGCCGAGCAGGGAAGTGAACTAAGGTCACCCAGCTTCAAGTCCCGTACTATATCTACTATACTGCATTAAGAAACTGTGGAGGCTGGGAGCAGGTACGAAATACAGGAAGGGAGCGAAGGAAGGATATGAATGGTAGGATCCACCTGTAGCCAGCAATCAGACACAGGATGGGATGGCAACAAGGTTAAGCAAATTCCTAGGATAATCACAACCACCACTCAACTTGATTGCTAAGTAAAAAGCACCCTGTTACTTTGTTCTGATCAGCAAAGGAAGTGGAAAAGTTAACAGAAAGTTCCATATACCCTCCAATAAAGAGGCTAACATGTTAATCATCTTTAAAAATGAGTTCAACTGATCTTAATCTAATACTGGGAGGAAATACTCGCAGGTCTCACTAAACCAGAATTTGAGCAAAGAAATTAAAACTGGGAGGTTTGAGTTTGCATGCCCTGAGTTCCCCTCTCCTCTTTCCACATGGCTAGGAGAATGCCAGCAGAGTTTTAGCTTCTATTTCCTATAATCTCTTGTCATCCTGACCAGGGATTCTGGTTTATAACACTTGGCCAAGCCAGCTACAGAAGTTTCAGATTGAAATTAGCTAGTTTTGAAACTGATTAGGTTTTGCGTTTTGTTTTGTTTTTTAAGAAAAATGAAAGATCCCTGATCCAGACGATGATAAGCAAAGATTTTGGGAATATGAAGCTAAGGGCTACCAAAGTCCTGCTCCTGGCCTTACAGAAGGAGAGGAAAGTGTGCGAGCCTGGGTCTTGTGACAGCTCCTGTTATTTGTCCTAAACCGTGGTTTAGCATGATATGTAAACATGCCCTATTTAATGGCTGAGCAGAGGCTGGTCATTCAAAAAGCAAAGCAGGCTGTTTCCATTGGCACTCACTTCATAATAGCATTGCATAACAGCTACTGCCAAAGTCAGACTAAAAGTGCTTGTTACACCAGTGAACTGCAGAATATTCCCCACACACACACAAAAAAAGGAAGCAAAAGAGCAACTCAATAACATGACATCCATTTTCAGTTTCAGTTTATTCCTTAAAGACGTTTTTAGCTACTCTTAGTCATGAAGAGCCACCTCTCTGCCTCCTGCCTGTGTGCCAAGCTACATGAAAGACTGTCTGTAAACATAAGAGGCACAAGTGTAAACATGCCTTTCAGTGACTTAATAGGAGAAAAACCATTCCATTTTTGCCCAGACCTTAGATAGTCAACACTCTTCAATGAAAGCTGAACTTCCTTCTACAGAGCAAGAACCCTCCTATGATGCAAACTACTATTTTACCTACAGAATTTTGGACTGAGCGTGAAAAGTGGATTTCATGCTTTGCTAAAATTCCATAATCATCTTCTGATGCTCTACTCTCATCCATTCTTGATTACTTGCACCGCTCTGTGAACTAGAATTTGCCCATCCAAGAAGTATATGATTAAAAACCAGATGGGATGTCAGGTGACAAAATAGACATTGGGAAGCTTAGTTTGGTCAAAATCGAGTATACACTTCCAGAGTTAACGATAAATACCGTATTTTTCGCCCCATAGGGCGCACCGGCCCATAGGGCACACCGTTTTTGGGGGGAAATAAAGAAAAAAAATTATTTGACCCCCAGGCGCGGAGCTGGGGCAGGGGAAGCTCTTCGCGCAGCTCTCCTACAGCTTGTGGAGAGCCGCGTGAAGCCCGAAGCCTGGGGGGTGCTGAGCTCAGCGCCCCCCAGGCTTCAGGGTGCAGGCAGCTCTCCGCAAGCCGTTGGAGAGCTGCGCGAAGTCGCGCAGCTCTCCCACGGCTTGCGGATAACTTCCTGAAGCCTGGAGAGCGAGAGGGGTCAGTGCACACCGACCCCTCTCGCTCTCCAGGCTTCAGCGAAAGCCTGCATTCGCCCCATAGGACGCACACACATTTCCCCTTCATTTTTGGAGGGGAAAAAGTGCGTCCTATAGGGTGAAAAATACGGTACATTACTTCTGGTAAATTAGCCACCAAAGCCACTAGAGGGCCATGAATAATTGTGACCCAGGATTTCTAGACTCATCTACCCATGTACTATCTGAAACCAAAAGGGCGCGTTGGTTGCCGGATGTGAAATATATTGGTGTTATTTTCAGCTCTCCTACCCCACTAATTAGGGCAAAAGAGGAGTGGGGAAAGAAGACAGAGACTGACAAGAAGTACAGTGGTACCTTGGTTCTCAAATTTAATCTGTTCCAGGAGTCCGTTTGACTCTCGAAACGGTTCAAAAACCAAGGCACGGCTTCCGATTGGCTGCACGAGCTTCCTGCACTCAATCAGAAGCAGTGTCGGACGTTTGGCTCCTGAAAAACGTTCACAAACTGGAACAATCACTTCTGGGTTTGCAGCATTCGGGAGCCAATTTGTTCAGGAGCCAAGCCGTTTGACTACCAAGATACCACTTTAATAGGGAAGAGTTTGGGGAAGTAAGAGGGTTGGTTAACAAATTCCTAAGCTTCACCAAATATGTATGGTCCAGTAAGAAAGAAAAAAAAGAAGAGTCTCACAGAATATGTTTTGTGAAAGCAATCACTGCAGATTAAGCTTTAACCTGAAGACAAAAAGTATCTAGATATATTGATATATTTAATTAGCTGAGTTCCACAAATATTTGCTAGCTGCGGAAGTATTATCTTGCACTTCATCATGGACTTTCCTTGCCCTTGGCAGGTTTGTAGGCAAACTTAACATACACACATTTCCAAGGCACAATTGTGTCCCTTTCAAATATAACACATGCCTTCACCAGCAAATTACTAATCATTATAATGGGCAGGGAGCATACAGAAGGAGCGATAACCTTACACAAACCCTGGGGGGGTGTTTTGACCTCCTGCAGGATGTCTTGTCAGTGAAGGCTGGGCGACCTAGTTTCAATGTGGAGGGAAGGCTTTGCCCTCACAAATTAACCCAGGAGCTTAGACCTTTCTTTTTCCCCTGAAAGGGAGCTTAGCAACCATTCACTTATAATGGGAGAAAGAGGAATAGAATCAACATTAAAATCGAAACTTAACTTGCTGCCTGCCCCTGGTAAACTATCCCAGGTTCCTTTTATGGATTACATTAGGAGGGTGACAGAATGTTGGAAGAGGGGATGGAAAGTTGGGAACTGGCTTCTACAAGTGTCAAGAATCAGACCTGTTAGTTTGAAATCATGAATGCCTATCTGAGCTCACATACCTGGTTTGGCAGGAGCCTGGCACCAGAGCACCCGGTGCACGCGGAAGGCTCGTAGGCATGGTGTCTTCACAGTCTTCGCCTTGTGAGACAGCGCACTGTTGAAAAGGGGACTGGAGCAGCTTGTCGAAACTGTGCGCAGAATAAAACTTGCCATGATGTCTAAGATTCAGCAGGCAGGATCACCCCGTTAGGAAGCCACACAGATGCCCTGCCATATACAAAAGCATTAGCCCTTTAGCAAATAATAGCAGCGGAGACTTGCAAAGCAGTCTATTCAAAACATGTGTCACTTCAGATCGCGATTTGCATCCATCAGGACTTGGGGAGGGGAGGCGGGAAGGTTAACAAGGTCCACAATTCTTTCTCTGTGTTGTATCCAATGTTGGTACCATCTCACAGTGTTTTAATACCTTCAGCATCTTAATAATTTAAACGAAGTATAATACACAGATTTCATTTCGCCGCAGTACAGGTGCAATAATTATCTCTCTTCCAGCTTAGACATAACTACTTATTTCAATACAATGGCCGTAGCTCAGGAACAGAGAACAGGCTTTGCATGTGGAAGGTCCAAGATCTGATCCCTACCATCTCCAGATAGGGCAGGGGAAACACACTTGTCTAAAATCCCAGAGAGCCACTGCAGGCAATATAGGGCTGGAGTAACCAACATGGTGCGGTTGGACACTGATGCCTATCAGTCCCAGTCAGCATGGCCAATTGGCAGAATGATGGAGTCCAACAGCACTGGTGGCGATCACACTGGCTACCCCTGATGTATGCAATACCAAGCTGGAATGACTGTGCATGCAGCCATGTAGCGTGAGCTCCTGGATCCTAGGGCAGGTGCATGCATGCACCGAGGGCAGGCCACACAGTGCAGAGGGTGAAGGATCCCAACACAGCACCCCAGCCCTCGCCACAGACGCTGCTGGAGTGACCCCGTACTGGGTCTGCCCAGCCAAGCAACACGGCACTTGGTGGGCACGAACCAGGCACTGGCACCTCCAGCATGACCTGGTTCGGTACTCTTATCCATAAGTGTTGGTTCCTCCGACACTGGGAGAGGAGTGCCAGGCCAGGCCACGCTGGGGGGCCTGCTTTGCACCCCCTCAAAAATCTATGCCCAGGGCCCGGGCCCTGCTGGCATCCTCCATGTTACACCCCGGGTGCATGGAAGCTTCCCAAGTTCCTATGTTAGTTCCAAGACAGTCTTCCTCAGTACCTTGAGCCTTCATGTAGAAGAATCTCAAATGCAAAAATAAGCTGAACAGCAATTTATATAAAATTATGTCACCATCGCAACAATACTAACTGTAAACCTTTCAAGGGTATCATTACTATCACCACTGATTATACTTCAAAAAAAAGTACCGGGTACAATCCAACAGCCTTGAAAATTAATGAGGGTTTTACTATTGTTGTCACTAGGATCTAGGCGTCATTACCAGCAAGCTGGTTAAATCTAGCTACGTATGTTTTACAATGTTCTGCATTCAAAACAAAGCCGGTAAGACTAAGTGTATTGTTTTCAAGGATGAAGACTACAAAGGATGGCAAGCTGTAAGAAGCCCAAATTATATACAGGCGATAACCTACAGAATAGATTTGCTAGCCTACGCAGCATGCTGAAGTGAGGTTACATACCAGCAGATAACAGGCATTTCATAATGCTGGTGCCAGCCAATAATGCATAGCCAGGAATTAATTATCTTTTTTCTGCTGGAAGTCTATTTTTAGTGCAACCTTAACAACATGTAAAAGACTGAAAATAGCAGCAACACTTTGGGGCACTCAATCTGAAGAGTCAGTGCAACTTGAAAGTCCTCATATTATCATTCCAGCATAAATTGATCTAGTAAAAAATCTACTTTAAGGGAGGATTAATACGTCAACACCTACACCATGTAACAAAAAGCGTGCAGAGGTATATAAAAAAATTGCTGTTTAATAGCTTTTAGCTGAAAACGTTTATTTCAGCACCGAAGAAACAAAGCACACAGTCGCTCTCCATTCATAGATCAAGTTAAACTGTAGGCAACATTTTTGCTACTCTCTTGGAAAAAGAAACAAAAGACATTGAAAATTGATACCCACTATACAGCTGCCCAATAAGCACACAGTTAAAGTATTTCAAGAAAAACTCTTACTTCCTCAGCTTGATGTACGTGTTTAAAAAGTTTCCAACGAGCGTAGTTACTAAACAAATGCCACAAATAGAAAACACAGGAACACTGTGAGAATGGATGCCACGTACCCAAGATAATTCAAAACGCGTAAGAAATATACTCACTCCAAGAGAAGTACAGTTAGCCCTTTGCCAAAGGAAGCGAACAGCTGTCAGATAAAAGTGACCCCCTTAAATGAATAGCCCACATTAATAATGCCTCGACTACCCGGGCATTTACCACGTCTGCAGGAAATGCATGCAGCTGGAATTCCCATTCATTAACAAGTTCCAATTGGCTGCTCTCTGAAAGCAATAATTTGCACCAGAGGCACATGATTGGATACAACTCCTTGTTGCACCAGAGGCACATGATTGGATACAACTCCTCCTCTGAGAGGAGTCAAGTTCATTCATTGAGGGAAGGACTTGTGAAAGCCTTCTCAGAGTCACGGCCTTTTTAATTTATGCAGCCTGCTGCCAGTGTCCAATCATCTACCCAGGCATGCAAGTTAACCACAAGTCTTAATTCATTGGTGCCTGAAACTGTAGGTCAGAACTGTGCTTTATAGATAACCCTGACAGTTTATTTATTTATTTTTAAATATGTACGGTATTCAACTATGTCACAGCTTTAGATTTTTATTTATTTTGCCTTTATTTCTCAGGTCTAATATGCTGTTATAGAAATTGGGGGGGGGGGTCCCCCTACAATTTCCATTTACTAACTTCAGCAATCCTTCAACAGTGCTACTCAGCAATTTAGTTTACCAAGGACAAAAAGGACTAATTTCCAAGAGGAGTACTGGGAAAAAAAGATTGCTAGGTAAACAAATCCCACCCTGCAAAAATATTAAGAATTAAAAAATGCTTATGTATTTTTCAAATACACATGGCATCAAAGCATGCATCGTCTCATCTCACATCTGTAAGGTATTCCCAGTTTTCTGGTTTTGAATACATGACCATGTTCTCCTGAGAATCCAGGGTCTGTAACTAAAACACACTTACTCAAATTATAACTGGATATTTAATATAAAGTAATATTAGCAGTAGGGACGCGGGTGGCACTGTGGGTTAAACCACAGAGCCTAGGACTTGCTGATCAGAAGGTCAGCGGTTCGAATCCCCACGATGGGGTGAGCTCCCGTTGCTTGGTCCCTGCTCCTGCCAACCTAGCAGTTCGAAAGCACGTCAAAGTGCTAGTAGATTAATAGGTACCACTCCGGCGGGAAGGTAAACAGCGTTTCTGTGTGCTGCTCTGGTTCGCCAGAAGCGGCTTAGTCATGCTGGCCACATGACCTGGAAGCTGTCTGCAGACAAACACCGGCTCCCTCGGCCAATAAAACAAGATGAGCGCTGCAACCCCAGAGTCGGCCACGACTGGACCTAATGGTCAGGGGTCCCTTTACCTTTACCTTTTTAATATTAGCAGTAATATTAGCAGCACAATCACATGCACCACAGCCAAAATCCCACTGCCCACCATCACCTTGAATATGGGACTTCAAACTCAAAAAATAAGGTCTCATGGCATTTTTGTGGAAATACTATCCTACTCTTCAGAAGAATTGAGTTTTATGGTTGTAGAAGAGAAACTATTTCTCTCCCTTTTTCATGCCCTTGCTATACACTCCAGGAAAATAGCTGGCACCTTCAAACGGGGCTCTTAACCATTTCTGAAGATCAAAGCAAGACAGCCTGTTTCCTTCCAGATGTTTGGACTAGAACTTTCACCAGTGCCAGTCAGCATGTCTGAGGTTGCTGGGGAGATGCAGCCCAAAACAACTGGAGAGCAACAGCTTGACAAATATGAAATAGGGAAGGAGACAGTCTATAAGGTCCAATGTGCAATGTTGGTAATTTGCATATCCAAATGTCTGGGAAGCAGTCCATGGGAAAGTGCCAGAGTGCCGCAGGCCAACTGCAATTCCCTGGCGTGTGCGCCCTCCTTTCATGTTTTATTGAAGTACACAATGGCAAAACGATAAACTCTGAAGCGTGTTTGACTCAGACAATTTCTAGAATTATGCCTGGAAGGCCACAGCAAGACAAGGCAGAGTGCTTTGTCTCCCACTACCTACCATACTCAACGAGGCATAGGTAAAGGGTAAAGGGACCCCTGACCATTAGGTCCAGTCGTGCTTGACTCTGGGGTTGAGGCGTTCATCTCGCTTTACTGGCCCAGGGAGCCGGCGTACAGCTTCCGGGTCATGTGGCCAGCATGACTAAGCCACTTATGGCGCACCACAGCAGCACATGGAAACGCCGTTTACCTTCCTGCCGGAGCGGTACCTATTTATCTACTAGCACTTTGACGTGCTTTCGAACTGCTAAGTTGGCTGGAGCTGGGACCGAACAACGGGAGCTCACCCCGTCGCGGGGATTTGAACCACCAACCTTCTGATCAGCAAGTCCTAGGCTCTGTGGTTTAACCCACAGCGCCTACTTCCAGATAAATATGGATGTGAGACCTGCAGGTCAACAGTATTGCCAGAGACTTGAGAGAGTCACACCTCCACTAGTAGTAGTAGAGGCAGCTGACCTGCAGCCCTCCAGAGGTTGCTGATATCTGGCTCCCATCAGGCCCAGCAAACCTGTCCAACAGGCAGGGATGATGGGAGTCATATTCTGAAAACATCTGAAAGGCCACAGGTTAGCTACCCTTGCCTTAAAAGGGCAATCCAGTTGCAAAGATATGGCAACCTAAATGTGTAGCTGTACCTTTGAAGCAGGTCCCAGAACAGAGTTTTAATTTTTAAAAAGGGGAGTATAATGAAGCATTGCCCTCCGGCCCTGGCTCTCACATCTTAAAAGATAAGGCGTGACTCCTAGGAACAGACTTGTGGCTTCTGAAGTCATGTGAAAGCAGCCATAATTACTTAAACCACTTCTTCCCAGATCCTTCCCGCTCACACGCTGCACAGCCTCTCTCCTGCCCTTTATATGAAAGGAGCTTCCTCAAATCCCAAACGGTGCCCATTTCAAGGCTCAAACAAGGTCACGTCCTCCATTCCCACCTTACATTTGACCTCCACGTAACAGGCAAACCGCGATGTTGACTTTGGCAACTGTTGCGGTTCCCTTCTGACAGTTAGAAAAAGAAAGGGGAAAAAGCTCTCGGAGGCCCGCATGCACACGCCTTTATACCAACTTATTTTTGCTGCATAACAATAAAGACGCTTTGGCTAAGCTGGAAGATGCCAAAAAAGCACATTCCTTTTAAATCTCTTTCCCCAGCCCAAAAGAAAAAGCTTAGGAGACATGTGGTTTCTACATGCCTTACCTGCATGTTCTTTCTCAATCATTTTGTTGCAGGACAAACAGGCCAAGGACTGCCTGTCACAGTCAAACCAACAGATTGCTCACTCAGTGGTTGGGGGGTTTTTTGGGGTGAGGAACGTACCAAAGGTGACCTTCCCTCCTGTGCTAAACCCATTGAAACTCGGACCCAGAGGCGCCTCCTCGCGAGTAGCAGCCCCCTCCCCCCCAAAAAACCAGCCTTATTCTGCTCCTGTCTGTGCCACTCTTAACCATAACGGGCAAAATGGGAAGCAGCTGCTGCTGCTGCTGCTGCTGCTACTGCTACTGCTGCTTTCATCCCCCTCGCCTCCCTCTTTTCTCCTTAACTTCAGCGGGCCTAGAATAGCAACAGTTCTGCTACTCCTCGTTGCCAAAGTTGCGCTTTGTGCGTGGAGGGAAAGCGGCGGGTTTAACCCTTTGCGGGGAAGCCTGCTCTCATTTCATTTTAAAGCACATCAATATAGATCAGTCATGCCCACCTCCTCGCAGTCTCCGCTTTTCTTTCTCCCCCAACCGCGATGGATGACGAGGAGGGCAGATGCCAGAAGCGCAAAAAGCGTGGCACAACAAGCAAACCGCGCGGGAGATGCGATCGGGGGCAGCGGTGGGCAGGGGGCAGAAAGTGTTTCCAAGCCTCAGCCCCCGCCCCAAAAGCAATCGCGGCGAAAGACGGCCGTGAATGAACCGACACCGCCCCCCCCCCAAAAAAAACCCCACACAGACACCGAGCAAGCCCTAGGGCGCGCCGAGAAGAAAGAGGAGGAAGAAGCGCCGAGCGGAGGAAGAGGAGACAACAGCTCGCTACCTACCTCCCGCCCTTTGCGCCCTGCTGCCCGCTCCGGCCCCGCTTGCGCTGCTTTTTTTGCAAATCTATGCAATATTGCGCTTGACCTTCCCGGCTCGCCGGAGCCGCCGGCGCGAGACGGGAAGCCGAGGAGAGAGCAGCGGAGCCGGCGCGAGGCCCCAGCCAAGTGGGCGGGGCTCGAGCCGCCCGCAGCCCAGAAACTGGACGGGGATGGGAACAGAGAAGAGAAGAGAGAGACCCTGTCTGGGCAGAGGCGAGGTCACGTGGCGGGGAGCCGCGCTCACCTCTTGCGAAAGAGAGGGGGCGGCAGAGGGGCTCTCGCCAACGCGTCACGCCGCCGCCGCCAAGCTCCCCGAGTGCGCATGGGCGCGCGCCCCTGGGGCTTATTTCATTTTATTTTTGCAGCGCGCGGAGAGTGGCTTGCTTTCAATTGAGGGTTTAACTGCGCCGGCGGCTTGTCGTTTCCTGCAGCAGGACATCTTGGGGAGACGGAAAGGCTGAGGAGTAAACCCTACGCAAAAATCCTCCCCAGTGGAGTCCCTAAGACAGTTGGATGGCGCCTTGTGTTGTACTCCTCCTTCTGGCAACTCCTGTAGGCTCCATAGGAGCCAACTCCTAGGGGTTGAGTCCCTTCAACGCCCCAGTAAAATATTTGAGGGGACTAGACTCCCCCAAAAAGTTGGTGGGCATTGCCATTCTCATAGGGTGCGTAAGCCGTGTCTTGTGATCGATTATGTGGGTTGGGGGCTTACCTACACCCCCCCCACTTGAATAAAATATACCTCTCCCCGCTATATTTTATTCAAGTTGGCAGAGGGGGTAGGTATGCCCTTACACACATAATAGACACTTGCCAAAAGAATCTTTCTCATTAAGGAAATAAAAATGTAGAAGCACCAGTCCCAATACAGATCCTTGGGGAAAGCAATTTCTTAGATCCCTCTGTTCTGGCAATTGTCAAATCATTATTGCTACTCTTTAACCAGTTTCCTACTCTTTAACCAGTTACTAATATGCACAAAACTCATCTGGAAGCAGTGGCCTAATTGCTTCCATAGTTTACCCCAGAACATAGCTTCAGTCCAGAAATAAACGTTTGAGAAATAAAAATGTGAAGTTACCAAGCTGCTAGTTCTAGCATTCGTAAATTACAGTGATTAATAAAATACTGAAAGAGTTTGGACCTTCCTTAGGCTGCTTTTGTAAAGAATGTCTAATTATTCTGGAATCTTACAATGGCCAGCTCTGAAAGGGTGAGCCAAGGGCTACTGTTGAAACTCCTGCTTGTGCCAGATGAGCAAGCAATCCCAGTTTGCCACATTTTCTAAGCACACATTCTTCGTAATGAGTCTTGTCAACGCCAGGGGGTCATCATCCCAAACAAGCATGCACTGGAATGAAGCCTTCTCTTCCTAATTATTTTTATATGAGAACTTTGAAACTTTAAGAACTGGTACCTAGGCTTGTTTCTTTCCATCCTCCCTTCTCACTTTTTGTGGCATGTATTTTAGATTGTAAGCCTGTGACCCTACACAAGTTGTCCATCAGCCAGTCCTGACTTTTGCAATATAAATACATGTTGACACCATTCTCAAACCATTGTACATGCTTACTACAAGATGACAGGGAGTGCAGTCCTGTGGACACTTTCTGGGAGAAAGCCACATTTAGCATAGTGTGACTTGACATAAGGGAACATAATAATACAATCATGCTGACTGGCTGCAATCCTATGCATGCTTTTCAGGGAGTAAGGCCCATTGAACCAAGTGGGATTCAGTCCCAAGGTGGTGCCATTTCCTTTTATATAGTTAAGAGCAGTGCTATTTCTCTAGAAAAAAGGTTGCCGGAACTCACCATGAACACCTCTATCATTCTTTTAGAATAGCAAGGGTGCCCACCTGAGAGGTGCCACAACTGAGTTCCAGTGAATTCTGGCTGGGGAAAAAAGCATGGTGCACTCATCATTCTTACTGCATAGGGTTGCCATATTTCAAAAAGTAAAATAGTGATTTTTGATTTATTTTTTTTTAGCTTTTGGAGCTGTTTCCGCTGCTTTTTCCATCACGTTGCCGTACATCCGGGTTTTCCCTGACCTTTTGCCAATTCGGCAAAATCCCCGCCCGCCTCCCCCACGCCATTTCTACACTTGAAAAGCAGGACATGTCAGGAATTTTTCTGACGTATGGCAATCCTATTACTGCATTTGGTGTGTGCTTGTGTCCATTCTGTATAAAAAACGACAATACAAAAAATAAAATAAAAAAGAGTGGCCTGGTTTAGCCAGGTATAGTCAATTAAATACAGCCGCTTGAAGGGATTAGTTTCATTCTACACTGAATTTGTGTGAGCGAGAGCACACCTATTTGTGTGTGTGAGAGAAGGCCCAAATCAAGGATGTGAAACCTAGGAGGGAGCTTTCCCCAGATATTGGACTACAACTCCCATCAGCCTCAGCCAGCATGGCCAATGCTTATGCCTTATGGGCGTTGTAGTCCAACATCTAGGGAGGGGGGACATCCCCAATAAGGTTCCCGGCTTTACATCCACTAGCAAAGCACATAAACAGATTTCGCTCTCTGGGGTGGAAGCCTGTCTGGGAGGTAACAACACTTCGTGCATTTGACAGGGGCGGACTGCACCCCACAACAGCTTTATGCCACCACAATAGGAAGGCGATTTAGGGGCCCTGGAGGCTCTCTCTGTCTCTCCACAAGTGGGGTCCCGTTAGGCCCCGCGCGTTGCCATGGCGACGCGGGAGCGAGGGGAGGCCTCCGGGGCGCTGCGAGGCGCTGTGAGCCGAACCGGGGAAACGCAACAAGCGTCCCTGACTGAGCGCGAGAGGGGGGCGTGTGTGTGTGTGTGTGTCTCGTTCGTCTTTGGTGGCTGGCGGTGTGTGGGGATTTCACCCCACCCCGCTCCGCCTGACGAGGAAGAGCGAGCGGCGGCAGCAGCAGGAGGAGGAACCGAAAGTGAAGCGGCTTCGGAGCAAGGGGAGGAAGCGGGTGTCGGGGCGGGCGCCGGCCGCTTGCGGGCCGAGGAGGACTCGGGTGGTTTCCCCCATGAGGAAGAGGCGGGCCTGAGGAGGCCGACATGTCCGACAACGGCTTCGACCGGGCTCCCGGTGCGGGTCGAGGCCGAGGGGGTGGGGCTCCTACGGCTCCAGAGAGCGGAGCCCGCTTGGGGATGAGCGGAGGCGGAGGAGGCACCAGCAGCGGCGGCGGAAGAGGCTTCGGGGCTCCGTCGCAGCAGCTCCTCAAGCAGGGCTTCGCGCACCACCAGGAACCCCTCCGGCCGCCCAAGACGGCGCCCCCGGGGGCCGGCGCCGCCGCAGGTATTTGGCCCGCCGCCGCTTCCTGCGCAGTCCCTTCACGCCCTCCCCTCCCACTTTCGTGTTTATATTATTATTATTATTATTATTAGTGGAAATGGGGTGGCCGACCTCCCGGCATAGCCTTGGCCCGTCGTCGGGAACCTCCTTCCTCGCAGTCGTAGCTGAGCAAGAGAACATAGGAGCCAACTCCTAGGGGCCGGGAGGTCTTTTTTGCCCTCCCCCCAAACAATAAAATATTTGAGGGGTTTCCCCCCAAGTTTATGGGCTTTGCCATTCCAAGGGTGTACGTGCACTGCGTAATGTCATCGATTATGCGGGGCGGGGCTTACCTGCGCCCCCCCCCACATATTTATTTCAAGTTGGCACCCGTGGCAGAAAGTGTGCAAACCTGGCTGGGGTTGGGGAAATGTGTGGTTTCCCCCTCTTCCATCTCTACGACCCATTCAGTCTCCCTCGGGTGAATTTGGGGCTATGCAGGGGTGCCTTCGGAGGGAGATTGTGGTTTTTTTTGGGGGGGGGGAGACGAGAAATCGTCGCTCCTCCCGCTTCAACCCTGTATCTTGGCGTCTAGCGTCATGCACCGCTATTCCTCAAGAGCACCTCTATTTCTGGCTGGCTCCGCATACTGGGTGACTATATTTATTTGCGTCGGCGGCCCTGCTGTAGTAATTATATCACTGGGCTGTGTTGAAATGCACCCTGCTGGTGTTTCTATCTCTCCCATCCACTCCTCCACCAATGTTTTTGCCATTTCATCCCGAATAGATGCAGAGACGGCCCTTTGAACTTCGGGAATTGAAGCCTGCAGTCCTTTGCAGATTTTCTTTGGGAATAAACCCCCACTGGCCATGATGAAGTTAGGACCCTCATAGGGTAGAGACATTATTTTACTTCCTGAAGTCTCTTTGGTTATTGGAATGGCACCTCTGTTGTCCTGATTTAAATTCTCTGGGCAGGGACGAAGAATGGGATTAGGATTATTGCGGTACCAAGGGCTAGGTGAACTTTTAAAAAAAGATTGGGATGGTGTGTCATCTTCCCTGCATGCCCCATCCTCTCTGTAGACTGTCCTTAAATGCAGTCTGAAATAGATATGTATGGTTACAAACAATGTGTCGATTTATATTTGTGCAAGTTTGCTAGTGTGTAGTGCAGTATATATAATTTGACCTTCCCATTCCATTAATTAGAAATCTGGTCCATATATGTTTCTCACTGGGTAGTAAGATGGTACTGCTGATTAGAGAGGAATAAAAAGGTAAAGGTAAAGGACCCCTGACAGTTAAATCCAGTCGCAAGTGACTCTGGGGTTGCAGCGCTCATCTTGCTTTACTGGCCGAGGGAGCCAACATTTGTCTGCAGACAGTTTTTCCAGGTCATGTGGCCAGCATGACTAAGCTGCTTCTGGCAAAACAAGAGCAGTGCGTGGAAACGCCGTTTACCTTCCCGCTGGAGCGGTACCTATTTATCTACTTGCACGTTTGACGTGCTTTCAAACTGCTAGGTTGGCAGGAGCTGGGACCGAGCAATGGGAGCTCACCCCATCGTGGGAATTCGAACCACCGACCACAGCGCCACCCGCGTCCCATAGTGAGGAATAGGGCAGGGTAAAATAAGAGCTTGTGTGTGGTTGTTTTTCTTAAGGTCATTTTCCTATCTGAAGTCTAGCCTCACTAATTTGAAAGCAAGTTCTTGTGAATTAATACGAATTCTTTTTAAGTATAAACACTCAGGATTGGGATAGATAGCAGCCCAGTCCTAAACATGATCATTTAGAGTAAATTCTGCATAGTTCAGTTTAGTTGTGCATAGGGTTGCATTGAACCCAGTGAAACTTGCATTAAAGTACCGTATTTTTTGCCCTATAAGACTCACTTTTTCTCTCCTAAAAAGTAAGGGAAAATGTGTGTGCGTCTTATGGAGTGAATGCAGGCTGCGCAGCTATCCCAGAAGCCAGAACAGCAAGAGGGATTACTGCTTTCACTGTGCAGCGATCCCTCTTGCTGTTCTGGCTTCTGGGATTCAGAATATTTTTTTCTTGTTTTCCTCCTCCAAAAACTAGGTGCGTCTTGTAGTCTGGTGCGTCTTATAGAGCGAAAAATACGGTAGGCATGTTTAGGAGATTACGGTAAAAATGTCTTTGAACTCTTCATGGAGCTTTTGTGCCCATGTGGAAAAGGGCTGTCATGAAACTCAACCAACATTTTAGCCAGTGTTAATCTTGATTACTAATTCAAAATGTAAAAAGCAACTAGTCATATGGGAAGATGCAAGAAGGCTGACATCCTGAAACATGAGGATTCAGCAGTAAATTTAACTGAAATCTGTAGTTGCTTCTAAGGAAGTTTCTTGTGTATTTTTATTTTTACCACTCTTCAATTTAAAATGTTCAGGGCCATTATATAGGGCTTAGACTTTAAAACTGAGCAAGGTGGCAAGATTCCCACATCTTGTGTACTGCATTTAAAAGAAGTTGTTGCCTTTGAGGAAGCAGCTACACAGTAAATTAGGAAAGCAGAATATGTCATCAGCTGTAAATAAGTGCGTCGCCTGCCTTAACCCTAAAATTTAGGACAGACAACATATTCATTAAAAAGCTTAGTTTGTAAACTTCTTGAGACAGAGTTGCTTATGCCTGCCATCCATAACATAGAATATACATTGATGATACGATATACTTAATTACCTGTATGGGTTTAATCCAGTTGGTGCCCTTGATTCAGCAGGAGTTATCTGGTAACAGAGAGGAGGTGATTTTTGCTGATCTGTCATATCCTTTTGAGTCTCTGACACCCTTAAAATCTGCTGCCGGGGGGGGGGGGAGTTTAGGGGACACTCCAGAACATGTTTCTGGAGATTGCAGGCGACAGGGAAATGAGCTGAAATCTCCTCTCCTCTGTTTGCTGACACCTTTGCTGGAGCAACAGCAACAGGAGGACCAATTGGATTCTACCCTATGAATTAAAATGCCGCCTTAAATACAATTAAATACATTTCTCCACCAACAGAAAGACTGACACATGTCTGCTATTTTGTCTGAAATGTGGCAAAAAGGCTTTATACTTAATAAATACCTTAAATTTTGAATATTTTTCCTCTTATACATGTCTAGGAAAAAGGTTTATGTTTTGGTAATGCAAAACTTTGCTTTATTCTGTGTAATCTTCAGTGCATAGGAATTATTTGTTATTTGTAAGGGGTGCACAAGAAGCTGTCATGGTAAGACCTGTTGACTTAAGGAGTGTGAGATACATAAATATATACACACACACAAACAAGAATCTTTATTTACGTTCTGAGGCAAAGCTATGTGTAAGATTCCAGATTCAAGCTCTGTTTGAATTGAAAGAACGGGGACAGCCTAATGTCTTCGATATCTAATGCCAATTAATTCAGGTTTTTTTAACAGTTACATTCCCCAATTATACCTTTTAAAAAAAAATGTGATTATTTTATATTCAGTTTTTATTTTAAAAAAATGCATCCCAGAACTTCTTTGAAATGCATTCTAGTGGCTAGGGAATACAGAGGTTATAGTAAAATCTTCTGTGTGATCCAAGAGAGCTATGGTGGGTTACCAGATAATGACACTCCAGTCTTAATAACTAGCTAAAATCTAGGCAATAACAGATTGACTGAGTGGAGGACTTGTTCAGATCCCCATTTCAGTACCACTTAATAGACAATCAATCATCAGTAGTGTAGACTCAAATGTTCATTGATTTTGTTTCTCTGTTCACAAACTTCCTACACTAGGGGTTTCCTGACTGGTCTGTGGACCACCAGTGATTCACAAGCTTCATTCAGGTGGTCTGCACTATGTCAGCATTAAATATTCATATTGATTTGTAATTGTATTTTACTGCTTCTTTTATTTCTTATGGTGTAGTATTGTATTACAGTTTGAAGTCGTTCAAACTGTAATACAATAAAATCCAATATAAGAAATAAAAGCAATTAAGAAAGCAATTAAAAATAATGCAGTTATCTAGCACAGCGTATTGCAATAGCTATAACAGGCAGGAAATATTTAGTGGTCAGCCAAGATGCTCAGCAGTTTTCAAATGCTCTGTGCAATAAAATATTCAGGAACCACTCTTTTTGATTCTTAGTGTACAATCCAGTGGTTCCTGGGAGTGCATCCCAGCGGCCATAGGATGAATTGGATCCCTCCTGCTTAAGTCAGAAAGGGAGATCTGAGGTTAAGGGTTTAGTTCTCCAGTGCTAGAAGCTCCTCTGAAGTCCTGGCCCAACTGATAAGGGAGCTTCAACCCAACATTGCTAGCATCAAACAGGTGTGTGCCAGGTGATTCTAAGAAATTGCTTCAATCCAATGACCTCTTGGCCCCACAACTTGGCCCCAAATTGGAACTGAGGGTGTCCAGATCTCTCCCTCACCTTATCCTCTTGTTATTACTAATGAGGGAGGGGAAACAAGTTTTTTAAAAGGCATTTCCCACTGACCTGTGCTGGAAATGAGTGGAAGGGCACTCCCTCTGTTCTGCCCTGCAACTTGAGCCCAGAAGGGCATAGGATGAGATGATAGAACTGCCTTTGAATTTAGCTCTCTGTCTCTCTCACACCATTTAGGATTGCGGGCTTCAACTATTAATGATTGATTGGACTTTGAGTGGGTTCTTTTTCTTTCTTTTTTCTCTTTGAGATTAAATCTTCTCTGAATTTCACTCTCCCCCCTCCCCTGCATTTTTCCTCATGTCATGTTTTTTTAGATGATGAGCCAGTAGGCAGGGACATTTTTCTGCTAAAGGGCAGGGTATAAATTTTATTCTCACATTTGGAGTTTTCCTGATGTGGTATGATGCAGCTCTTTGTAACTTTATGAACACCATGTATATTAACAGCCACCTATACGCCTGTGGCAAGAACTGTGTCTAAATTGCATATCTTCTCTAGTAAAGGAATAAAGTCATCTCTCAGCTGTCATAGAACTGCCTTGTGTTTAAGAGACTGCACTACAATGATAGTAAAGTCTTTTAATTCTTCCTATCTTTAAAACTGAGCTTAGTTTCCTTTTTCCATGGTTGACCCTGACAAAAGTGATTTATTTAAGTGCTAGTGGTTGCATAATGTCAATAGTGAGAAAGAGAAACAATGAGCAGAAGAGCAGGGATGCCAACAAGATTTTGGGAGCCCAGTACACTGTTGGGGGGTGTATTTAAAATGACTTCTGGCTGAAACATGCAAACTCAGTTTCTTCATATTTTAAATTTTCAGAACAGGCAAGAGCTACATCTTTACCAGAAAAAAATAGTTCTAAATCAGGAATGGCTAAACCTCAGGTGGTTGTGGCTCCAGTGATAATATCAAAGCTTTCTGTGAATGCACCTGAATTTTACCCCTCAGGATATACCCCTAATCTTACAGTAAGTATTTAGCCTCCTCTCTCTTCCATTTCCAAGCAAGTGAGGCCAATGTGAACATTCTGCTAGACTTGTTAATCTTCTTTGTAAGAAATGACTTTGATCTTGGAAGCTGAAACATTCCATCCCATAATTTCTCTTGGTGTTTTAGAGATCCTTAAACACCAAATGGTTTAAAATGAAGAAATCTCCCGCCCATAGACACTTCAGTGCTGCTGTTTGTTTGCAACTTTTGATTTGTCTAATAGTAGGTCAGCTAGACAATCTGTAAGCAACATTCAATTTGCTGAAATTTTGAGAATGCCTTAGGGACGCCTTGAAAAAGTTTGCTCTTGAATGACATGGGGTTTTGTGGATAAAGCCTTCTAATAGGCCTTGGCTATTTAAAAATATATGTATTAGTAGTGTGTATATGTAAAAGTATACACTTCACTATATCTAGCTGACTGATCTGAGAGGACAGCCTCTCCCTCTTTTTTGATTATGTGCCAGTACTGCACACAGCACATTATTAATATTAATAAGAGTGCTAGTATACTTGACTTCAAATACCCTTCCGTAAAACTAAGTATCTTTTGCTATCATGTAACACATGGGTTGCCATTGTGGATTTGGGGAGAGCTATAAGTTGGAAGGGGAGGCAGAAAGTCCATTTATATACTGTGTCTGATCTGTATGAAAATATCAGCTTGCTTGCTTTTTTGCAGTAGCATCTCTGAACAGCAACAGTGTTTACATTTTATATATGCACATAATAATTACAAAATGAATAAATGTAGAAGATTTTAGTTGAGGGAAAAATTAGCTAATTAGAGTGTGCGTGTACACACAAATAAATTCCAATGCCATTGCAACTGCCTAGCTGAAACAGCTCCTGTTGAGTGAATTGGGCATCCTGTGCCTGTGACATACCACCCAGTCTTGTTGTTATATATTATTTTACAGTAGCTATAATTTAGCTGTAATTCACCAACAGCAAGTATTCATGGTGTGTGGACAGGACAGCATGGCTCACCACAACAAGATTGTTAACAAGGCCCCCTAGTAGAACTTTATGCCCAGTTTAAGACTGTTCCAGGGTTGTGTGTTTTTTAAACTTCAGATTGCTTTATTTATTTATTTTGCCTTCCTTCCGCTATTATTGGTAAATATAAGTTGTTGAAGCCATTTGAATGAGAACTGATAATAAGTTTAATTCCAAAGCTGACTATAATCGCTTTTAGGAATCTTCTTTGGAAGATGGTTGTGATGGATTTCCAACTCTAACAGAATATGTGCAGGACTTTCTCAACCACCTTGCAGAACAGCCGGCTTGTTTTGAAACTGAAAGAGCACATTTTTCAGAAACTGTAAATGCTTGTGTCACTACAGATGAAGCATTACAAGAACTTGTTGAGCTCATATACCAACAGGTAGAGTGTGTGTATATATATATGTCATGTTTGATGGACAGGTTGCATAATATATATAAAATATCTACATGAATTTCTAATCTCACAGAAACATGGGATACATCATGTTTGCTTTTATTAAAATAAAATAAAAGATTGAGCCATTAGGAGCTTTTGAAGATCTGGATGTTAATTGTTTACACTAGAGATGAAGCTTTTCATACAATTGTAGATTTAGAAGGGACCTCAAAGGTCAGCTACTCCAACCCCCTACAATGCAGGAATCTCAACTAAAGCATCCATGACAGATGACTATCCAACCTCTACTTAAAAACCTCAGATGAAGTAAAGTTCACCACCTCCTGAGTGAGACTGTTCCACAGAGCCACTGATAGACTCGGTTCGAGAGGAGGAGGGGCTGGCTGCACCCGAATCCCCTCGGAGCAGGAGGAAGAGCCGGGTACTGGGGCAACATCATCCCAGCAGGAGGTGGGGCAAAAAGTGGAGGGTGTCCTGCTGGTGCAGACAGTGTCATCCATTGGGACCAACTGGTTCATCCAGTGAAGAGTGAGCTAGGAGAGCTCGGACTGCAGCTTCTGTGTAATTACTAAATAAATCTAAATGTGTGGGAGAGACATTGTAAAACCCAACAGAATCTTCTTTCTTGCAACTTGAAGCCATTGGTTCAAGTCCTGCCCTCCAGAGCAGGAGAAAACAATCTTGCTCCATCTTCTGTGTGACATCCCTTTAGATACTTGAAGATGCCTGTAATATCTCCTCTCTGTCTCCTCTTGTTCAGGCTAAACATAACCAGTTTTCTCAACCGTTCCTCATAGGGCTTGGTTTCCAGAACCTTGATCATCTGGGTTGCCTTCTTCTGCACACTTTCCAGCTTGTCAGTAACCTTAAATTGTGGTGTCTAGAACTGAGGACAGTATTCCAGGTGTGGACTGACAGGGGCAGAATAGAGCAGGACTATGACTTATGTTGATTGCGACACTATACTTCTTTTGATGCAGCCTAGAAGAGTGTTTGCTTTTTTGCAGCTGCATCACACTGTTGACTCATGTTAAGCTTGTGGTAAACTAAGACCTCTATATCCTTTTCACGTTTACTACTGGCAATCCAGGTGTCCTCCATCTTATGTTTGTGCACCTGATTATTCCTGCCTTAGTGTACATTTGTCCCTATAAAAATTCATTTTGTAAGTTTGGGCCCAATTCTCCAATCTGTTAAAGTCATTCTGAATTCTGATTCTATCTTCTGCAGCAGTAGCTAACTCTCCCAGTTTGGTTTCATCTGCAAATTTGATGAGCATCCCTTCGATTCCTTCCCTCAAATCATTTATAAAGACGTTGAACAATTGTGGGCCCTGCAGTACACCACTTGTCACTTTTTTCCAGGATGATGAGAAACCATCACTTGTGGTTCGGTCGGTCAACCAGCTACAAATCCACCTAAGAGTTACCTTGTCCGGCACACATTTTACCACAAGAAGATAATGGGGGACTTTGTGAAAAGCCTTTCTGAAATCAAGATAAGACTACATCCACAGCATTCCCCTGATCCACCAAGCTTGAAACTCCTATCAGAAAAAGAAATGAGATTCATCAGGCATGGCTTATTATTGAGAAACCCATGCTGGGTCTTAGTTATCACAGCATCCTCTTCTTAGTGCTCACAGACTGACTGTTTAATTATCTGTTCTAGGACCTTTCTTGCTATCAGTGTCAAGCTGACAGGTTGGTAGTTGTCTGGACCTCACCTATTATCCAAGTATTCTCAAAGATTAAAGACAAAGGCTCAGAGATTACATCTGCAAGTTCCTTTAGTATCCTTCAGTGCAGCTCATCAGGCCCTGCAGATTTCAAGTAGCTGGGTATTCCCTTCCCACTTTTTCCTATATTAGGCTGCAGCTCTCTCCTTGCATCATTTATTCTGTTATTGGCAGGCTGTACACTGCTTTCATTTTGGGAAAGACAGAGGCAAAGTAGGTGTTGAGCAATTCCATCTTTTCTCTGTCACCCAATAGCATTTGTCAATCATCTCCATGCAAAGGAACTACTACTTGCTTGTTCTTCTTCTTGCTTTGAACATAGCTGAATAAACGTCTTTTGCAAGCCTGAGTTCATTCTGAGCTTTGACCCTCCTAACTTCCCTGCAACTGTTGCCTAGTCATGTATACCCTTCCTTTGTGATTTCCCCTTACTTCCATTTCTTATACATGCCCTTCTTACACCTCAGCTCATCTGTGAGCTCCTTATGCTACCCCACTGGTTTCTTCAGATGCTTCCCACTTGTTGGAATTGTCTGCGTTTTGTGCCTTCAATATTTCACCTTTAAGAAACTGCCATTCGTCTTTGAATCTTTCTGGCCATGGAATTTCACCCAGCAGTTCCTTAAGGCTTTTTTTAATCAAGCTTCTTAAAGTCCAGAGTGCATGTCTAACTACATTCAGCTTTGCCATTCCTCTGTACAATGAAACCCAAGAGACCATGATCACTTCCTTCCATGGTTCCTAGTACTTTCACTTCATTGATCAGCTCTTCCTTGATAGTGAGGACCAACTCCTTGCAATTTTGCCATGCAGGTTTAAAATAGTGACAGAAAGGTGTGTGCCTTTGAATATTAGGCTGCAGAATGAGGATTCTCGCCCTGTTTTTTAAAGTCTGGTATGAAGGAAACCTACATTCTGTGATATAGCTTAGAAATATTTGTTTAATCTTCACTGAATGTATTTTAGTACACAAAGCAAATGGAAAAGGGTAACTAACTCTTATATCCAAAGTATTATTTTTTTCCTTTTGGGGGGCAGTTCATTTGCCTTATGAAACCTTACTGTAACCTACTTAAAATTCCAGGAAATGTTTTAAAAATAGAATATTAGTTCCAGTTTCAGTTCTCTTAGTGTCATATTTCACTGAATAATAAGCTAAGGTCAGGGCACGTGTAAATGCCAATTCAGAAATCAAAGTTTAAGTAGGACTTCTTAGATACAAAATAGGAAAATACCTCATTGATCCCTTTTTTCACTTGCAACCTTCTCCAGTTTTTGTTTACTGAGATGTAAGGCCTTCTATGTTCAATATGGCCTACTCCAAAGGAAATACGTATTGCTTTCTGAGGCTACTTAATGTTATTTTTGCAATATCATTCCTTACTTCTGTTAGTTGGCATTTCTTTTAGCGTTGAAAAATGCAGTTCAAGCCAAGGGCATTATGTACTTTTGTCTTACTAGCCATACATCCAAACCGGAAGATGACCCAATTAATTTTAAAGGCTGAATCTTTAAAGCAGAGCTTTCCAAACTTTTCATGTTGGTGACACACTTTTTAGACATGCATCATTTTGCAACACAGTAATTCAGTTTTACTAGCAAAACAGAGGTTAAACTAACCCCTTTCCAGCCCCGGGACGAGCGCAGGGAGCGTTTGCGTGACACCTACACACTGCAGCCGACACACTAACATGTCACGATACAGTTTGGAAAGCTCTGCTTTAAAGAGTGTCCACAACTTGAGATAGATATCTGCCACTTTGCTAACATTACAATGTATCCTGTAGTTGTTTTTATATTTCAAAATGCACTGGTTTTTGAATCTCTTTCTGCTCCTGGTATTGTATAAATTCAGCTAGATAATATTTACTATCAAATGTTGAGGATGTAGAAGATGTCTTTCTGCCAAAAACGAATTTGAAACCTCATGGAAGTTTTGAAAATGAGGACAGAGACCTTGAATTGAACTCTTTATCAATTAGAGGACTCAGTACAAAGATAACTCACAACTACTTTCTGAGATGGCTGTGAGTGGGAGGGTAGCAGGGTTGCAGCTGTGGGACTTAAGGGAAAAGCAAGGAACTAAGTATTTCAAAGGCCAAAATTATACCAAGGGGGCACATGAGTATAAGAACGGATGCATTATAATAAATAAGAACTGAGTTAACTGACACTTAGAGGAGGCCTAGCTACTGGTGGTTGTTGGAGCCTTTAAAAAACAATCAGTGATTTCTGGTTAGCTGAATATTGTTCTTTTCACATTCTTGTGGAGGGGTCAAGGAAAATATTTTAAGTACAAGAAATCCACAGCATTTTGTAATTTTAATTCCAATTATTCTTTTGTTTGAAAGGCTACATCTGTTCCAAATTTTTCTTATATGGGAGCAAGGCTGTGCAATTATCTTTCTCATAATCTCACCATTAATCCACAAAGTGGCAACTTTAGGCAATTACTGCTTCACAGGTCAGTATCTGTATTTTTATGACATTAAACAGTCATGTTCAAAATTGGCTTGATTTTCTTGTGTTTCTTCGCTGCTTAAACATCTGATTCAAAAGCTTGCCCAGTGGACTACCAGAACAATTTTATGTGTTGCATAATTATATTCTGCCCCAATAAATCAGAGGCATTTTGGGATTTTTGCTTCATTTTGCTTCATTTCTTATCTCCACCTCTTTTCAAATGTTTTGGCTGGCATGTTCTAGTAAGTAAAACTTACAGAGTTTATAGTAATGAAGGAGAAGCTGCTGACAGTCAACCAGCCTTAATTTAGTCTGTGTATATTCTATATTCTCTCCATGTTTCCAAGAGTCCCAGCTTTCATTTTTAATCCAAATTTCTAGCCTGCATAATTGCAGAAAGCAAACCACCTGAAATTTTTTTTAGATAAACAATCCATTGTTTTCCTCCCCCACCCAACCAAGAATACATTTGTGTGTGTATCTCTAAGTCTTCCCATGCTTATAAAAATACCATATATATAAACTTAACTGCAACTTGTATAACTTAGTGGGTAAAGAAGCTGGGTGCCTATAGTGCTGAAGTTCAGCTTTTTTATTCTAACAAATGAAAAGTGATGAATATGCTTGGACATTCAGCTGGTATATTTTCTCTGGGTGGAATTCAATGTTGCCCTATTACAAACGTTCCATCTGTGTAAGCGTTTCAGCATGCATTCACGGGCACAGTTGGGATGGGTCTCTAGTAATCTGGGGAAGTTTTGCCTCTTCACAAATTTCTCTTCGACAACATCTCATTTTATATTGCATTATAGATCTCGGTGGAAGCTATTGACAAGTGAGTCATTCCTAGCTGCATATCCCTTTCTTAATCACACCGGAGTGTAACTGAACCCAGAAATATATAGCTAAATATATGAAGGGTGCATTTAAGTTAATGGCAGTGATCTATTTGAGTAGTGAACAACCATATTGACGAAATGAAGCCTTGGATACGCAGTTGTTTCAATTATATGCCATCCCATTTTAATCTATCCTTTGCCTATTATTCCCCATTAATGCTGGCTTTTAACTGCAGGTTTTAAATGTTTTTGTATGACTAGAACTGACTGACGTTGAGAATATTGCTGATTAAAACATGTATTTTCTAGGTGTCGAAAAGAGTATGAAAATAGAGATGAAGCTGCCAAAGGAGATGAAGCTGCACGGAAAAGATTTCATGCATTTGTGCTATTTTTAGCTGAGCTTTATCTAAATCTAGAGGTAAAGGGATTTGGTTTAAAAAAAATCAGACTAGCGGTGAGAAAAGGATCTAAGCGTACATTTTGACTATAAGTCAAAAGTGGTAAAAATCTAAAAATAAGTATCATACCTTTAGCTTAGAATTCTCTTATTTATTGCATAATTTCAGTAAAATTATTATTTCTGTTAAAGTGTCCAAATCCTTGTTGAAACATCCAAGTGCCTTTTGCTTACTTGCCAAAACACTGGATGGTGTGAACTATATATTCCTTAATGAGCAGTTGAGTAGAATTCTACTACTATCCTTTATCACTTTATTTCCCTAAACAAAACTGCTATACACTCGTTTATTCTTAACATGAAGCATTTTATCCTGGTTAGAAAGAGCTCCCATAACCAAGTCACCATTGGTAAGATGGTCCCTGCTCTGAGGCTTACAGTATAAAATACATGAAGGAAAAAGGATCGGAAGGGCAGGGGCTTCGAGCAATATTTCCTAGTTAGTTCTTCTAATGACCATCTAGAATAGAAAGCGTTTGAGGCCAAGAGGAGTCAAAAGTTGTTGGGTCCTTCAGCAGAACTGATGGAGAGACCTACATTCCCAGCTCTTTCCCTCTCATGTAGCCTGATGGAATGGCTGCTGTAGATGACAAGGTTTAGTCTAGTTTCATTGTAGACTGAAGTATTTTCTTTCTTTTCTAACCAAAACTGAGAGTTTAAGGGAATGGCCCAGAATATTCTTGAGGATTATTCAGACAGTAAAGTTAATCCAAAATTATTAGGTGATTAGGAATGCTAGCATGAATGTATCAATTTCTAAATACTTTATCTGCCAGCCAGCTTCCTAGAATTAGGCTTCTTAAGCCTAAGTAATGTAGTGCAATTGGCAAATAAAGTATTTAGTGTAGTTAAGTAGCATTGATTTCAACAAGCTATTATAAAAGGTGGCTTTAAATTTCCTCTTAGCTATTCAAGTGTAAAAAATCATTATTCCTGATTTAGCAAGCAGGCAGAATATATATATTTGCAGAACAAAGTAGTCTTGCTGATTTTTAAAAGGGGGAGAAGACTTACTGATGCCGAAAAGAAACATAAAGAAATGGCTCCCCAAAGCCAGAAAAGAAAGGGGAGGGAGTGTGTTATTTAGCCACATTCTTAACAGGGAGGAAAGTGCAATGCTAAATTTTCAGAAAGAGACCCTCAGGTGGTTTAGCATAGTGCTGTCTCTGCTATTGGCCTTTCTTTGGTCTATGGGAGGAGCAGAGTGGTTTGTTGAAAAAGGAAAGGCAGTCTGCATCTACTCAGGGCATTTTTACTGTGTTCTTCTGGGCTAGTAAAAGTATTTTTTACTTTCTATCCCAGATATAATGTATAGACCCCTGATCATGGGCTTTGGGTTTATGGTTCTGTAAGCCGCTAGTTTTGTATAGGAAAATACAATTCCAGACACTTGGGTTTAAATGACTTGCAATATTTTTAATTTTGAAGTCATCAAACCAGTGGTTCCAAACTACACTAATTTTAATGGCATGTAAACATTCATATGTGCATTTTTATAGGTAAAAGGAACTAAAGGTCAGCTAACCCGAGCAGAGATTCTTCAGACTGGACTTCATGAATTACTGAACACCCTTTTCTCTAATCCTGTGGACAACAATTTAACCTGTGCGGTGAAACTACTGAAAGTATGATGTTTTCATTATTAAGAGTTGTTTTCTACATCATACTTGATCTAATCAGGGTGCCCAAACTTTTTTCAAAGAGAGCCAGATTTGATGATGATGATGATGATTATACCCCGCCCATCTGGCTGGGTTTTCACAGCTTTCAACAAAATATTAAAATACAGTGGTCTGTTAAACATTAAAGGCTTCCCTAAACAGGGCTGCCTTCAGATGTCTTCTAAAAGTCTGGTGGTTGTTCTTCTCTTTGTCATCTGGTGGGAGGGTGTTCTACAGGGCGGGTGCCACTACCGAGAAGGCCCTCTGCCTGGTTCCCTGTAACTTGGTTTCTTGCAGTGAAGGAACTGCCAGAAGGCCCTCAGCACTGGACCTCAGTGTGTGGGCAGAACAATGGGGGTGGAGACACTCCTTCAGGTATACTGGAATTCAGAATGTGATTAATCATAAAAATAGGTTTCAAGAGCATTCAACCAGTGGTGTGCAAAGCTTGGTGGTTTTATTATCTCCCCTACTATGGTGACTCTAACAGAAGAATAAAGAGATCTATGCATTAGGCTGTTACATATGTGTGGCATAATAAATACTGGAAGAACATCCAAGCAGTTTCTTGTTTCCATAGAAGGATATCTAAGTAGCTTAGATTTGCAGGGTGAGGGGTTTCGATGCTGCTTTTTTATTTTTATGCTGCTTTAAGAGTTTTAAATATTAAGCTTTTTAAATGCATTTAATCAATTAAATAATTAAAAAGTATTATGAAGGCCTTCATCACAGACCCAGTGCTTGCAGAAAAGTCATTAACCTTCAAGTCACATTTTGAAAATGTCTTCTAATAGTATGTATTCTTTAGTTGACAGGCTCAGTACTAGAAGATGCATGGAAAGAAAAAGGAAAGACTTATATGAATGAAATGATACAGAAAATTGAAAATGTTGTCTTGGATGCAAATTGCAGCAGGTAGTGAGAAAATCATTGCTTCCTAGCTTTCCATTTGGGATGATTACTGTTCTTTGCCATCTCTTAAGGTGGAACAGCTTTTAAAGCTTTCTGATCATTACTGTAGTTAAGAATTGTTGTTGTGGTATCTTTAATACAACTTGTGCTGAAATTTCTGACGTGGTTTAAGTCATACTGCTTTCAAATAGATCAGTCTTTGGTAATCAGTGGGTGGAATCCAACTGATGCCATTATGCTCACTGATACGCTTTTGATCCAGTAGATGCCTTCACTAATGGAAGGAGAGGGGAGGCAATTTTAGACAATTCTCACTGCTGCCTGCATCATCCAGCACCCAAAAAAGGCACTCCCAGAGGAACAGCACATCAGCAAAAATAGCCTTCCCTTCTCTTCAGGGGTGTGGTTGTGCTCACCAATGTCATGTTTGTGTTGAGAGTATTGACTTCAAATTCAAAGTTGAGATCTTCAGATGAAGAGTGGTATAAAATTTAATAAATATATAAATGTAAATGATTACTTTCCAAATTAAATTGTCTTTGGCAATTAGTTAAAACATTGTTTTAAATTGAGTTCATGAGCAGCTGTGAATGAATGAGCAACAGGTATCAGTTTTGTTTTGTTTCTCCCTTATGTTGTGATTGCAAGCAGTGAGTAAACTACTCCCTCGTGTTGGAAATGCAGTGAGTTTTATTATGTACTTTCTTTTTACAGAGATGTAAAGCATATGCTTCTGAAACTTGTAGAACTACGGTCAAGTAACTGGGGAAGGGTGCATATAACTTCAACATACAAGGAAGCAACTCCAGAAAACGACCCTAATTACTTTATGGTAATGAATAGTTGTGTTTCCTCTTGCTTCAGATGCATTTATCAGACTATGTATAAAGTACTGATAAAATGTGGAAGTAGTTACTGATAAAAACAATCATATTTTGATTTCAGAATGAACCAACATTTTACACATCTGAAGGTGTGCCTTTCACTGCAGCAGATCCAGGTATGTCAACAACTTGATGCGGGGGGGGGCAGTTAGGTAGAAATTATCTGAGGAGCTCATGAAGTCTGATATTAAGGAAAACCTCTGTAAAAATGTACAGGCAACTCCCGTTTTAGGCGCGACCAATATATGCACCATCCTGCACACATGCACAGCACTGAACCCAGAAGTGACTTCACTGAAACATCACTAAAGGTGTGGGGCAGAATGGGGTTTTAGCAGGCTTTTTGAGTGGGTTTGCAATTTCATGCAAGCGCACAATGACCCCGAAAAAAACCTCTGCACAAATGGGAAGTTTCCTGTATTAACATTAGGTGGAATTCAACATTAAACAAGCTTGCCGCTTGACAGATGGAACAATCACCCCTTTCCTCTTCCCACATACTGTTCTGGGTGTTCTACACGCGCACACACACACACACACACACACACACCCCTGAGCCAGTTTAAGAAGGCCGGGGGGGAGGGGGAGTCCCATTGCTCAGGCAGAAGCCCTTGCACAGGGTTTCCACTAAAGGGGCTCTCTTAGTGAATCCCACCCATAGCTTTAATGTTAGTTATGGAAGGATTAGAGGGCACACCAGTCAGGAAGCTAAACAAGAGCTTTGTTATCACTCCCTCTCCAACAAGAACAGAACAGCAAGGGAAACCCTTGACTCTGGCCAGGTACCTAAACAGTAGCCCTGTTCAGGTGTTAACACCTGACTAGGGAATGGCAACATGAGTAGCGGTAGTGCACTCCACCCTCAACCACGTAAGTGCCACCGCTAGCCTTCCCATGTTGAAGAGGAAAGTCTGAAAGTGGTCAACTAAGTGTTCAACTGGACTTGCTTAGAAGCCCCCTGCAGATCTTCCTGCTCAACATGGGAAGGCTGGGAGTGAAACTGGAATGCAGAACCATTACAGCTTTTCTCATTTGTTAGTGAATTATTGGCAACAAATTATAGGATTGAAATAAAGTTTTTCCTCTGTGATTGCTGTGAATCGAAGCCTTGTGGTATTCTACCCCTTTCTTGGTTCTTGCACCATTTTTCTTTCATGAGAGTGTAAATTTGTATCATTGCATCTGCTTGCTGAAGCAGCTTGTTAATTTCACCTAATCTTCTTAACCTTATGTTGATGGAATGGAGTGCAACAAAGTGATGTGCCTAAAATCTTGTAAGTGGTTCTCAAAACAGCATCAAATTTACACTGATCATGCTTTGCACATTTGTTGCTTAGATACATCCAAACATTTATTTGTGTATTACTGACTGTACAGTTTTAATTATGGGTATAGTAAATGAACTAAACTTTGAAATGCAGCTTAATTTTTTAAATAAAAAAATTCTATCATAGATTATCAAGAGAAATACCAAGAACTCCTTGATAGACAAGATTTGTTTCATGAGTATGAGGAAAATGGAACAGACTTATCAGGAGCTGGAGATCCGTAAGTTCTTGTTTCAGTCTGACATTTTAATCTAGGCCTATCCTGTCTTCAGTTTGTTGTTTGAAATCCTGAATTAGGGCACCACTTTTCAAGAGTGCTTTCATCAAAACTTGACCTTTTAAAAAAATCATCTTATAAACAATGAAGTTTCTAATGGGTATGCCTCACCTCTTGCAATTTTGCTTCGTTAGCATTCTCTGGTGCACCAATCAAATTATATCTGTTTCTACTAAAACAGTGTTGCTTTTGAAAATAAAATTTCTGTACATTCAGGAAAAAACAGCTTGGCTCTGAGCAGAAAGCCTCTTCTGCTTACAGAATTCCTGTCTCAAACTTCACAGAAGAGCACTGCACAAGAAAAATGGAATTATTGTGATAGGGTTTCTTCCTTTTGCACAAGATCATTTTCCTTTTTCTTATGAGGACTCCATATATTTAACTGTTTATAGCTTGAGTCTTCCACACATGTGTAGAGCAAGCCCTAGTGACTGGAGCACAGACAGTTGCTCACAGGAAAGCAAGACTTGCTTTGCACTTGAGTATTAAGGTATTATTATTATTATTATTATTATTATTAATAATAATACCAAAGTTAAATCATATGCAATCTGACCATTAGGGCTTACTTTGCAGTGGGAAACGGAATGCACCCTGTGTATATACAAGTTGCAGGTGCACTGTACCACAGCTGCAGAAACTTTATTGTGCAAAGTCTTCCACTAGCACTTGCGCAGCATTTTGCAAAATCACACTAATGAGTAAACTCATTGCTTTCACACTTCTTTGAATCCAGTGCTGTGTAAGTTTCTTTTCTGAAATATTGCACAACCTTATTCCAAACACTTGAGCATTTTGTAATTATAATGCGATTGGACAGATGAACTTAGCTTGTGCAAAATACTTCCATGTCATATCGGCGCAATCTGTTCTGTTCATTGTCAAGGGTACATATAGGTATAAAAATGGGGCTTTGATCCTGGTGTTTATCTTGCTCTCAAAAATGGTGTCTTCTGTGACTGGAAAAGATAGTCATCTAACATATGGATTATTTTGTAGGTATTTTGATGATGATGATGATGACGATGAGATGGACCCAGAAATTGAAGAAGCATATGAAAAGTTTTGCTTAGAATCAGAACGCAAAAGGAAACAGTGAAATGCTACACGTGAATAATAGTGTTGTGTTTTTTTTAAAGAAGAAAAACAAAAACCAGCATAGGTATGAATAGCAAATAGAAGGGATGGAAAATCTTTAATATCCATACCAAACAAAGGAAATTAAGTTTCTCCTAGCAGTTAAGTTATGCAATTTCCATTTTATTAAACAGAATCTGCCAAAAAAATGTAAACTTAAATCCTGTAACTTAAACAAGTGTATATATATATCATAGTTTATTTTATGTACAGTTAAATAAACAATGTTTTGACTGGAACAAATTTTATTTCAAACATTTCACATTAATCTGCAAATCTAAGGGTTGTCGTGGTACATTATCACTTTTTTAAGAAAGGAAAATTCCTAGAATCATAAAATACACTATGACTTTGCAATTGTACTTCCTCGCCTTTGTATAGGATATGGCTGTCATCCTATATTTTTTAGGCTCATGAACTGTCAAATGTTTCACAATCATGAAAACTCCTACTACTCATCCACCTTGGGGGGAAATTGAAAATCTGCACATAGAGTATTGCTCTCAAACAGCTAAATATGGTAGGCATTTTAGTTCATAAAGGTTTTCAAACAAATTCACTTGGTTAAAATGTCAGGTTGATGATCTCCCAAAATGCTGGTTCAATTTAGATGTCAGGTTAGCGTAAATGAGTTTGGAGGAACAGGCATGTCTTCCGCATTTATACCTCTTCAGCCCAACCTCACATTTGATTCCTTCCTTCTGCCTTTCCTGATTTACCTTAGCCATAGTTTGTCATGATGCATAAATTGAGCAAACTATGATTAGTGCTAATCAGGATTGCTTACAAATCATGGTTTGCAATCCCACTTCACAGTGACGGAGGGAAATGGAAGTCTCACACCATCTCATCATTTACTTTCGAGAGAGAGTGATGTCTCAATTGAGGAATTCTATTTGTTTCCCTCCCCATTTTCTTTAAAAAAAAATTTGACATGATTCTGTTTTTAGTTCAGTGTTGCACAATAATGCGTGTTGCTTTGAACTGTAATGCTCAGAAATTGGCATTTCTGTTACTTCTCAATTTGGTAATTTAGATACCATATACAATCACTTGTATAGAGCTAAACAGTTTTTATTACAGAAAATAAGCCCTAAATGTTTGCTGGTTATTGTCCCTTCCCTTTTTAAGCATCTATTTTTGTCTTTACGAAATGTTGCCCAGGAACATGTCTGGCTTTTTTTTTGGGTTCCTCGTTTTATATTGAATAGATTAAGTAGAGTCTATTTCCTAACACAAGATGTGTGTGTGAAATTTCCCAAGAAGTAGGTAAAATAACTTATGTAAAGACAACAGAGGTTGTAAATATGCATGTAAATAGTGCTGTTTAATATTGCACTGTTATAACTTGGTACAGTTTGTGTCTGTTAACAAAGTTAGCATCATCTACATCTTTCGGCTGTTAATTTGTTTAGCTTATGAACATCCCATTTTGGAAAATAAACTCCTTTGTTTTGTTGGGGTATGGTTTTGGTCTTCCTTTTATGTCCTTATTTTCATAGCATGAGATCTTACTTGATATTCCCTGCTTTTCGTCTACAAAGCAGCATCTCCGGAGCTGCTGGCCATCATTTATCATTGTCCTTTAAGAAAGTATATTCCAGGTAATAATACTATTAATATGCAGCAACATCAGGCCCACTGGCTTGACCCCAGGACCATGGATACCCAGAGTGTGTGGGCATCTGACATCAGATGCACACACTAGCGGGCATGCAGGCCCCCATGGTGCAAAAAAATGTGGATGCCCAGCCCCTTCATGGGGAATGTTGTGGGGGCTTGAGCCCCCAGCCCATCCCACCTGGTGCCTATGAGCAACATAGGTTCAGCTGTGATTACTGATACATAATGTCATGTTGCCAGCTTCTTTTGTGTGCTTCCAGTTGAACCCGTGCCCAAAATACTTGAGTAATTAAATTTGTTAAGCACCACCTGCAAGATGAGACTAGCAAATACAGTGGATTGATTTTAAATTAAGGCAGTTTTAAAACCCACAAAAATTGGTGGTGATATCCAGCGTTAGTCATACTCGGGAGACCCACTGAAATAAACGGATTTAAGTAACAAGTATTTCAATGGGTCGATGAATATGGCTCATGTTATACCACCCTTTATATCTGCTGATTTAAATAAAGAGTCACATCTTGAAATTCATATTTCTTAAAACGGGTATGAATGTTGTTAACTGGTTGTTACATAAAAACATACTGGTTTGCAACTCGGTACAGCAAATGAGCACGGTCGAAAAGCTTTGGTTACTTAGCTCAGATACCTTTTGCACTGTGGAATTATACCTGTTTATGACATGGCAGTGCATCTTCCCTTGCTAGGGCAAGAAGCAGTTTGCAGAAGGGGTAGACATAATTTAAAAATACACTAAAGGTCACCCACAAAGATCAGGCAATAAACAAGACTCCTTCCCCACCAGCACCAGGGTACAAACCAACTGCTATTACTTCTCTAGCACCAGATAGGTGACAATGTTGGCTTGGGGGATTTGCAGTGGACCTGGCTGGGTACTTTGGAAAAGTCCTGTTCTTGTTGCCACCTTCAAAATGTCTCTTAAAGGGTGGCAGAAGGGCCTCAATTTATGGTAAATGTTCCAATTTACTTTTTAAAAAATCTCTCTAAATTACTGGGTTTCTTAAAATAACAGCATATTATTTTAATGATTTCTCACCTTAAACCTTTAAAAAATCCTTTATTACATTTATCTCTCAAGGTAGTCTTATTACCTACCCTACCAATTCCGGCAGGGGGGGTAGTAAAACAAAACAATGAAAATTGTTATATGCTAGTAAAGTAACAAATAATGAAAAGACAGTGCAATAAAGGTATGTACTCTCTTTTGAAAAATAGGTTTTGAATTCTGAAATTTGAGGGCTATAGTTATTCACAATTTGACATTTCCAGATAAAATTGTGAATGCCCTATGACTGGTAACACTAGTGTAATGTCAGCAGTGCTTTTTTTCTTAAAAACAGTTTAGAGGTACAGGTACTCTCATTTTGACGCAAGAAAATAACCATTTTATAGTTCAAATCAGGAAAAATAAATACAGTAAATGGACAAAAGTACAAAGATTCACAAAATGTTTAGGGGTAGGAATCCCCCCAGAAAAAAGCACTGAATGTCACTACGCCAAATGTTGGGGGATTGTATCCAATGTCAGTGCTACCCAGGGGCAGCTCTTAAGATTCATCAGTTTCAGTAGGTAAACTTGTGAGTAGGACTAGCACTGGAGGCAGCCTTAGAAAGTCCCTTTCACAACTACAGATGGAAGTAAAACAAATATGCATGCTTCACCTATGTGACATCCCGTTTAGATATTTGAAGATGCCTATCACATAGCCTCCCTGTCTCCTCTTGTCCAGGCTAAACATCCCCAACTCCCTCAACCGTTCCTCATAAGGATTGGTTTCCAGATCATCTTGATCACTTCTCCTTGTGCACACATACCAGTTTGTCGATATCCTTCTAAACCTGTGATATATCAAAGACATATTGTCGCTGTTTTTTGTGTTGAATATATGCTATATGGTAATTTATGGACCGAATAGGTATCTAAAGCCATTTGCGCATAACAAAATATGTATTTTACCAAAGTAATTGATATAGAAATGAGCAAACCAGTGACATTTTAGGGAGCAGGCTGGCAGGCGGGGCCCATTACTTACATCATTGGAGCCTACACAACACAAAACACTGTAGCTGTATGTAGGTTTTACAGTGGTACCTCTGGTTGCGAACGGGATCCGTTCCGGAGGTCCGTTCGCAACATGAAAACCCTGCAACCTGAATCGCCATATCTGCACAGGTGCGCTGTGCGATTTGGTGCTTGTGTGCATGCGCAAAGTGCGATTTAGTGCTTCTGTGCATGCACGAGCAGTGAAATCCAGAAGTAACCCTTTCCGGTACTTCTGGGTCACGGAAGGACACAACCTGAAGAAACGTAACATGAGTATGACTGTATTTTATTTTATTTTTATATTATATTTTGGAAATGTACATCCAGTTTTTTCCCCTTTAAATTTTTTGGGGGCCCCCAAGAGAGTGTGGCCCCTAGACTGTAGCTTGTTTAGCTTATACGTACAGTAAATCGGGCACTGTAAGAACTATGCAAGCCCATAGCACGCCCTTCCGAGGGCTCGTGCACTAAATCGCCAGCGACGCGAGCCTTGCAAGCTCATATTCAACCGGGAAACCCGAGCTCCGCCTCCTCCTCCCCGGCGCCGCTAGTTCGTATGATCCGCCCAATATTCCTCTCGAGCTCCTCCTGCTGCTGCTGCTGCGCTTCCTCCCGTCGCGCTTTCTGGTTGGTTTCCCCGCCTTTCGGCGCGCCGTCTGGAAAAGAAAAGGAGCCGAGTTGCTGCTGCTGCTGCTGCGCTTTCGGGTAGGCTGAGCTTTCTTTTGCAACTCTCTTGGTGCATCTTTGCGTCTTTTCGCGTCGTGGCCGTGCAGAAGTGGAAGGCTCTCTAAGCTCGGCCCTCTAAGGTAGGGGGGTGGCGAGGGGGCAGAAGGGGGGTGGTCACAGTGCCGGATTCACGTATAAGCTAAACAAGCTACAGCTTAGGGCCCCACGCTCTTGGGGGGGGGGCACAAAAAATGTAAAGAAAAAAAACTGGATGTACATTTCCAAAATATAAGATTATATAAGATTAAAAAATATAAGATTAAAAACAAATAAAATAAAACCTACATACAGCAACAGTGTTTTGTGTTGTGTAGGCTCCTATGATGCACAGTGGTACCTACATAGTGGCTCCTATGATGTACAGTGGTAAGTACAGTGGTACCTCTGGTTAAAAACTTAATTCGTTCTGGAGGTGCATTCTTAACCTGAAACTGTTCTTAACCTGAAGCACCACTTTAGCTAATGGGGCCTCCTGCTGCTGCCGCGCCGCCGGAGCATGATTTCTGTTCTCATCCTGAAGCAAAGTTCTTAATCCGAGGTACTATTTCTAGCCAGCTCCCTAAAATATCACTGGTTTGCTCATTTCTATATATAGGGTGCCCACATTCTGCATGGACTGGTTGCAATACTTTGATAAAATACATATTTTGCTATGTGCAAATGGCTTTAGATACCTATTAGGTCCATAAACTACCAAATAGCATATATTCAACAACAAAAAAACAGCGACAATTTGTTGTTGAGAAAGGACAGCTGGACATAGAAAGGGCCCCATTACCTTCAGTAGCTTATGGGCTCATCAAACCTAAATCCGGCCCTGGAGGTAGAAAAGGTATGTACAAGTGAGACAAAATGTACCTTAGCAGGAGTGCTTCTATTTGGGGTTCCTTCCAGACACAAGCCATGTGCTGTTCCTCAAGGAGCTTCAGCAGGCCATTCCTAAGGGCTGGCCCATTTTTGGGGAGGGGAATATCGAGAATATTAGGGCCATGCTTTCCCCAGGCCAAGCAAAAACAACGCAACATGGTGTGCAAGTGTTTGGGCTTCGGAGGGAGAGGGAAGTTGGCTAGTGATCACTGTCACAGCAAGTGTGGCTCATCTCACTTTATCCTCACAAGAACCCTGCGAAGTAGACTACACTCAGGCAGTGGCTGCCCCCAGGCCAATCAGGGATGTGAACACAGAATGAGAGAATTTTAGAGTTGGAAGGGGACACAAGGGTCATCTAGCACAACCCTCTGCAATGCAGGAAACTTCTTGCCCAACGTGGAGCTCGAACCCACAACCCAGCGATTAAGAATCTGATGCTCTAGTGACTGAGCAAAATCCAACATACGTACTCTTTGCCAGCTCACTATTCTATATGTGTCTTCCGAGCTTAACAAATTGGGTTGTTATGTTAGATACTGTTGCTCTATGGGTGTACGTATAGGGATCACCGCAGCTGCTTGCATTTTTGGACCCACTTTGGGGTATTGGCTATGGGGGCTGTCATGGTGAGCTCCTCCACTGCAAAATTTGCCTCTGCCTTGATGCTTCTTAAGGGACGTGGGTGGCGCTGTGGGTTAAAGCACAGCGCCTAGGACTTGCCAATCAGAAGGTCGGCGGTTCGAATCCCCGCAACGGGGTGAGCTCCCGTTGCTCGGTCCCTGCTCCTGCCAACCTAGCAGTTCGAAAGCACATCAAAGTGCAAGTAGATAAATAGGTATCGCTCCGGTGGGAAGGTAAACGGTATTTCCATGTGCTGCTCTGGTTCGCTAGAAGCGGCTTAGTCATGCTGGCCACATGACCCTGAAGCTGTACGCCGGCTCCCTCAGCCAATAAAGCGAGATGAGCACCGCAACCCCAGAGTCGGCCACGACTGAACCTAATGGTCAGGGCCCCCTTTACCTTTACCTTGACGCTTCTTAGCCAGAGCAGGTTGCAGAACTGCATGTGTGTAGACTTTAAAGTGGGGATTTCTGACAAAATCTTCCTTCCCTGCGCAGATTCTTGGCCAGTGGTAGTCAACATAGCACCCTCCATGTGTTATTACTTTTATATCTCACTTCTCCTCCAATAAGCTCAAGGCAGTGTACAGGACTTCTGCCCCTCCCATGTTTTGTCCTCGTAACTACCCTGAAAGGTAGGTTAAGCTCAAATATAGCAACTGACCCAGCTCTTCCAGATCCTTGGAGAGAGAGGGTACAGTGGCAGTTGAGGTAGTTTAGATTCACAGTCCAGACATTGGCCCTCTTGTCTACCTTGTGGCAATAAAAGGACAGAAAGAAAAGGTTAAAAAGAGCACATCCCTTGACACTCCGTCTAAAACAAGCACAGGCAAACTCGGCCCTCCAGATGTTTTGGGACTACAACTCCCATCATCCCTAGCTAACAACCAGTGGTCAGGGAGGATGGGAATTGTAGTCTCAAAACACCTGGAGGGCCAGGTTTGCCTGTGCCTGCTCTAAAACTTATGTGCCCTGCTTTGTTTTCAGGAGGGGAAACTAGAAAAATTAATGCTGTGGCCTACCTGTGTCCATTTTACTTAGTATAGTGGTACCTTGGTTCTCAAACTTAATCTGTTCTGGAAGTCCATTCCAAAACAAAGGCACACTTTCCCATAGAAAGTAATGCAAAATGGATTAATCTGTTCCAGACTTTTAAAAACAACCCCTAAAACAGCAATTTGACATGAATTTTACTATCTAACAAGACCATTGATCCATAAAATGAAAGCAATAATCAATGTTCTGTACTTTAAAATACATAGGACAGCATTGTAGATGATAAAAATTAAAATTAATTTCTTTTCTTACTTGCACTGGTGATATTCATTGTTTGGATGGGGAGCTTTTATCCATTTCCGCAGTCACACAATCAATCAATCAATCATATAACGAAAAACAAGCCACAGTCACAAAAATGAAAAAGCCACACAAACAAAAATGCAAAAAAATAGCAAAAACAATAGCATCAAATATCACTTCAGAACACTGCAATCAGAAACGGAAGGCTTTAATTACGATGGGGGTGGGGACTCAAATGAGCAGCGCAAGGGCAGAAGCGAGAGGAAAAAAGGCTTGATTACGATGCGGGGGACTCAAACAGTGAAAACGGAAGCTCAGGAGCATGTTCGGCTTCCGAGGCAAAGTTCGAAAACCGGAACACCTACTTCCAGATTTGCAGGTTTCGAGTTGTTTGGGAACTAAGCTGTTTGAAAACCGAGGTACCACTGTACTGATTTCAAAAGCCAGTAACTGCCAACTGCCAGGTCACAGGGCCTGTGAATGTGTGTTCGTGAGCCTAAAACTGAATTGCATGTGGACCACTCTTAACTCTGTGGAACTAGACAAATATTCTTGTTTCCCCAGAAAGTATTTATCCCACCATTCTGTGGAGTGCTGTGCACTGCTCAGAGGTCTGGAAAGATGTGTATAATGCTCTGATTGGCTGCGTAGTTCTGAGGGAGCTTTCTCTCTGTATGTTTGGCTGAATGTATTCCTGCTCTGTGGAAGGCCTGAGGTGAGCGAGACAAAACCTTATGTCTTCTCAAATTGTACGCTGTTTTTGCTCTGTAAAGTGTTAATCAGAACTATTTGCTCTGGATTTGGGGTGTGGTATTTAAGTGACTTTGCCAACGGTCCACAGCCCCTTAAGTTGTGATCTTCTTTATAGATTGTCTTTGAATGAACATCTTTCATCTGCTGCCATGGAGTCAGAGAGCATCATGATCCTTTATGAGGACAATTCTGTAGAAGTGCACTATGTGGATGGATCCAGGTTGCTGCTTTCTCCTTGTGGGTCTGAGTTTTTATTTGAGAAAGCCATTCCTGCCTCTGCCCATCCCATACAGCCAGCAGAACGGATTCGCCAGAGGACGCAATTTGCTATCAGCATCTACAGGGTAAACTAGAACATTTTTCTGAATAAGCAGAGTTCCAAGAGAGAGAGAAGGGGTTATTGTGGGATAATAAATATCCGACATCTTTCAGCCCATACGTTAAGACACAAATGGGCAACCATTTTCAGCCTGTAGGTTGCATTCTCTTCTGGGCAACTTTTTAGGGACTAAAAAGTTTTTTTTAAAAAAACAGCAACTGTATTTTATATTTGGTGTTAACCGCCCTGAGCCCGGTCTTGACCGGGGAAGGTGGGGTATAAAGTAAAAATTATTATTATTATTATTATTATTATTATTATTATTATTAAATGCCCGTGCTGAGTGAGACCAGACTGAAAAGTGGATTTCACTTTTGTACCGTAGCCTAGTTTCTAAATATATACAGACGATAAGGATGTTGGAACTAAACATGGGTTCTTAATTGCCATTCCTCTCCTTTAAGAAAGGGGGAATTAAATTTATGCTTTTGTTAATCTACAAATTCTGTGATATATTTTGTTGTTTTTGTGTGTGTTTTTAGGAGAAGCTTTTGCAGGCAATTGATTTCCGGAATCAATATTCTGATCGTCCCTATTTACCTTCAAGTATTATACCTCCTGAAAGGAAAAATGTAAGTGCTTTTTGTAGGCTTACTATTCTTATTTATTAAACTTCTTAGTCAGCCGCAGGTCTCCAAGCGACTTACTTGTAAAGGAAAATATGCAATACATACACGATACCGTAGGAGAAAGGGGAAGGCCATATAATACATTAACATTTCCTATAATGTAACATTTATGGAAAAACAAAAAACCAACATATCAGCCGTATAAATAATAGCAAACAATGTTAACAACACTCAAATAATAAACGAAGCAACATCCCCACTCACTAATTAGCAAATAAAGAAGACCTCAGCCCCTTTCCTAGTCCAAAAGCTATTCACATCGAACCAACCATTTCCCTGCTTTAACCACCCTGCCTCACCCAGAAGTCTGGTGTCAAAGCCAGCTGTTGCAAAAATCAGAGCTGGATGGGTCCCGTGTCTTCCAGGGATGGTCTGGTGTCTCTCTTCTCCCTTTGGGAGAGAGCAGTAGCAAAGCAGGAAGATGGTAGCAAAAGTTTTACCTGCTAAGCAGTTGTCCTGGCTACTGCTCCTCTCTTGTTGCAGAGCAGAGACTTGCCTGCCTGCCTGCCTGCCTGGGGATTCAGCATCCTGCCTAGTGTCAAGGCCAGCTGTTGCAGATCTGTGGTTGTGTGGGGATTTGACAGATCAAAGTGGGTCCAAACTAAATTGCTGGGTGGTAGCTCATGGGAGTTGTAGTCCAAAACAACAGGAGAAGGAACAGGTTGGAGAAGACCAATTAATCACAGAATCATAAAATTGTAGAGTTGGAAGGAACCCTGAAATTCATCTAGTCCTCAGGGACCGTATAACACTGGTCCTGAAAGACCTACATTGACTCCCAGTACATTTCCAAGCACAATTCAAAGTGTTGGTGCTGATTTTTAAATAATAATAATAATTATTATTATTATTATTATTTATTATTTGTACCCCGCCCATCTGGCTGGGTTTCCCCAGCCACATTGGGCGGTTTCCAACAAAGATTAAAATTACATTAAAATGTCGCACATTAAGAACTTCCCTAAACAGGGCTGCCTTCAGATGTCTTCTAAATACTAATAATTTATTATTTAAAGCCCTAAACGGCCTCAGGCCAGACTACCTGAAGGAGCGTCTCCACCTCCATCGTTCAGCCGGACACTGAGGTCCAGCTCCGAGGGCCTTCTGGCAGTTCCCTCCCTGTGAGGTTACAGGGAACCAGGCAGAGGGCCTTCTCGGTGGTGGCGCCCTGCGGAACACTCTCTCGTCAGATGTCAAGGAAATAAACAACTACCTGACTTTTAGACGACATCTGAAGGCAGCCCTGTTTAGGGAGGTTTTTAATGTCTGATGGTTTAGCGTGTTTTTAATATTCTGTTGAGAGCTGCCCAGAGTGTTTGGGGAAACCCAGCCAGGTGGGCGTGGTATAAATAAAAATTATTATTATTATTATTATTATTATTATCAGTCCAACCCCCTGAAATGCAGGAATATGCAGCTGTCCCATACAGGGATTGAACCTGCAACCTTTGCTTTCACCAACAGAGCTATCAGGCTAATATGTACGTAGCAGTTAAATAATAAATAGCGTCGGTGGCATTGCGCTTGAGATTTGAGTAGTTTTCCTTCCCCTCTTAACAGATTCTTTTCGCAGATATCTCTAAAGCCCAATGGCCCACTTCTTGTGCCGAGAATGGAGCAGCCCGTTTTCACCGTGGCGCTGTGACCATCTCTTCTCTAGATGGCCATGCTAGTCTGACCTTGCCTGTCCTTCAGCAAGAACTAACAGTGGAGTTTTTGTGCAAAGTCAGCCAGAAGTTATCGGCACCACCATTAGATAAAAAGTGTGGCGAATCGATCCAGGATCGGTGTGGAAGATCTGGCCAGAATTCTGCCGGGAAGCCGTATTCTCAGCAGCTGAGAGCAGGAGGAGAAGAGGGTGACTTTGGCAGGTCTGTGGCACAGAATACGCAGGACAGCAACTCAGGATCTGTGCAAAACTTAGAGGAGAGCCCCTGGTCTTTCCAGAACTGCTCATCAGAATATTGTTGGGTTACTCAACGTCTGTCTGTGTCCTCCTGCTCCGAAGAATGGAGGTACCCTTTATCATTGGCACTTAGGTTTTATCAGTTACACGCTGGCAAAGAAACTGAACTGGATGAAGGAAACACAGATGTTGGGATTACAGAGCTTGATGTATCACACTCTTCTAGGGCAGTCACTTGTTTGCCTTGGGCTTTACCACTCAGCTGTCATGCTCCTTATTTGCACAGGTGAATTTTTTTTTTATTTATTTACTAAAGTATTTCTATTTCTGTTCTCTTTTATTAAGTCCCTTCCCCTAACTAAGGTGGCTAAAAATCTGCTTAAAAACAGCAGTGAATTTTCCATTGTCGCTCTGTGAGGGGAATAGGGGCTTCAACATGCTTAACAAACTACGATCCAGACAGGGGTTTTTTTGTGGGGGGGAGGGCTGTTTAAAACGGTATGATACTGCTTCAAATGTGTAGTGCAGATGGGGCTTCTTACTGAACATGGTGGAATTTCATCTGGAGAAACAGATATAAGATCAGATTGCTTTTAGGCTTGAAAGCAATATCTACAGAAGGGGTGGTTTACTTCTAGCCCTACTGGGCTCCCAACTCCTACGAGCCTCAGCCAGCGTGGTCAGTGGCTAGGATCCCCAGCATAGCTGTCAACTTTTCCCTTTTCTTGCGAGGAATCCTACTCGGAATAAGGGAATTTCCCTTTAAAAAAGGGAAACGTTGACAGCTATGATCCCCAGTCTTGCCCTACAGTACTTGTTCTAGATTGTTTCAGTTGTTAGCAAGCCAGGTGGATTTAAATCACTATCAGTAAGACTTGATTTAAATCACTATCAGTAAGACTTGATTTAAATCACTAGTCACTGAGACTTGATTTAAATCACTAGTCAGTAAGACATGATTTAAATCATTTTTTTTACAGAAAAACTCATTCTTGCTGGTATAATCTTAATATTTACAACCAGATGAAGGTTTCGTTTTTTGAATAATAAATTTTCAGAGTAGTTTTTACAGTTATATAAAAAATTACTGATTTGGTTGTACTATTAGAAATACATAGACAGATAATTATGAAATCATTGTGAGGTTTAATTACCGTATTTTTCGCACCATAGGACGCACCGGTCCATAGGACGCATCAAGTTTTTTGGGGGGGAAATAAAGGAAAAAAAATTATTTCCCCCCCAGGCGCTTGTGGGGCCGGCAGCGGGGAGAAGCGCTCTTCTCCCCGCAGTCCGCCTTCAGATCAGGTCCGGGGACAGCAGGAAGACGCGCTGCGTCTCCCCGCTGTCCCCGGAGCTTGGGGGCAGGCAGCGGGGAGAAGCGCTCTTCTCCCCGCCGCCCGCCTTCACATCAGGTCCGGGGGCAGCGGGGAGACGCGCGGCGTCTCCCTGCTGTCCCCGGAGCTTGGGGCAGGCAGCGGGGAGAGCGCTCTTCTCCCCGCCGCCCGCCTTGATATCAAGTCCGGGGACAGCGGGAAGACGCGCTGCTTCTCCCTGCTGTCCCCGGAGCTGGGGGCAGGCCGGGGGGAGAAGCGCTGCTCTCCCCGCCGCCCGCCTTGATATCCAGTCCGGGGACAGCGGGAAGACGCGCTGCGTCTCCCTGCTGTCCCCGGAGCTTGGGGGCAGGCAGCGGGAGAAGCGCTCTTCTCCCGCCGCCCGCCTTCAGATCAGGTCCGGGGACAGCGGGAAGACGCGCTGCGTCTCCTGCTGTCCCCGGAGCTGGGGGCAGGCAGCGGGAGAAGAGCGCTTCTCCCCGCCGCCCGCCTTCACATCAGGTCCAGGGACAGCGGGAAGACGCGCTGCGCCTCCCTGCTGTCCCCGGAGCTGGGGGCAGGCAGCGGGAGAAGCGCTGCTCTCCCCGCCGCCCGCCTTGATATCAGGTCCGGGGACAGCGGGAAGACGCGCTGCGCCTCCCTGCTGTCCCCGGAGCTTGGGGCAGGCAGCGGGGAGAAGCGCTCTTCTGCCCGCCGCCCGCCTTCACATCAGGTCCGGGGACAGCGGGAAGACGCGCTGCGTCTCCCTGCTGTCCCCGGAGCTTGGGGGCAGGCAGCGGGGAGAAGCGCTCTTCTGCCCGCCGCCCGCCTTCAGATCAGGTCCGGGGACACCGGGAAAACGCGCGGCGGCTCCCTGCTGTCCCCGGAGCTTGGGGGCAGGCAGCGGGGAGAAGCGCTCTTCTCCCCGCCGCCCGCCTTCAGATCAGGTCCGGGGACAGCGGGAAGACGCGCTGCGTCTCCCTGCTGTCCCCGGAGCTTGGGGGCAGGCAGCGGGGAGAAGCGCTCTTCTCCCCGCCGCCCGCCTTCACATCAGGTCCGGGGACAGCGGGAAGACGCGCTGCGTCTCCCTGCTGTCCCCGGAGCTTGGGGGCAGGCAGCGGGGAGAAGCGCTCTTCTCCCCGCCGCCCGCCTTCAGATCAGGTCCGGGGACAGCGGGAAGACGCGCTGCGTCTCCCTGCTGTCCCCGGAGCTTGGGGGCAGGCAGCGGGGAGAAGAGCTCTTATCCCCGCCGCCCGCCTTAAAAACAGGTCCGGGGAAAGCAGGAAGACGCGCTGCGTCTCCCAGCTGTCCCCAGAGCTTGCGGGCCGGCGGCGGGGTCTCCCTGCCGTCAGCCTCCAAACCACTTCGGGAGACAGCGGGATGGCGGCGTTCCGCCTCCCTCTGTCCCCCGACCTTGTGGGGCTGGCGCTGGGGCTCTCCTGAAGCCTGGAGAGCGAGAGGGGTCGGGGCGCACCCGCCCCACACACTCTCCAGGCTTCAGTGAGTCTGCATTCGCACCATAGGACGCACACACATTTCCCCTTCATTTTTGGAGGGGAAAAAGTGCGTCCTATAGTGCGAAAAATACGGTAAGTTAACTGTTTATATTTGGACAACTTTTCTGCTGTACTTTATTGGAAGGAGAAAAATAATCGTTTCCTTAATAACAATTTAAACAATTTATTTAACTAAAGCAATAACATTATAGCGTATGTATCCATGTTTGTTAACTGATGTGGTTAAACGGTTAGTTTGTTTCTTTTAAAAAAATAAACTTAGACTGAATTTTAGCACACATGAAAAACTTAAAACAAATCCTTATTTCCTGATGAATAGCCGTAGGACTATAATGTAACTTAAATAGAAAACTATCTTTAGAAAGATTTTTCCTCCAAAAGCATTTTTATTTTAAAAATCCAATTTAAATAAAAAAATCTGATTATTATTATTTTTAAAAATCATTGATTTTTATCCACCCTGTTAGCAAGGGTTCCAGCAGGATTTTGCTAAGTTCAGTGTCTGCTGATTTGTTTCACAGGTGGGATTTCTCTGATTTCTTGCAACTGAGGAAAGAGGACAGTGGTCAGTATTTGTACTCCCAGCCAGTCAAAATAGTATGGAGTAAGGGCATCATTTACAGGTGTGTAAAACAAAAAACAAAACACAAAATTTAATGGATAACAAATTAATATTGCTTATCTAACATCCGGAAAGTTGGGGTTTTTAAAAATATACTAAGTTTTCAGAAGAAGTCTCCACGTGATTTAAGTGAAGAAGAGAGGCTTGAAAACAGTGCCACAATCTTGGACTCCTATGCACACTTACCTGGGAGTATGTGTCTGCCTCTGAGTACAGTATTGTACAGAGCTACTACTTCTACAGTTGATGCACTTAAGTCTTGTTGACCCCAATGAATTTGAAGCATAGATGATGATGATAATGATAATTTTTTATTATACATCAAACATTAAAAACTTCCCTAAACAGAGCTGCCTTCAGATGTCTTCTAAAAGTTGGATAGTTGTTTATTTCCTTGACATCTGCTGGGCGGGCGTTCCACAGGGTGGGAGCCACCACCAAGAAGGCCCTCTGCCTGGTTCCCTGTAACCTCACGTCTCGCAGTGAGGGAACCGCCAGAAGGCCCTTGGAGCTGGACCTCAGTGTCCGGGCTGAATGATGTGGGTGGAGATGCTCCTTCAGGTATTCTGGGCCGGCTGCAGTCCTGTACACGATGTGACTTCAGCCAACACCACTATTTTATCTGTAATTAATCCACACAGTCTCATAAGGTAGTAAAACGCTCAGCAGGACTAACCAGTACTTTCTCTTAGGTTTCTTCTTGGAGCTAGACAGATAGAAATCTACCCCGGTGATGGCTCAGTTTTCAAATCGGAAGGTTCCTTTTTGGGGAAATATTTCACTCGCTATTATATCCAGGAAGGAACGAGGGAGGTAAATGACGCCATTTTATCTTTCAGACCCGTTCTAGAATATTTGAGGAACGTTGCTGTAGGTCTTCTATTATGCTATGTTTATAAATTACAGTTTCCATTATGTTTTCCTTGACACTTAATGACAGGGAACACCCAGGCATTTTTAGAGCTAACGGTGATATGTCCAACAAAAGGTGGAGATGTTTGAAATTGGCAGGCATGGCATAGTTTTTCAGTTTGAGCTCAACGTTTTTATACTCTGTTTCCCTCAGTTCTCAGAGTGGCTTAACAATCAATCCCTCTTCACAGGGAACTCTGAGAATTATAAATCTGTGAGGGGAATAGAGGCCTCCTGACAACTCTCAGTACCCTTAAGAAACGGCAGCTCCCAGAATTCTTTGGGGGAAGCCATGACTGTTTAAAGTACTAACATAGTGCTTTAAAATGTATGGTGTGAATGTGCCTGAGGTTCTTGGTTTGCTTGTTAGAAAGCAATTTCCTTTTGTTTTTTTGCATCTTTAAGAGAGAAGAAACAATGTATTCTGCAAGCAGTCTACCACCTGATGTACCTGGAAGTCTCTACTCTGTGTCGACCATTATCACTCAAGCTGTAAGGTGAAATATTTTGGCTCTGCATTTTTGTTAGTCCACACACCAAGGGCATGTATAGCTGAGCTGAAGGAACATTTACTGCTTTTCCTGTGTCTTATGAAGTGCCTCTTGAGTAGCTGACTCAGTTTACATCATGACATGAAATGGGTTTAGGAAATGCTGTTTTATTGGTAGGCTAAGGTGCTAACAATAAATATACAAGTAAATATAAACTGACTTATTTTTGTAAAGCCAGTATGTCCTTATGAAACATCTTTTATCTTTTTCTTTTTTTAAACTACCTAGAGTTCTTCAACATGATCTTGAGCGCATGCTTTCGTTAACCCATAATTACTCTGTCTGCTGCTGGAAGATGGTGGTAAGTAAGAATGAAGTTGAGATCTTGTAAAATATCATGCTGGTCTCTGTGCTCACAGCACTTCTCAATTTTCAGGGTGAAAAAAATCTAGGCACATGGAAATTTTAGATTTCCATTCCCAACCAATTTGAAGAGTTTAGGGCAGGTAATTTTGTTTATAAAGATGTATATTTTAAATGAGAGAAAATAAACCTTATTGACCTATTGAGCAAATGCTACAAATTATATATAGACTCTTTAGGTCCTATTCTCCCCTAAACTAGAGAGTATGAAAATAAATGAAACTAGAAAAGGATCAGAAACAGCAAAAGGGCTTTCCAGTAGATATTTTTGTCATTGAAATCCTACTCAATATTGATCCAGAGCAGATTCTAATGTATAGTTAGTTAGCAGAGTAAGAAACTTGTTGCAGGATTCCCAAAAATAGACCAGAGGCAATTGTATTTTATCCAGCAGAGCTTTACTGCTACTGAAGGCAAATGAGCATAATGGTCACAAATCCAATACATTTAGGACTGGCACTGTTCATAAGAAATCCAGTTGCAGCAGACTTAAACTTACACTAAGCATATTATGTACAAAACACCATACCAGAAGGAAAATAGAGAGTGAAACCCATGCTCCTTCTGGCCTTACTTTTAGAGTCAGCATGACCTTGACAGAAAGAGATAACAGGACCAGTTTAAGAAAGCTGTACTCAGCTTCTCTGAAGGTATAACCAAAACATCATGAACCTTCTGCTTGTTTCCTTTCACACAGAGAAGTTTCCAGAACCCTCTTGAATTAAACAGAATAGGAAAGATCTCTACACATCAGTTCAATACTTTCTGCACTAAGAAATGCAAACGTGACAGTTTTCCCTATGTTATAAATTAGTACTTATTTTTGTCCCACATTGTTTGTTTCAGTGTCCTGAGAAGGGTAGAGGACAAATGTTGCCAGTCCCCCTGGCTGAAACAATTGTTCCCAATGTAGGAAGGCTCTTTGCGTATTCAGATAATAAAGTGCATGCCATTTTTTATGATGGAATGATCCTGAACATGGTGTGGGATTTCACTTCTCAAGATGGAAAATCACAGGTGAGGTTTACAGGGTGTTGGTTTAATTTGTCCCGTGCTTGGGAGCATTTACCTCCTGGTAAAAGGTAAAGGACCCCTGGACAGTTAAGTCCAGTCAAAGGTGACTATGGGGTTGCAGCGCTCACCTCACGTTCAGGCTGAGGAAGCCAGCATTTGTCCACAGACAGCTTTCCGAGTCATGTGGCCAGCATGACTAAACCACTTCTGGTGCATGGAGGACCGTGACAAGTGTGAGAGCGCACAGACATGCTGTTTACCTTCCCGCTGCAGCGGTGCCTATTTATCTACTTGCACTGGCATGCTTTTGAACTGCTAGGTTGGCAGGAGCTGAGACAGAGCAACGGGAGCTCACCCCGTTGTGGGAATTCGAACCGTCAACCAAGAGGCTCAGTGGTTTAGACCACAGCGCCACCCATGTCCCTTTACTTCCTGGTACTTGTGCAAGAGAAGACATCATGACTATTTCCAGTTTCAGCCTTTCCAGTTTCATCATCGCCTTTTACAAAATAACTCCACAAACATTTAAATAGAGACATTATTTTGTGGCAACTCTTTCCCTTCAAAAATGGCTACCACTTGCTAATTGTTAGTCACATCCCTGAGAAACTCTGGAGAATTTGTCTGCTCCCCAACCCCGTCCCTGCTGCAGTTGAAATTTGGTGAAGTGTGCATCTTAAAATTTCTCTGCCCCAAACAGCGCAGTTGAGAAGCCATTTGCACACAGCTCTGGTTGTTGATTGTATGGTTGTCCAGCAGGCAGCAGTCAAAAACCTATTTAGAGTGGCTCTGCTATAAACAACAGTAAAAGTGAATGAGATTTATTATGAGAGTATGGGATTTGGGGGTTCGGCCGGTTTGCTTCTGGGGCTGAAGAACTAGGGATATATTAGTATCCAGAATTATACTGACCCACTTGGCTACAAGGAGTGCTCAGAAATGGAAGCGTGCAGGGAACCAACCTGGAGGGCGGGGACTAGAAAACTAAGCCCCTACCTGAAAAAAATGACAGCAGACAGGCAGAGGTTACTTGGAAGAAGGGATGAAGTAGGGTACTTCTACTGATTACGGTATCTAATTTTCTTCTAAGAGACCTCAAGATGCTAACACGGGTTGGTGCAAACTCACTTCACCTGCAGGAGCACAGCAGCTTATCCATGTAGATCATCCTGGGCTCTATGAAAGGTATTTGTAGGTTTTTTGGATAAATTTAGGAATTTCAGTATGATTTAATTTGCCCAAAAGAGAAAAATGTAGGTGAAATATTTTTCCTTCCTCCTCTTGCTGTAGAATTTGGTAGAAGTCATCAATCCTTTGACTACAGCAGCAAACATTTTAATAAACATTTGGGGAGATAGTATTAGACACTGTGTTCGAAACTCCCATTGTTCTAGGCACGTTTTACGACAGGGAATGTCATTCGTGCGAGCAGCTTCTGAGCTCCAGGCGCAGTATTGCGCTTAAGATTAAAAGTGCAGAATGGAAGAAAAGGAGGACCTTTTTCTTCCTCCCCGCTTCCAGCTACTCTCTGAAGACTGGAGAAGAGACCCTCTTAAGAATATTACGGGGGTGGGCAGGTGAAGGAATAGACCATGGGTTGGCAAACTAACGCCCGGGGGCCAGATCCAGCCCAATCACCTTCTAAATCTGGCCCACAGACAGTCCAGGAATGAGTGTGTTTTACATGAGTAGAATGTGTCCTTTTATTTAAAATGCATCTCTGGGTTATTTGTGGGGCATAGGAATTTGTTCTTCCCCACCAAAAAATATAGTCTGGCCCCCCACAAGTTCTGAGGGACAGTGGACCAGCCCCCTGCTGCAAAGGTTTTCTAACCCCTGGACTAGACCATGTGAAAAACGAACATAATATTTTAGCTGCAGTTCATTCATTTTCAGCTTTGCATCCTTGTTATTAAAAAAAGCGAACCTAGATACTCAGTTGTTGTGCCCATAACCTAGGTTTAAGGTGCCATTTGGCTCCTAGCTTTCATATCTCTGTTTCTGATTAGGCAGCTGTTTTCCTAGAGCTATTTTCCTGCACTACTTCTGTGTGCTGTTGGCAGAACATCATGTAGGATCAGATGCTAAAGTCTTGTCCCCCAACTCCCTCGTGTTCATTTTTTGCAATCCAACACTATCAGAGACAGGCGGGTCTGTTTTCCTTATTAGGGACAGGATGCCCCAGCTGCCATTGGTTCTTTAGTTGGTGTTGCCCATTCATGGTGGATGTAACACAACTTATTTTTCTCCAACACAGATACGTAACAACCGTGGTCAAATGGTGCAGAAGCTTAAACAAGGATGGAGAGGTGTGTGCAGACGCACCACAGCCGATTCCTGAAGAGACCTGGTATGCATCTTAAATGGCTCTCAGGGGCCATCTGTATTTATTTTTAAACACAAGTTTATTCAATTTTATTTATTACCTCTCTTTGGGAACCATTTGGATCCATTAAGAGGCAGGCGGTGGACCATTCAAATTGGTCTCTCCTACCTGCGGAGGGGAAGGGTTAGGGAAGTCTAGTTGCACCAGTAAGTGATCTGACCATGACACTGCTTTTGTTCCACTGGAACTTAAGTGTCAGATCACTCCTGGTAAACACCAGATCTAAGGCATGTTGTTGTGGTAATAAGCAAAATGGTATTTTGAGAAATGTGTTCTCAGTTTTATATTGGTATTTTATAGGTCCGTTGCTGCTGAACTTGAAAAAATAAGAAGATTCAATTGTATCCTTTTCGAGCACATTTTGAATCCACAGAGAAGTTCTTAGCAGGATTGGATCATTCTTTTCTTGAGGCAAGCAATAATAAACCTTTTCTATACTTTGGTTCAGTTTGTTAGGCAAAGTACTAGTAAGGTGTCTGCGAATAGTATTAAAATGTTAAAGGTCCTTCACATTACTTTGTCATGTGGCAATTTAGTTTTATTTAAGAGAAAGGTTTTTTATTACTTGGGGTGGGGGTGGGATATGCATTATGTACTTATTTAATGACATATTGAAATAGCCTCTGGAACTTCTTTTAAATCTTGCAGTGCAATCTTAGACATGTTCAGTGGGACTTACTCCCAGCTAAGTGTTATAAGTTTGCAGACTTACACTGCAATTGAAACCCCAGCCGGGAAGGAATGGGGCCACTGTTCCATCCACAGTCTAACGGCAGGGATGACTAATAACCACTTGCTTGTTTTGAGGCTTTCTGTGGGCTGTTCTGCACATTCGGCAGGCAGAGTTTCACACCAGCAGAGTGACTCTAGCAGGACTCTGCCCAAACTACCCCCACCCCTTTCAAACCCAACACAAAGCAGGTTTGCATTGCAGCATGTATTGAACTCTGTGATGCCATCACAAATATAGCACAAGACAGCTTATGAATTTCCCCAGTTCCCCTGAGAGAAGAGATTTGGTTTTTGTCTCGCTGTTTTCCCTCCTTAACTATACAACTACAGTTTTAGTGGAGAACAGCAATATTCCAAGTACGGTTTCAGCTGCAAAAAGAAATCCATCCTGCAGCACCGACCGGCAGAACAGACCAGAGGAAATCTTTTTAGTTGAGAATGTTAGTAAAAAGAACATAGCTGAGACTCTGGAAAAAACTTCAAAGGTTATCAGTGATATTGACTCTCTTTTAGCTTCCTCTGTAAAGAGAAATGAGGTCAAAAGTAATTCCGGTAATTCTGTCCCTCATTAATCTGATTGAGGTAGAAAATGAAATTCAACCGTCCAAGGTCAGGCCACAGAGTTGTTCTGAGTCACTGACTTTATAGATAATTAAAGGCAGGATTATAAGTTAAGGATATTGTTAATTTATTAATTTGAGTGTATGTTGTGGGGTTGTTCGTTTATATTTTATTACTTCATTGTTTCTCTTTGGAGATAGGTGGGATAGAAAATTTTAATATAAATGTTTGTGTATATATATGTGTGTTTGTGTGTACACAAACTATGGGTTGTTATAAAAGGCCAGAGATGAGAGGATTTTGTTATAATGCCAAATGTAATTGCACTGTATAATCCTGTACCGAATTAACAGTTAAGAATTAGTTATTTCCTACATGTTTGAAAATCACTGGCTTTTAAATTTCAGCTGTCATATTTTATAACATTTTATTCTGATATTTAAAGTTTTTTGGTAGAGGCGGGAGAAGATCTATACCACTGTTTCTGTTTATGGATGTTTGAATAAAGCCATACAGGTCAATTAAAGCGTAATATTTAAGTCTTCTAGTACGTTGGCTGTTTTTCAAATAAAGTTACAATGAAATTTCATCGTCACCTTTTGAAAAAAAAAAATACTTTCCACAGCAAAGAACAATTTCATCCTTTTATTGTTCCTGTATATGTATAGTCTCAAAATTGGACCGATTCAGTTTTTATAGCTGTAAAAGTACCCCCCCACGCCCTCAAAAAGGTGGTCCCAATAAAACCTTGGAAAATTAAATTAAATTGCTGAACACCGTGTACCCTGCCCAGCAGAACAAGCAGGTTCCCATGTCTCCCCTTTTAATTTGCTTACAGGAGCAGGTACACAGGAGATTTGGAGCATCTGCTCTACCACTCATATGGAAACCCCTGCATCCCACTCAGCCCCCCCCCCCCCCCATTCTCTATCTATCTATATCTATATCTATCTATACACACACGCGCGCGCGCGTTCAGGAAGAGGAAGAGCCGCTCTCGTTAATTGCCGTGCTTGTAGCATAGACGACATTTTAACCCTATCTCTAGAGCGCCCCGCTTGACTGCGAAGCCAGAGGAAGGAACGCGCCGTCGCTAAGGCGGGTGGGCGGCGCTCCTACCGCTCTCCCAGGATGCCGAGAGAGAGGCAGGCGCCGGTGGGCGGGGCGGCGCATGCGCCGCCACACATTCCTCTGGTGCTGCTGAGGGAGGTGAGCAGGGCGAGAGGGTCGCTGGGCGGCGCTGAGGGGGCGGTTGGAGGCCGGCGGGGGTTGGCTGTGGGGAGGAAGGGAGCGGGGGCAGTTCTCGAGGGCGGCGGAGGGAAGGGATGGAGCGGGTCGCCCGGGGTGCGCCTAGCCGGTTCCTCGCCGTCGCCACTCGGTGCGGCGTCCCGAGGGAGAGCTTTCAGCCCCGGCGCGGTGGGCAGAAGCTCGACAGGAGCAGCTTCGCTTGCCCTTGGAAAGTACGGGGAAGGCGACAGGGGCAGACAGAACCGCAGAACTGGAAGGGGCCTCGAGGGTCATCTAGCCCAGCCCAGGAGTCTTTCGCCCACCGTGGGGCTCGAACCCACGACCCAGATATTAAGAGTCTCATGCTGTACCAACTGAGCTATCCCAAGCTATCGACACTCTATTGAACCGCTCTGAGACCTCTGGGTATAGGGCGGTATATAAATTCAATAAATAATAATACGGTAATTTGATATATATCCTCTTCTTTTCCTCGCAGCCCCAAACGACTGCTTTTCCATGCGAGGGTACAGCTTCCCCCGTTGAGTTTCTGCCTGCTGCTGAGGGGAACAGGTACCCAATGGTGATGGGGAAAGGGTATCTATATCTATATAGATATAGATAGATATAAAATACACACACGCACAGCCCCTCAGGGCAAAGGCCTGCCCTCTTATGCTCTGCAAAGCCCCCATTGTGTGCTGCTGTATACAAGTCTATTATTATTCTTATTATAAGGTGTAAGGGTGATGATTAGATTAGAAGGGAGTAGAGTGACTCAGACTCACAGTGGTGGCTATGAGAGGTTAAAATCCCGGCTGAGGGGGAGAAGATGAGGGAAGGAAGTGCCTGAGGATGCTCCATGGAGGTATAAGATCTGAGACTAGGCCTTGAAGCAGCCATGGTGAAGGTTAGGGGGGGTATTGATAGGCACTAGGATAAAGGGCTGTCCAGATTTGAGCTGAACTGAAGGATAGAAATGGAGGCAATAGAAAGGGGAAGTGGGATTTTGAATGTGTTGTCGAAGCAAGGGCAGGAACAAAGCTGGGCTTTGTTGTGTTAGGATTAAAATAGGTCAGAAATCATACACAGCTGGAACGTTCATCCTGTCCCTTTAAGAAGAAAGGTAGGGGGCAGGAGTGGAAAGGAGCTCAAATTGCCTTGCAAAGAATGCCACAAAGTCATTACTGATAATTGCCCTGCATATTCCTATATTAGTCATTATAACATAAAATAAAGCAAGAGCCAGATTTTGTAGTACTTTTCTACCTTGTTGCCTGATTTATGATTCTTGCATGCATTGGATGAGTGGGTAGTTATTTACAAGCCTGAGCTAGAAAGGGGAGTTGCAGGATCTTGGGTTGGGTCAGTGTTGCGCAACTGACCAGTCTTGCTGAAAACAGTGGATTGATAACATAGGCAAGATGAGACAACTTGAAAAATGGGCAGTAGTTCATACTGGATTATTACTGGCTAACATATGTCTGGACAATATATAAATATGATTCTGATCATCTCTTAGTCGCTAAAATGTGTACTAAGGGTGACTTTACATGCAACATTTTAGATGTATGGATGTGAAGGTTAAAACAGTACATATATTTAGGTCATGTAGGGCTTATAAGTCAGCTCCACGAAGGTACCCTTGCCAGAGTGAGACTTACCCCTGCGGGCGACCTCACAAATTCGATACCAATAAACAAGGGAGTGCGCCAAGGATGTATATTGGCCCCCTGCCTATTCAATCTATTCATCAGCGACATGCGAGCACCCTTAGTCAACTCATCTCCAAGTACACATGCGCCTAGACTAGCGGATTACCGCTGTCCACTCCTTTTATATGCGGACGACGCGGTAATTCTATCTTATACACGTGTTGGACTAACCAGAGCTCTGAAGATCTTTGCCACGTATTGTCAACTCAACCAATTAACCATCAATCATGCTAAATCTAAGATTCTGATTTTCGCCAGAAGTCGGAGATTATACGAATGGAAGCTTGGTGGAGCAAAAATAGAGCAAGTCCTAAAATTTCAATACCTAGGAGTTATTTTTCAATACAATTTGGGGTGGAAAGCACATATTCAACACCTACTTAATAAGGCCAAAACTCTGATATATGCGCTCCTCCGATTTTTCTTTTCGGATGGAGCTTTGCATGTTCCCTCGGCCCTAAAGGTGTTCAAGGCAAAAGTGGTTCCCGTGCTTGCTTATGCTGCCCCGCTCTGGGCCGTGATGACAGACCTTGCTCCTCTTGAGACTCTGCAAAACCAATTCCTACGTCGGCTCCTAATGCTCCCCTGTGCGTAAGCAACGCAGCCATGCGACTAGAATTGAAGATCGCATCTTTAGAAACTTGCCTGTGGAAGCAAGTCTTCAATTATTGGTTATCATTGTGGCATAGATTACCAGACCATTACCTTGCCCAATGCTTATGGCGAGATGAATTCTCCAGCCTTTGGACCAGTAGAATTCATGCCAAACTCCTGAGCTATGGAATCTCTCCCTTGGATTCCCTAAAACTAGATCAAACCACTGCTCAAAGACTGATCCGCCAAAGACTGGATGACATCGATTTACAGCGAAATTATATGCTGGGGGGAGGTGTTTGTTCGCCCCAGAACATTGGTATCACTTTAACTTACTGCGTTCCATCATACCTCTCCTCCCTTTCGACTGTTGCCCATAGGCTGGCCTTCACCAAAGCGAGGTTTAATGTTTTCCCTCCAATGCCCTGAGACATAGATTCTCAAAGGGCCAAACCTCCGCCATGCGCGAATGTGATAAGGAGATGCCGGAGTCGCTTCAGCACATTATGTTCACTTGCCCCTTATTCAAGGTGCCACGGGCAAATTTGTTGGGATCAATCATACAGAAATTAGAGGGTACTCCACCAAAATTCCACCTTGCCCAAATCTTGCAGGATAAGGATACCCATACGACCCTGAAAGTGGCTAGGTTCCTGGTCGCTGTCCTTACTCAAAAGCGTTGCCAAGGAGCACCACAAGCTAATTAAGGCGTAGTATGCCATTCCATCTTATAGTAGTTTATTGTTATAGTAGTGTTTTAGTGGCTGTTTTTTCCCATGTGCACAGGTTGTTATTTATGTCTTGTTTTTATCTGTATGGGCCTACGGCCGTAATAAATTATTATTATTATTATTATTATTATAGGTCATGTAGTATAAAGTACTCTTCTTAGAATAATGCAGATTTGGCTGCCCTCTTCTCCCCAGCCCATATCCCTTGCTAAATTGTGTGCATAGTGGCAAGCCTGTATTTGGTATTATGTATAGTGTGATAGTTCCTTCCTTCCACTCTTAATGTAAGATTTAGGGCAGGAGTGGGCAGCCTTTGGCCTACTCTCAGACATTGCTGGACTCTAGTTCCCTTCATCCCCAGCCTATATGGCCCAATGGTCAGGAATACTGGGAGTTGCAGTGTACCTGTAGCTGGAGGGCCATGCGTTGCCAACCCCTGATTTTATGCATGCAACATTGTGATACTAACCTCTGTATAGTTCCACTTTCCTGTTCCCTATTGCTACTGCCTGCAAAGTTTAAGCACAGGTGTAACTTAGTCTCCTAACTAACATGGGTAAGTTTGTTTTTCAGCTTGGGCTTCAAACATCTCTCCTACAGGTATTGCAGTGCTTGGTCTGGTGAAACACTAATTTATTTTGCTTCCACCACATTCTCCAGCTTTACCCTTTTGTAACTGCTGCAGCTTGAACTCTCTCATGGTGGCTGAGAAAAGGGCATGCCAAAAAGTTCTCCATTACAGAGCTGTGATCATGGAGTTTGTCCATAGTCTCATCCAGTGTTCAGGTATTATTTTGAATAAATTCTGTACCCAGTTTCACAATCACTGCAGTACACTTTGGATGTAACATTCAGAAAGTATCTTCCCGGTTTGTGACAAGAACTGGGCAAAGTGAATGTGTTTAGCAAGAAGTAGTAAACTAATTAGAAATCACTAGTTAATTAACAAGCAACATTAATTATGACTCATACGTTTATTGCCTTTGTTGCTAGTGCTGCAAAACTAGCCTGGAACGCCATGTGCTCATTTCACCTTTCCCAGAACAGCAAGGGCTGCAAAGTTATATTTGTCTTTTTGAAGATATTTTTATGAAAAACAAAAAAGAACACACAGCCGCATGCATTGAGGTCTTTCTTCTGGACCCAGGGCAGGCTTCAGGGTGCAAGGAAGAAGCAAGAATGAAGAAAGCCTATATCAAAGCAGATGTGGCAGATGAGATGGAATAATAGCTAGAACAGATACTAGCTGTGAGCTTTGAAAATGTAGGCAAGCAGAAGGGCAGAGGAGAGGTACTGTGCATAAAAATGAGTGCTATAAGAAATGCAGGTTTCAACTAGGACACTGGTTGACGTAATATGCACAGATTTAGCTTTGTATGGAACAGTGAACCAGAAAAATGTGTTTACAGAGATTCTTATTTGGCTCTTAGATTTCTGTGCTGTTCTGTGATCTTTCTGCTCATTTAAGGAAACACATTTTTAGTACTGATAAGTCCTCTCATTAAGCTTTCTCTGATAATTACAGAATGACTGAAGATTTAACAGACAATGGACCGAATGTATCCTGATGGCATTTTGTGCATGGAGACATGTTGCTTGCTATGGCATCTGAGACTGAAAAGGCCCATGCTCTTCTCCAGTCATTCAGCACAGCTTCTGTAATTTCAAGCCTAGGATTGGGGTTTTTCTGCTTTGTAGCAGATAGACTTCTGCAGTTTGCTGTCATTCAGCAGAATGACTGGCTGCGAGCACTCTCTGATAACACTGTGCATGGTGTTGTGGGATTTTGGTCTTGGGCAATAGTGATAGGACTCAAGAAGAAAAGTGACTTTACAGAAGTCATTTTAGCTGGCTTTCTTTCATCAGTCATTGATGTGGACCACTTTGTTCTAGCTGGATCTCTTTCATTACAGGTAAGCAAAACCACAGTTTAATTACCTGCATTTAAACAAAAACATATATGCATAATTTGAACCAAAACCATTGGAACTATTTTTAATGTTAATTTCATGTTAAAATTTTCCCTTTGATTACTTGGTTGCGCTCAGGTTTGAAGGGAAGACTTCAGTGCAAGCCATCCTGATGTGTCATCCCTCTTCTCTTATATGTTTTGGATTTGATGGGGGTGGGAGTTGGATAGCTTTTTATGCTGATTAGTGTCCAGAGCTAGGAGATAATTTGCATTTAATTTAGGGCGAAACTGTTGGCGGTAAGGAAAAATGGTTTAAAGGAAGAATTCCCTGGATGCCAAGGTCCAGGTTTGGTTAAAATACTCTTTAGTGAGATAACCCTAGCAGAGATTTAAAATATGCATCAAAGTAAAGCATGGAAATAATAGGCTGTTAGACCTTTAATATTTGCCCTTCTAAAATCCTTCCCCCAGCGTAGGGAAAGACCACACATTTAGTAAGTTAAAAATTGTTTACTTACAAACTCTCCAAATGTCAGGTTCAGGGGCTTTTCTGTACAGCATTCAGTAAAAGTTGCACAGGCTGTAAGACTCGGGCCTAGTGGTGAAAGTTCCTAAATTCCTTTGCCACAGTGACTTGGATTCACTATGCAGGTGTAAATTATCCACCAGGATAAAGAGGTTTGGTTGTGATGCTAGCCTTGTCCAACCAGTGTATCTGTAATTTGGAACTGCTTCAGATCAGAAATATTAAGCATAACATATTTGAGTGTGCCAGTTTAATATTTATAGAATGCATTGGAGGACCACACTGAAACTGCTTTTCTATACCTTTTCCCAGTAGGTGGCACACTTCACAAGAAGTTCATGTGCCATGTGCATGTAGGATTCTTATTTTCAAACTTTTTATTTTGCTTCCCTCCCCAACTGGCATTTGTCTTAACTAATATGATAGAATTGTTTTATTTTTAATTGGTTTTCACTTTTATTGTTTATTTAAAGCATTTTTCTCCTGCTCTTCAGCAGAAAAACACTCCCAGTATGGCTTACAAATGTCTGATAACATTTACTTTTACTGTATTATGACATTTACCTTTACTATAATATGCCATGTGTATTAGTTCCATGCACTAAGTGCTTGAGCATCCTCAAGACCGTATCTGAATGTTTTTGTTTGGTTTGGATGAATTAATCAAATGACTGAAAAGTAAAATGTAGCATAAAAAGTAAACTATTCTCATACATTTTCAAACAGTTTTATCATTTATATTCCATTTTTCCGACTCACATATGAGTTGCCCATGGCAGCTTACAACTGCCATCAACTAAGAACACAATAGTTTTAAAAAGATAATAAGCAACATAGCTTCATTAGTTCCTTTAACCTTAAGAATTGCTTTGCTGAACAGAGGCAAATATCCACATAGTTTAGACTCCAGTCTCTATTGGTGGTCGGAAAACATTCCATGGCTCACAGTGAGAAGGCAACAAACAGAATGGAATATATTAAACCAACACATAGAATAACAGAGGACACACAAAGCATGAAATATACAGTATCTGATCATGGAGTCCTTTCTGGGATATGTGTTGATTTCTCTCAAAATGGAGATAAATGAAGAAGATTATAGCTGTCAAGATTCACATAAACTGTTCCTTGTAAATCTGGCTGCCACTGTACACTGTGCTTTTCTTTCCCATAGGCTGCCCTGACTCTCCCACGAAGACCATTCCTTCACTGTTCTACTGTGATCCCTCTTGTGTGTTTGACATTAAAGTTTATTATGCACCTTTTCAAGCTGAAGGATTCCTGGTGCTTTCTTCCCTGGATGCTGTTTATCTCTTGGACTTCGCATCACGTTCGAGATGGAATTCGTCATGGCCTGTGGATCTGCCCATTTGGAAAGACTGCGCCCTTGCCTTACTGGCTTTATGTGGCAATCACGGCATCGTTACCTCATCTCTGTTCTTTTATTATGTATTTAACAGGAACAAGAGAACTGATGGCAACCAAACATGGGATGCGCATTGATGTCTAATGATAATCTAGAATGGTAGTGTTTGCATCACTGAAGTAATTGCCTCATGTTTTCTGAGTTAGGTCTAAAGTTGATTCTCTGAAACCACTGCTGCACAAGGTAATGAACATGCCCAAGCAATCTCATTAGCGTCTCCTGCACATTTTTTTTATTCCAAAATCACTTAAGTATTTTGTAAAGTATCAGTAATAGCAGCTATTCACTTCCATGTCCCTCCCTTTGCCAGTCTCACATTTTGGGGGGATATATTGCTTAAAGAAATCTTATCTGTGTTCATTTTTAGGTGTTCACTTAAAAAATGGTAATGTGTGAGTTGGCCAGCACAAGTGTAAGCAGGGCAATTGTGTTGAACAGACAGGTTTGTGGGCAATGTTGTGATTTCCTAAGTCTGCCAGCAAATTCCTTTATGCCTTAATGTGAACAGCATGCCATAATATATTTTTTTGTGGGGGGAGTATGGTTTTGCATGCAGCTTTTTTGGTTAGTGCTACCCTGAAAGAAACAAAATGCTGCTAAGGCTGCTAAGGCACAGTTTGTATATATTTTATATCACCACAATCCATTTGGGTGAGTTAAATCATAGCCTCTTCAAGTCTAATTTTATATGTGTTTTATAAACATAGGACACCAAATGTTATCAGTTGAAATCCTCTACCTTAAAATGGTCTGGGCTCTTGTCCTTCCTAGCTAGGTTCCAGGATAAGTTCAACTTTAGCTAGATTCCCGAAGGTCAGTGTTTCTGAAATGCTTTAATTTGTTGTCTTATTTTATTATATTTATTTTAGTGAACGACAGCACCTCTTTGCTTTGTTAACTTGTACTGTAATAGCATTGTGTTTTGTTTACTACATACCCGTTCATTGTAAGTTAAGAGACTTTAAGCAGCTGGCTTAGGTTGCAATCCTAGGCCTGGAGAGAGACTCAGTGAGCTAAGTGGGACTTACTACTAAGTACAAATTCATAGGATTGCACTGAAGTAGCCCTTGTGGGGGCCTTTTTCTTAATGAGTTTAGGGACTACTGGTAAATGTGTAGTGTAGAACACTCTTGCAAACTTTGCATGTATGAAAGTGCAGGTTTGATTTCAAAGAAGTTCTCCATATTAATAGCACCACAAATAAAACTGTGGAGTGTACAAAACAAAATAAAGATTGAATTGAGAGTCCAGGAAAACTTGGGTAAACATACAAATTTGTAAGAGACATTTTTAAGAGGGTGGATGTTATCACCAAGTAACAATCAGCGCAACCAGCAGGGTTTGCTCAGAAGATCATAAATAATGACTTGGTCTGTACTGGGGCAGGGAGTAATTTTTGTTTTAGATCTTTAAACGTCAACAACAGAAACTTGGAACTAGTTAACACACTTTTGGTTCATTGCAAAACATCTTACACCTGGTGTGAACAAATGTATTCAGCAGTAGGACAAATGAACACAGATAAGAATTGTTAAGATTTTCTTATCCTTTGGGAATCTCTTCTATAGATTTTTAAAAACTCCATATACAAACTTATACCAGGGGACCAGACTTGCCAATTAACCGTCGTCCTAAAATTTCATTGTTTCTTAAAAGTTCTTGAAGAAAGGTCCAGGTTATTGAAATTTAACATATACTCAGCAATCAACTCCTCTTATGACTGATATATCAGCCATGGTTTCAGGGGTACTCCCTGCAAATGTTTTCCTGGCAGTCATTTTCTTACCACTGTTCCACTTACCAGTTATTTGGAGCAAGCTCTGTACTGGTGCACTCTGACTTAAACGGACTGCTATGTCACTTGCCTCTGTGATCTCTACAATCATCTACGCAGACAATCAAGCCTGGGTGAGTACTTTGATTCCCTGCATTGGTCAGAGAATCATATTATAGGGTAAAATTTAACACAGTTTTAATCAGAGTAGACCCATTGAAATGGCTAAACATGACTAAGGTCCTTTAATTTCATTAGGTCTGCTGTGAGTATAATTTAGTTGGAATACTGCACACAGATTATAGTGCAGATAATGCAAGGGAACTTACTCTAATGCTTTAAGCCATTTTTTTCTGTGTTGAGCAGGAGCCTTATTTGAAGTTGTTTAGCACAGTGCCAAAAATCCTAGTTCAATATTTTTGTTTTAATAAAGAGGTATATATATATTTTTCCTAAATGAAGTATTTTGGGAATGTGCTGCTTTTCCCAGTAAGGTTAATTGTCGCTGTGTCAAATAGAACAGTGTTCAATTTAGTGACTGAGGTTTTAGAAAGCAATTAGCCACAAAACACTAATTACATGAAAATTATTATATTTCTCTGATGGCCTTAATAAGAAAATAATCAGCAACCCCACACAAAAATCATACTGTTTTTGTGAGTGTCTTTTTTTAAAAAAATGCAGTTGTTCTAAAGATGGATACAGTTTTCACATATAAATAAATTACTATCTACTCATGTTTGGGTGCCTTAAGGGTTTTTAGTGCACGTCACACAACTTACTGGCAAGCATTTTGTTCAAGCTTTAGAGCTAAATTGCTATAGGATTCGGTCCTGCAAACAGTGGCACACAATTCTAGGAAGATTTATCTGTTGATAAATTGTGTGATTGCAACCTTATGGGGAACTTGTGTGTGATTACATCTGTGGTTGGCTTCCTGCCTTTGGGATACATCTTTGGTTTTTACAATTTTTGGCATGTTTTTCTGGATGGGAGCACATGGGTTCAATTGCATCAGCCCATGTTTTGTTTGTTTTGCTGTGCATCATTTTTAGACATTGTGTATTGCTATGCAGTGGTTGTGTTATGGAAGCACAGGCATTCATCTTCATAGAAGAAATATATCTGTTTTATAGAATTGTGGAGTTGGAAGGGGCCACCAGGGTCATCTAGTCCAATCCCCAGCAATGTGGGAATATTTTTGCCCAATGTGGAGCTCAGACCCACAGCCCTGAGATTATGAGTCTCATGTTCTACTGGCTGAGCTCTCTGGGACACCACCTCCTCATCCCCCCACTATCTATAGTAGGGTTAGGCAAGCCATTTCAATTTTATGGAAGGAGAAGGAAGATGCTGTACACAACTATGGGGAGAAAATTAACAAAAGCAAAACTATATGGAAAGACTTTCCCAGATATAATTGTGATAAGGGAAATTCTCACCTATGTGACTTCTGTTTCAAATTATGCAGTAACCATGTAAGTTGCAGATAAAAGAATAAAATCCATGCAGATTTGTAGGGGAAATTAGCCTTGTAGAACTCAGCTTGCTATGAATGATTCTTCTCTCCCCTGAAGAGGCATGTCTTAAGGAAGCTGGTGAGTAAAGCAGTGTAAAAATGTAACATGTTACAATGTAACATTTTAATTGCTTTTGTTTTGAAGTAAGAGTGAGACTGCAAAAAAGTGGCCAATTTTAGGCCAATACAGTAGTTACGTGATTAATGGAAAAAAGAAAAGTCGACCGGTATGGTTATCCCACAGCACAGTTTATCTACATTCCTTGCTTGCATTAGCATTTTTACAAAACTGTAATAGTACTATCTGCATTTTATGTTAAAATAACCTGCTTTTCAACCAAACTTAACTTCCAAAAGCAGCTTACAACAATTAAAACCAGTCATAAAGTATGACCTGAAGCATAAGGATCCATTGGGTGTGTATAGCAGTCTCTGCGGGGCCAAGTAGAAGAACTAAGTTGGCTAGTTATGCAAGAAGCACTGTAAGGTTATCACTTTCTGGTCGCTTAGGGACCAGGCTTATCATTTGCAAGACAGATAGAAAATATTCACTTGAAAATTGCCACTTAACTTGCTTTTATGACCCATGCAATATATCAACAGCTCGTATCATATTAATGAAGGACCATTCCATGGAATTAGTCTAGTATACAGCAAGCATGTCACACAATAACCCTGTGAAGCAGTTACTTGAATTTCCCCTAAGTATCTAAAAGTTCAGCTGCTTAAATGGAGTACTACTATGAACTTGGTATGTTCTAAAGGCCAAATTTGGAACTCTAAATCCAGTGATTGTGTTCAAAACTCGTATTAAGAACAACAGAAGTATTAAGAAACAACAGCTTTACCTGACTGGGTATGTGTTTGTTTTTTAACGTGGTACACAGTCCTTTTCACTCCAGCTTCTTGTCACCCATAGAATTATTACCTAGCTGATTTTCATTCCTTAAAGCTGCAGGGGGGAGGGGGCTAGAGTGATGTGTTTCCTTTTAATACACTGGTATTGTGTTATCTTAAAAGTATTTTGTGTTGTTTCTGGACCACAACTGTGACTACTACTGTCTGACTGTATCGTTTTCCTAGTTAACACTACTGTGGCATTAAAAACATTTGACAAAAGGATTCCCATTGCAATTTTTTATCATAACGTATCTTTCCACCTCCCTCAAGATAGCAGTGATTTTTCTTTTTATTTGTTAAATGCTTGCATAAGTAAACACTGGGATGTGATACTTCCCTCCACAAGGACCATTGGCATGTTCATACAATTTAGCTTGCCAGATGCTTTACTAGATTTGCATAATTTAAAGTCATGTTTTATCAAAATACCGGTGGCTGTGAAGCATGTGTTAAGAATATATGACTCACTTTGATGGTTACACCAAACTTCCATCTGTTCCCAAAATTAACAAGCCGTTGCCATAAGTAACACTCGCTTAAGTGAGACATGGTGGAGATAGTGGCGCTGTGGTCTAAACCACTGAGCCTAGGCTTCCTGATCGGAAGGTCAGTGGTTCGAATCCCCATGACGGGGTGAGCTCCTGTTGCTCGATCCCAGCTCCTGTCAACCTAGCAGTTTGAAAACATGTCAAAGTGCAAGTAGATAAATAGGTACCGCTCCGGCGGGAAGGTAAACGGCGTTTCCGTGCGCTGCTCTGGTTTCACCAGAAGCGGCTTAATCATGCTAGCCACATGACCCAGAAAAACTTTGCGGACAAACATCTGCTCCCTTGGCCAGTAAAGCGAGATGAGCGCCGCAACCCCAGAGTCGTTCACGACTGGACTTAACTGTCAGGGGTCCTTTACCTTTTTTACTATTTTTTATAAGAGAATGTTTAAAATGGGTGGGCAACTGCAGGCCAAATCTGGCATGCCACGAGACTCAATTTGGTCCAGAAGGCCATTTCCCCCCCCAAACCACACCCTGTCAAGCCATTGGGTGTAGGGGTAGGTAGAGATACTGCTGAATTTGCTATGGGACAGTTGCCTATGGGTAACTTGATCACACAGCCAATCCCTGCAGGAAGGCTGGCTGTTGGGTGCTGTCTGCCAGCCTGCTGATCAGCTGCACTCCGAAGCACCATTCAGGACTCTGCAAGCCCTGTGTGGTGCTTTGAAGTCCCGACAGTCCTCACCAGACATCACTGTGATGCCCCCATAGGGTCAGGGAGACAAGAAACTGACCCATCCGCTCTGTGTTATCATATTGTAAATATTAGCACAACTTGTAAATTGCACATTTGGAGATTGAGAGTGCACTCCTATATTCACCTGGATCCTTATCAATAGAACTGTGCAGGGTTGCACATGTCAGCTGCAAAAGCAAAAATAAGTACGTAGAAGGTAGACTGCTTTGTTAATGCCTCTTTTTGTTATAATCCAAAAGTTAGCAAAAGTGCTTACTAGTCCTCAGGGTTGCAGAGATGTTTGGGAAGAGCTTGCTAAAGCACTGGGGAAAGAGAAAGTGGTGGGGGAGCCCTCTTTTCACAGACAGGATAACAGTAGCAAACTTGTGTTTAAGTTGTGTGCTTAATTGAAACAACTGTTCAATGGCCACAGGGCTAGATAAACTTTTTCAGGCTTGAGGGGCACATTCCCTTCTGAGGGTCTTGAGCCAGTTTTGGGCAGGGATGGAGGCAAAAGTAGGCAGAGCAACAAATATGAATTTGTACACACAGGAAAGAGAGAAGCATTGTCAGACTTCAAGGAGGGTGCTGAGCAGGCCAGTAAGTAGCGAGTGGGTGGGAAATAAGGGATGGCTGAGGTTCCTCATCCCTGACTTACCTGTTTTGACACCAACTCCCTTGCCTGAAAAAAAATAAGCTAATTGCATGGACTGTTAATATGGCCACTTGGCACAACTTTCTTGCACGCAGTGAATTTCTCAAATGGCCTTTGGCACCCGACACAATCTAATTGATGTTTGCCTCTGTTCTAAGTGTTTTATCACCCTCAACCTTAGAACACTTGGAAGCTTAAAAGAATTTGGTGCTACCTGCACTGCAGCACATACACCCTATCACCTATTTGTGTTTTGCTTTGTGAACTTTGGCTTCACTTTCCTGTCAGGTGTCAAATGACTTGAGCAATGATAAAATCCAAGAACCTGCTACTTGTCATTAGCTTATGGCAGGTGCAGGTGTATCAGTCAGTGAAATGCTGCATAAACTTGCATATGAAAGCAATATCCTTTATAGCACTTAATGTATTTTTAAATGAGAGGAGAGAGGCTGGCCTAGGTTTGGGAGAATCTTGGTTGGCTGCATGGAGAGGCCAAAGGGGCCACATTTGGCCCATAGCTCTGAGGTTCCCCACTCTTTGACAGTTACTTGCAACTGAATATCTAAGATGCACCTTGCTGGATACGACCAAAGACCCATCTAGTCCAGCATCCCGTTCTCCCAGTGACCTGCCTGTGGGAAACCCACAAGCAAGACCTGAGTGGACTCTCCTCACTTGTCCTTCCCAGGAACTGGTTTTCAGAGGCAAACTGCCTCTAACAGCAGACATAGAGCATAGCCATTGCAATGAGTAGCCAAGCCCTCCCATTTTTGTTTCCATGAAGCTATCTGCCCTTAACCTTTCTTATTTTGTAGAATTATTGGCCCTCCAGATGTTGCTGAACTGCAACTCCCATCATCTCTGGCCATTGCTCATGCTAATAGGAGTTGTCAGCAACTTTTGGTGAGCCAAAGGTTCTTCCTCACACCTGCTGTTTAGAATTTTAAATATATTCATATGAGTTACTTAATTGTTTTCATATAGGTGTAAAGGTTTAAGTTGTTTTATATATGCATATATTTTATAAATGGTTTTGTTGTATATTGAATTGAAGAAGTGATTCATAAATAACTTTGATGATGATGATGATGATAATTACTAATGATAATGGCTGATGATGGGCTCCCAGTTCTTCATCCTAACTGCCTCTAACAGTGCATCCTCCCATAAGTACCATTGCCAGCAATGATGGTAAACAGGATAAGGAACAACCCTGATTGGTTCACCTGTGCAGTTCTGCTGGTTCTAAATCCATTTCAGTGGTGCAAATTAGTGCTTGTGGTGGTGAGTATAACTGATAGCTGCTCTGTGCTCCCAATGGGAGGAAGTGCAAGATAATAAAAGGAGATAAATAAGCTGCAGGTAAGGAGGGCATCTCCAGAGCATCAGTATTTGGGGGGAAGGATTCAAGTGCACAGCAGGGAAATTCAGGCTGGCACAGTTGAAGCAAATTATATCACTTTGTCACCCTAATACAGTACTACAAATGCACATAAAAAAATAAACAGGCTTCTTGCAGTTAGGAAAGTGATGGGGAAATGCATGGAAAACTTTGGGAGGAATAAATAACAGGAAGACAAAGAAATGCCCTGCAAGCAAAGCAGGACAATAAATAAGTCATTTGGAGTAGCCTGTGATTTTTTTTATCGGGTCCTTCTTTCTTTTTTTACTTTCTCCCAAGCCATTTTCTTTCCTCTTTTGGTTTAAGCCTGAGGAAGAATTCTAGAGAACATAACATTTTGCTCTCTACTTTGTGGCACTTCAGTTGGTCCTAATACAAATATTGCCAGACTGTAGGTTTTGGATTCCCGCCCCCCCCCCGCCCCCCGATGGATGAACATGAGCCTACAATTTTTATTGCATCACTGTTTATGCTTCAGGACCATTCAAGCACAACCCAAGAGCTCTGCTGTGTAAATACTGTGTTGAAAGGTTGAAGACAATTTCTTCCTGATAATTTCTCTAGGGCCAAAATGGCTGATGTACCCAGAGAGGACCTAGTCTGGATTATCTGGCAGATCCAGTTCTACTAGTTTAGCAGCTACCCTGCTTGTCAAATACTTCACACTTTATTGATGATCATTTATTTAGGCTGCCAGCTGCTTTATAACCATCAACGCTGCCTCCTGTTGACATTTTGTTCCCTCTGAGGATGAACGCCAAGTCAAAGGGTTTGTTTGTTTTTTAAAGTGGCATTTCTTTTTTTGCAGGCTGAAATGTACAGAGGCTGTTTTCTGGGAAGTGTGGTCTTGAAATAAAACACAGAGGCTGATCTGGAGGACATTAGTTCATGCCCAAATCCCATTGAACTGAATAGGAATGGAATGCCAAAGTTATCAAGGGACTATCAAATAAACTTCACAGTAGATGGCTGGGGCTCCCACCCAAAACTGCAGCCGAGTCCAAAAAAACTCTAGAAGGGACCAGATTGTCATGCAAAAGGTGTGATGTCATCACACTCTGAGATTTCTGCACCCCACAAGTGGTAGCCAATAATGGGTGGGGAAACTTGAAGTACAAGGATACTGCGTTCCATCTTCAGATGTTAACCCTCCATGAATGCGCAAAGGTGAAAGCAGGGCTTTGCCCACTAGCCAGGCCACCTACCGCCCCATGTAGCCTACTAGTTTTCACCCACCCAAACTCTACATGCTCAGACTTACTTTTGAAAGGGGCTTCCTTGCATATACAGTCTGTTCTACATGCCTGGGAATGCTGAACAATTAAAGTGGTTTTGGTGCTCTTGCACGACAAACCCGCTTCCACATATATATGTATGGGATAACAATTACTGGACATGTTGAATAACCATCACACAGATAAAAATTGAATGCTCAATGAACAGCTGGTGTCATCTAACCTCCCTGCAAACTTAGTGCAAACATTTCAGGATGAATGCTCAGTAAACAGGCCGTGCCGAAGTGACCTTTGTTGTCCATTGATCTAATTTCGCCAATGAAATGGCAAAGAATGTAGCATTTTCTAAACAATGAAATAATTATGTATATTGCCATTGAATTTATATTTAATAATGATTATGCTTATCTACTATATTTTTTTGGAAAGATGTTTGCTATGCATTTGGACACCTGGTAACCAAATTTTGCACAAGGGTTCCTGAGTTAAAGGAAGCAAGTTTTTGCACTCCAGATATAATTGGATGCCATTTGGAATCTAGATTATGGACGGCACTGATTTCAAAATTGCACTTTCTGTTATTTGGGTTTCTTAGAATTCTTGAGGAATGCTGAGTATAAGGCTGTTAGTTGATTACATTTGTAAAACAAAATAGGAAAAAAAAATGGCAAAGTGATCCAAGTCACTGCTTCAATATTATTTTG